TGGACCCTCTAGTGACCCTTCAAACTGATTCAGCGACCAAGGACGACTTACAAAAGTGTGTAATATGTCATGGTAAAAAAACAAAGGACCCTTTGACAAAAAGTAGATGTCAAGAAAGGGGTTTTATGTTGTTGATATCTGCTGCAAATGAAATAAAATCTTTGAATGACATCAAATGTGCGGAAAAAATTGAATGTATTCTCTCAGGTCAGACTAAAGAAAATTTAGTATACCATCGATCGTCCTACCAAGAGTTCACTAATAAAAGCAAAATTGTCACACTTAAATCGAAAACAGAAAAGGGATGTAAAATTTTCACTCAAAAAAATGAGTCACATATGGTGTTATGGTCAACAAGGTGTAAAAACAGATAAAATTTTGTGTATTATTTGCAGTGCTGTGGAGTATCAATATCTAAGTCATATAGCTGTTTTTTTAGTCTGCTGGAAATGTGAGTAGTATTCTTAAAGCTTCAACGTTCGCAATTATTGAGAAAATTCAGAATTTCTCTCAGTATTATTAGGACTTAAGGCGTAGAGTTGCATCTTCTCATGATGCTGTTGCCGGGGATATTGTACCCAATATACAAGTTTTGCAAGTTTCTGTGCCTCCTGTATGTTTTTTAACACCTCAATCCGAAAAACTATGTAGGTAAAATGTGCCTGGCATAAAAATTTATATATTTGGCCGCCATTTTGAAATTAGCTAAAAATCAGCTTGGCAACATCCGAATTCGGGCTCAGCAGACATTTTTACCCTTATGAACGCACGTTTCCAAAATGGCTCATTAAATGCCGTTAGACTTGCGATTTATTAACTATGACCACCCAACTATTAGTAGTCGGCCATGATTTTATAACAATCGACACACAAATCTAGTGACACTAATCCGTCACCTACTGTTATAGGTTAACATAAGTTTTTCAAAAATCGAAAAATGTCTGGCAGTGGTTTCACCTATTTTGGAATTTAATTGTTATTTATGGTGAAATGGACAGAATCGCGGCACATGCTTGCCGTACATTCATTCGAACACTGGAACGAAATTGTATGAATTTTGGAAATATTGTACCCCCAAATGCAAACAAACAAAAAAAAAACAAAAATAAACCGTCGAAGCACAAGTGATACAAAGCTCTACAAGAGAATATTTAAGAAAATGAATTGAATTGCAAATGCAAGATTAGCAAAATAAATTCAATGCAAAATATAAAAAACTTCGTTGAAACATTTTTGGTATGGAATTGTTGTTAGAACAGACATCGCATTACCTCTCTGAATTTCCAGACTTATACGTTGTTTAAGAAATTCAGTTGAACGACTGTCTAGATTTCTCAAAAATTTTCCGTCCTATACCCTTAATAAATGACTTTAATGAATTATTTAGACTAGAATCAATGATATTAAAGAATCCATTCCTTGATTTGTTTAAAATTCGATTGTTATAAAATCATGGCAGACTACTAAAAAGAAAATGCGAAAAAAATGGCATCAATTCCGAGATCAATTAAATGAAATGGGAATAAATCAGAAACTGTTAAAGATAGATATAGGAACATGTAATATCAAAGTATGCCAATTTCGATTCTCTATCTCATGCAATAGTCATTTTTTTTCATAAAGTCAAAATAACCTAAAAACCCTAAATGCCAGGTATCAAAAGAACCGAAATTTCACATAGAATCCAAAAATGCAATAAACAATAGGGGTTGCCATTTAAAATAACGAAGTTACTATCTACTTCCGGTGTTTCCAGAAGTGCGGCCATTTTGAAAATATTTTACATCGATTCGGCCTTCAGAGTAACTCCTAAGTACAAATTTTCAAAAACCTACCTATTTTACTTTCCCAGAAACGTTCAACTAAAGCTCCCAAAAAAAACACCCTGTATACAGGGTGGTGACTTGCGTAACGCACGAGGTAACGCATCATAGGGATTTCAATGTAAAATTCATAACATGCAATTATTGGCTCCCCAAATTATTTTAGAGCAAAAATGTATTAAGGTTTTTTGTAGGAAAAAATTTTTTACGTCAATCAACCGTATTAGTTTTCAATTTTTTGCATAATAAAGACGGAAAACTCGAAAAATGAAACCCTCATCTTTTTCAATAATCTGTGATGCCATGGAATTTTATAATACAAAAACTACGCCAACATCCGTCATGCCATGGAATGTCTGCTATAAAACAAATCAAATTCTATCAAAAAGTATTATATTTAGAAAAGCGAATTCAACATAAACAAAAACAAAATTACTAAAAACGGTTTCCTAATATAACAAATTTACAATAAATGTTCGAATAAGTCACCATTAACTGCAAGACAGTAATAATAAGTCGATCATAAATTCCATGTGGAACTGCTGCTAATTGATAACTTGATATCTTTTTGTTTTAGAAAATTCCATGCCATCGCAGATTATTGAAAAAGATGCGGGTCTTATTTTTCCAATTTTCCGTCTTTATTTATGCAAAAAATTGAAAACTAATACGGTTGATTGGCGTAAAAAAAATTTTTTGTACAAAAAACTTTAATACATTTTTGCTCTAAAATAATTTGGGGAGCCAATAATCGCATGATATGAATTTTACATTGAGATCCCTATGATGCGTTACTCAAGTCACCACCCTGTATATGCACAAAAAATATGGCAAAAAAGCATGAAGATATGCATGAAAAATTAAATAATGCACAAAAAATTATTGAAACTTTTTTAATTCAAACTATTTAAACATAAGCTGTATTAAAACAATTAATGATTAAGTATCCAAGTGGTCCATCTTAAAATTTGTGCGCCTATTGGCTATTACTTAGTACGTGGTTATACACAGAGAAACATCTTTCCGCATCGACATGTGTAATTGGAGCGTACTTCAGTTGAGGTATCAGATGAGGTTCTCATTTTCCCCGGCCAACATTCGTCATCTCATTTGTTGAACTTGAAAATATGCTTGCATTATAAATTAATGCTGAATTGAACACCGCTGACGTTTTATAATTTAACAAACTTGGGCGCCATATTTTTTTATATTTCATTTATTTTTTTATCTTTTTTGTCGTTTTGTTTTTTCTTTTTATTTTTTTCCATTTTTATTGTTTTCTTTTGTTCTGTTTCTTTCTATTTTATAATTTTTATTTTATTTGATTTATTATTTGTTTATCTTTATAATTTATAAATAAAAATATAATTGTTGCAATTAGTACCACTGGAAACTTGTTTTGTAATAAAAATGGTTCAAAAAATTAATAAAATGCTAATCTATCTTATTAATGCACAAGAACCCCATTCATTGCGCCAATGTGATTTGAGATTTTGAGCTGCATACAATATTTACGTAATGCATAAAAGCACGAAATCCGGTCTCTAATTATAACTTACAAGTAGATAGAGGGACACTTATGCCAAATAGTCACATGACACCAGACAGTGGGGTTCTAGCGCACGTGTTCGAGACGCGCTTTTGGGTCTGCGACGTCTGGAGACCTGGGCTAAGTTCAATTCTGTTCTATTTGTCGAGGCAAACAGGTCTGTTTATCAGAAACAGGTTGATTAAGCAGACACGAATCTGTATCTGAAGCAGGGCAGGTAAACAGAAATAGGTCTGTTCACTGAACTCAGATCTGTTCAGTAGAAAGGTCTATTTAATTGACCTCTCTCAGTCAACAAACAACCGAATCAAATTATCTTGAACCTGGCGCATGCGCAGATCTCAAGACGTCCCTACACCAAAAGCGCCTCTCAAACACGTGAAATAGAACCTCACTGGTAGTTTTTGCTTAGTTATCACTTAAAACAAGCGTTAGCTGGCTCGACTGCGTGGCGTGTTGGTATGAGAGGCTGAGAAACACGTAAAAATTGTTTTTCGGGTCATTTTAGCAAAGCTCAAAAACTGTAGGTAATGTGTTTGTAAAAATCTGTTAGCTGCTTGCGTGAGAATGTAGAAAAGATATGAAAAATCGAACCATTTTCGCAAAACTGAAAATTATATATACTGCTGTGTTTATTTCGTCCGGCAGGAGGAAATTTTGGAAATCTTAATTAGGTAAGATGTGTCTCCTTTTTGTGTAATTAACATTCATAATTAAATTATTAATTTGTCGTTGGTCTATGTGACGGCACGGAAATTATTGTCATACGAGACAGCGGTCAAGGTTGTTTTTGTTTACATTTTTATTTTACTTAACGTAGAATTTCTGGGAATTGTTGGGTCTTTATCTGTTATCAATTGTAAATGCTTAATTTAATTGACAGGTGGATGTGATTCATCGCTTTTTCTGTGTAGTTAAAAGAGATGAATTTTTATTTTTCCTAGTATTTTAGTCGCAGTGTCTGATAAGAATTTGTTTAGTAAAATACGTTACCAACCTATACCATGAGATTGGCCAAAGAAGAGACTATCAATATATTAGCGCTTTTTTGAGCCGAATCCAATTTTTTGTTTGCTTTTGCAACAAGCAACCCTAAGTGTACATTCTCATAACAAGCAAAAAAAAAATTGCACGACGATAAAACAATATAAAACAGCGAATGCTAATAAATGACCTATCTAGTTTGTTGAATAAGAAAATAAATATTTATTTTTGCATGGCCAACTACACTTTTATAATTATTAAAATGCGCTTTTCTCGTCTTTCTGTTCGTACTGAAGCTATAAAGCAATCTCTATTTGATCAAGATACAAAGCCTCAAATTTGGACTTTTTGTGGAATTTTGTATTATTTGAAATAACTAAAAAAGGACAAGAGCGCAAACTAAGGTGTTTGGGGCGCAATCCAAGCGCAGAATGTAAATAAATAATTTTTTGGAAAATAAATGAACAGAATAATGTACACACAATGCAATGTAATATAATAAATAACAAATCTACACAACAGCTGAGCAATGAGACTAACAATAATTGAAATATTGAGTCTCAAATTGGAATCAAGAACTGAAAATTTCCCATATGGGAAAAGCAACAACAGTTCCTAACCCGCAATTCCGATTCCAAACTTACCCTACTCCTGCAAGGTACTTGTTTCACGAAGTGTGGCACATCCTCCTCCTCCTCCGACTCACTACCTAGGTAAATAGACAGAGGCGTTTCCTTCTCCTTCTTTTTCTTCGCCATATATTTAAAGTAGTTGTTAATCGGTGATTGTTTGTGATCCGTTAGCATGTCGACGAGATCGATGATAGAGTTAGATAGCGGACGTAGGATTCGCCTTATCTTCTGGTTTGTTTTCAGTACGTCAGAGGTCAGACCGAATTTGCTGTACAGGAGCGCGTCTATTCTAGGATGGTCTTTTTTGTTTGTGATCGCCTTCAGGTTTTGAAATAGCAAGTAGTTTCTACAGAAATTCTCTTTCGATTTATCGTATACGGGCGCCATAACTAAAAAATGTCTGAAAGAGCAGAATTAAACATCAGCAGAAAGTGCGCGAGTTGCATTTACCTATAAATGACCCTCATGATGTCTTTCCACTGCCGCGATTGAAATCTTGGGCGAAGTTTCAGTAGCACGTGACAGATACCTACATTGTCGCCTAATAAGTATATGGGTAAAATATAAACGATTCTTTCCGTAATTTCCATTATTTTCGTACTGTACTCCATGGAATTGGAGATTTTAATATCCGTTGCCATTTCCAATTCCAAGTTGCACAGGATGATAAGCACATTTTGCATGGTTTCGATGTAACTTGATGCTCCCGTCCATATGCTACATTTCGGAAGAAAACTGTGGAAGGTTTTCACGTGGTCCAATATCCTGTCTTTGAGAATCTGCTTTATTCCGCGATTGGTTTCGTATTTTTTTAAAATCCTTTAACAAGAAAATATTATTAGGCGAATAATTGGAACATGTTACATTAAAAGAGCAAGCACAAACATATTTAAACCCTAGACTTCAGCCCTGCATTTTTAAACAGAGGACAATTTTTTTTTGGGTTCCTGACAATGGTGGTATCTCAACTTGAAACACAATAAAATATTTCCGTTGTAGATACATTACTTAAGACACTCACTCAAATAGGTACCAGTTCCTAGATTCGAACCCTGCATCTATCAAGATTATTAGTACAAAGTAACCAAAACCTGAAGAGACTCGTTTGCTTAAGAGATACAGAGTCAGATAAAACAGTTATCGGGTCTAACCTCATTTTTCTAAATGGAACCCCCTGTACATTTTCGTCTAAAAAATTGCATATTAATTTCTTTTTTTTACACTAAAAACAATTGCATCTCCTTTTTAAATCTTTTGAACCTTTTTTTAAATCAATTTTTAACTTTTTTGAATCACTTGAATCTTTTTTGAATATCCTATATATTTTTGAAGAGAACTTAATATTTTTAAATTAAAATATGTAGGGTATTCCATTGAAACATTGAGGTGAGGGCCAATAACTTTTTACCTGACCTGTATATAACTCTCGCCAGGAAAGATTGCCAGTTACGGAACACTTGATCCCGATCTACAATCTCGTTTTTCGTAAGGTACTAGCGACTTCCAGGATAGTATCGTGTCAATGTTGAACGAAAAGACTTTTTGTTCAACATTAGCACGATCCTATTTCAGAAGTCGCTCGCATCTTAATAAAAACAAAGATTGTAAATCGACACAAGGTGTGCTGTGACCGGCAATCTTTCCTGACGAGAGTTATACTTATTCTGAAGATAGATTATTCAACGAACATTATGAAAAAACTTTTGTAATAAACATTTTCCATTACATCCTATACAACTTAAAATTGATTTATAAAGATATAATAATAATGCTGCTCTCTACTTACGCTCATACAATAAAATGCAATGAGCTAAAGAGTAGTCGCGAATTAACAAAGTGGGGTTAAAAAACAATCGCCAAAACAATGATTGCAGTTACCTGTTATATTCTTGAAGTGCATAGTCAAGATTGTCGCATATTTTAGTGGTTCCACTTTCTCCAAATAGTTTTAGTGTCACCTCTCTATGCCAGTCTGTCAGCTCCTCACAACAGGACTTATCGTCCACTAAAAAATAAATATTATCTACCGTTATTGAATGAGAACAAATTTTTACCCTCTATAACACAATCTTCCATTGTCATTTTAACATCGAGACCCCTTTAAACTTAAACGCACTAGGTATTTAAAGAACTTTCATAGTTTATCAACACACAAAAACAATTAAAGAATACCACTTTTACAGTGGACGTCGAAAATTCGCTTCCCGTAACCGGACACTCACGTTAATTGCTAGTTAAATCTACGAGTATAAAAACGAGTCCATCGTCCTCAGATTTAATAAATATTGAAATCTGTAACAATTTGGAGTAAAAACTGCCATTTTCTTTTAGTAACAAAACACAGGTCGAGGACGTAGAGGGGAGAAGAAGCGGAACTACCAACCGGTTAGCAACAAAGCGGAAAATTCTTCGAGCAGTGGTTCATATACAGGGTGGTCAACTCGCACCAGGTAGAATCGAAGATTTGTGAAAATTACGGAGTGGGGTTAAACGCTTGGTGGGTGAACAACAAATAACTATTCCATTTACTTCCATGTTAATTTATGAGTATTAAAAAACGTTTACTAAGTGTGCTCATCAATTCTTTGGTAAAACGGGTTGTTTAATGCATATAGGTATAGTATAATACTGGAAATTAAGGTAAATGAGAAATTCAAAGAATATGAAGTTTATTGTATGAATTATGATGTTGGTGGACGTAGTATATAATCAAAGCGCGTAGGTAATGATAAAGAAAAGGTGGGGAATAATATTATCACCATATACATACATAGAACAACAAACTTAGAATGGAAACTCTAATGTAATGTAAAACTGAGGCGCCATCTCGTGTATGTTCTCAGCAGCTTTTGCGTGAATGGCGCCTAATTTAAATATTAAAATGTAAGCTACGTCCGCATTATATAACAATAACACTGGATTTGACTAGCTGAAACCTAAAAGGTAAATGAATCCAGCTAGTGAAGTCCAATTTTGTTTGTTAGGGATCCAGATAAATTCAGTTTAATGCCGATACACCTCAGCAGTCAGGGGCTTCAAAGAGTACAGACCACTTGTTTTATAAGTAACAACTCCAATTAATCCAATCAAGGAGTTATATTTAATTTAATATGGATATACAAGATACAAGATCAACTTTATGGAACTCTACTTTATGATGCTCTCAAGATCGTTCTAAAAACAGAATATGTAGCAATTTATTACCATTCAATTTGTGTTACCTGCTAAAGATAATGTGCGAACTGCCACACGCTTTAAACCTCTTCGTGTTCCAGGTTCTAAAGCGCCAGAAAAATGACGTTCACAAACCAAAAACTTTTGTGTAAATTTCTTCCACATTATATTCTAAACCAATTGCATAAATGCATGGGTGTAATTTTTGATAAATGTAAGGTTCAGTTTTCCTTTATGCGCGTGTTTTTTTTTGTTTTTATTTCTTTTTTTTTAAGATTAAGTTAATTTAGTTGATGTAGGTATAACGATATTAGTAAGTTTAAGTTTGAGTATGTCACTTTGTGTTCTCCGTAATTGGGCTTGTCCTGTGGAGAATTGAAATTGAAATAAATAAATAAATAAAAACTTCGGGCTCCATTTTTGGGAAACGTCTTCACAATTTGTCACACAACATTTACATTTTCGATTTGTATATGCATAATTCATTGTAATAATGAATAGTAATTATACTTAAAGCACAATAAGCCGTCAATCAAAATTCAACTGTCATAATGGCGACACGTACTAAAGTCACTAGATTTAGTAACTTTAACACGCACGCTAACTATGCGCCATCTATTGAATGTTCTCCAAACTAATTATATTTGTACTCAGTTGTTCCCGTTTACGTTTCCCTTCTAAGTTTTTTGTTCTGGGTATACATCTTAGACCATATAGTACATGGACTGCTAATTGTAACTAAAATATGGTCAAGGACATCGCCTGGGTATGTGAGTTTCAGGGTAAACGAGTCTGTCCGAAGTTGTCCGATGAGACACGCTTTGAGACTGTCAACCTATAAATTAACAAACGTCAATTAATTAATCGCCTAGATATCCCAAAAAAAGCAAACTTATTCTTATTTGTGGATGTATAGCAAATAATGAAGAGCACTTAAAGCTTCCCGTACTACGCGGTTACTATAAAGCTGCTCTTTAAGCGATCCTAGTGGTGTTTACACGACTTTAGTTTACCCTGAGATTCACATACCCACGACTACAGTGACCTCTATCCGTGACCATCCATTTTGTATTGAAAGCATAGGCCGAATAGCAGTCCATGTACCTACTATATGGTCTAAGGTATACATACAAGAATGAATAAGTATACGCAAACAAAAGATAAACGGTGACAAGAAGTTTGATTATGTTGAGAAAGTGAGATTGTATCATTTGTTGTTCATCTATAGGTTTACAGCGCCATCTATTGTTTGTTGAATGCGGATAGGAATGTCCCGCACGTACAAAGACAACAGCAACGTCGAGAGCAAGGATCCTTGGTGCTCCGGCAGTCGCTAACCCGATCTGACCTCACTACAATCTGTATCCGAATTTATCGGTGAGCATCTTCCGTTTTAGTATGTGCAGATGAAGTCATACCTTTTTTTAGTAAACTACAGTGTAATCAATCATTTAACGCTGAGCGCTGATGCGTACTCCATGCTTTTGAGTACCGTTATCAGAATCATGTTTGTTTGTTAACGTGATTATACCAATATCTTGTTTTATTAAGTATTTATTTCGTATTCACAAGGAGTTGATTATCAGTGTGATGTTGCTCTGCTCAATTGAATCGTAACTATTCCGTGAGGATAATACCTAATACAGTTTGTTCTGTCTCCGTGGAGTAGGTACCTAATACAGTTCGATCTTTCGCTGTATCTGTTGCCTACTTGTCTCGTGCGGATTGCAGTTCTTGACATCTTAGCAATGCGAGATATTTAGGGGCCCTCTCATTAACTTTTCCTCTATTTAAAATATGTTCTGCTTGAGCGATAATCGATTTTCACACGAATACTTGCTATTGGCATTCTCACACGTACTGTTCGTGTTAAATTAATTTCTCTTAACTGAAGGCTGGAGTAGAGCCACACAATTTTGATGTTTCCTATGTACATGCAATTTATTATTTTACGAGATGTGTTAGCGCAATTGATCGTACAGGTATTTTGATGCGTTTTTGTATTGAATTGATTTATCAGGTTTTCTACTGCATTTATGATGTCTTGTGTATTTTTTTTTAATGATTTATCATACAATTTGAGATGTTTTATTTATGTGTATTTTCTCTTGCATTTCATGTATTTGTGTGGCCTATGCCGGGGTTTTTGTCCCGTAGAAGGTTTCCCTGGTATAGCCTTGTGGTGTGCGTATTATATTTATTTGTTCTTGTCATTTCTTACGCACAAAAGTTCTGTCTTTTATTCAATTCCCTTCCCGATTATGTATCACGTCCTAACACATACAAGAACCGATTACACAACGTAGGAGTTTATTCGTGCCATCCATATTGGGCCAACTGCTATCCAAATTCAAACGTCCATCGTTTCGACTTGAAAGGTAGGTAGCTCTGATCGTAGTTTTTGTTTCCAGAGTTGCCAACTGTAAGTACGTACAGAGTAAGTCAATATTTTTAGTATCGGCTTGAGACCCCTAGGACCATTACAACTTACTTTAACGTGAGAAGAGAGGAAATTACTAGATTCGTCACGCGTTTACGCCTGGTGATTGAGGGACAATAAAAATTAACAAACTCATAGAGTGATCAAATATTTTATACTTTCCTCCAAATGACAAATGGTTTTAAATAAAATCGAACTCACAAACAAAATAACAATACAATAAATGAACAAACAACAAAGCTACATTTTAACGCACCATAAGTTTAGTGGTGGGCATTGTGATGAATACAGACGGAAGTATTAGCCATAGTATGACAGATTATCATTTGAGATGCTTACGTAATAAAAATGTATCATTGCCCTTTTGCGAATGAAATTTCTTAGAGAGAAGCTATTTTCTGGTGATTCACCGTGTTCGTACAGTGGTTTAAAAGATTTCCAAACGTTTTCATTCGTGACGTCATTTTTTGTCAGTCGCCAGAATGCACAGATTCGATTCGAACAACTTTGTGAATATGAAGAGCTTTATGAATTTAATCCTGGCAACGTGACTGATATGTTTAAACACGAAGGTGTTGTCTACAATGATCATCCTGGGGCGTTAAATTCCTAATGCCCCAGCCTGTAGTGTCAAACCGATCGATTGCGATTCAATACGGTTTAGAAAGCTGCACTTGTGACGTCATTGTTTTGTCGCCATAATTTGAACGTATTAAACCCACGTCTATTATATCTCTGTTAACAGCTAAAGGAAACGATTCACGCTTTGATTATTATCAAAGGATTCATGTATCTTGAATGTTTTATACAAGACAGTGACACAAACCGTAAACTATTTGTATTCTCTCTGCATGTAAAAATGTATTATTTCTATAGTTTTTTTGTCTACGTACAGATAATAATTATAGCAACGAGCAAAAATAGTTTAGTCTACACAACACTGATGTTCAAGCAATGGGCAGTTGTTAGATGCAGACGGAGCATTCTCTCTGGTAGCATTTTTCTTTAAAAATAGACTATAAAATAAGCATATATCAATATGCTATCAAGATGCTGGTCGAATGAGTTTTGGGAGATTTATGTTTAAAGTCTTTCTAACATTCCTGAAGAGGTCGACCCACGAGAATTTATCCCATGAAGAATATTGTGTATGTGTATATTGCTTGCCTGAATGGAATAAAGATAGGGGACGCGTACGCTATAGGTAATAACGCCAACGTTTGTTCTGCCCAAAGTAATTACCCTGTTTTGCACCAACATAACCCCAAAGTTTGACAGTGAGAGGACGAAAGGTAAACATTAGTAATTTCCAAGGGTTCAGATACATTATTAAACATAATCGCATAAGCTTTAAAATATAAAATGAGCCAAAAATGCAGAAGTTACATTCTGTAGAAATATACGAGTAAATAGATCCTTCCAAATGCATCAGTATGTATTCCCTTTAAAAATCATCCCGTGAAATGTTACAAGTTCCTTCCTGCACTGTTTGTAAAGACCAGAGATGATGGCAAGCTAGCATATAGCACTAAAACATCTCTATCTTTATTTCTTACTCCGAGGATTATATTATTAGGATATTATCCCTCAATCCTAAACAGATCCTCTTTTATATATAAAAATAAACAGCAACAATATTACACCAAATAAAAGCTTGTGTAAAAAGAAATAGTACCTATTCTCCAATCTGTCATTTAGGACACCCATAAGAGGGTTCTTAGGGTCTTACATGATAAAGACGGTTTATGTGGATTTCTCGAAGTTTACACATAGAAATTTGATCTCTAAAACAGGAAAATCTAAATGATTTATATTTTGAGTCTGCTGGTCACTCTTCCTATACCTACTTAATAGCATTTAATGTCTAAAATTGTTACATTATGCTACTGATACTATTCACACAATCTAAGACTTTTTTCATTACGTACCTACAATTTTTTTTTTAAAAAACATGAACCTTAGAATCATTTTAGTAGTTACGATTCGTTAAAATATCACTTCAGCAACTGACTAACTATCTACACCTGAAATTTAATTCGTCATCTAGATCAGTTACGATAATTTTCTTAACGTTACATACTTTTTAATATTACACAGACGATCTATTAACAAAAATATGCGTAAGAATCTTCATTTTTTTTATGTCTTATCGACCTTCCCATTAATGGAATTAGTTATAGAGTGAAATAATCGTTTACCCCACCAATTCTCCAAGTCGAACGGTTTGAAATCCTGCAAATGTGGGCAGGGATCGTCTTCGTAGAATAATACGGTGCAATTACCTAAAATTTCGTTTGGTTTACGTTTTAAATGATGTGTTCACGTATTACCGTCACAGTTGTTATTGGTTTTCTTTGAGCAGGTTTCGTCCAAATCTGAGCGTACTAAGGTCCATGCTGCAATAGTTTAATGAGTGGTGTATATTCTGTTAACATGCGCACTTACAGTCTTGTATGTAGTTAATAATTTCCTCGTGCTGTGGTGTGATTCGCATACTCTGTTCTTGTTTATTTAATATATTTCGTTTGCAAGTGTTATGGAAAACTGGTTTGGAAACACTAAAAATTGATTGCAATGGTCAACACAATTGTGCAATTCAACAGACAAAGACAGTCCAAGACTGTATGTACTTACTTTATTAATTCATTATCATTATTATCTAACGATTTGCAATGTTTAAAGTTGTCAACATTTTGTGAAATTCCTAAAAATTGTAGGGCTATTTTTAAAGTTTCAGTAGGTAAATGTAGAAGTACCTCGTCTTGCTGATTTCGCCACCATTTTGCTAGGACCTTTGATATTGTACATAATTTCTAACAATTAATTGAACAATTTTCGTTCCAGATTTCGGCACTGTCTTAGAAACTTTAAATGTTAGACAAACATAAAAACCAGAAGGAAAAGAAATCCCTTCCCTTACGTACAGTCACCACAGCTGACGGAACTGTCACGTGAGGAGAAAGCCGCATAAACATCTGTTAAACCTGCGGTTCTCAAAAGGCGTGTTTAGCGTATTTTCGGAAAAGTGCAAAAACAATAAACATGACGCTTTCTTTCGGTGATCTAAACGCGTTTGAAATGTCAAATCACGTTCTTTCGAAGTGTGATCTTATGATCATGAAATTGCTAAAATCGTGAACAAAATGAACATAAAAGTTTTATGATCACGAATTCCTAACCTATAAATGCAACGTATATTTTTGGTCAAATGTTAGGTTAGTCAATATTTGTCACTGAAGAGGAGCATCATCGTGCAATTACGAATCACAATCTTGAAATCATGATCGCGAAGTAGCCGAAAGAAAGGGCCTAAGCTATGTATGTAAAAAAAAATAGATAATGTAGATTGCCGTTCCAAATTCGTCCAGTCCCCACATGACGTCACGCGGAACTTTGTGAATTTAAAACGGGATTTTTAAAGGAATTTTCGTCTTCTACTGCAAATACTAAAATTTTTTAATTATAACTTCATTCACAATGCAAGAATTAACAATTACCATGAGATGAGATGTCTATATCCCTTTAAATACCCTGTATATATTTCAACGTCGGATGCAACCGGTCAAGTAGTTGGAGATTCTGGAAGAATGAGCCACCGCCATCACCAACTGTCGATATTTTTTTCGTAATTTCCGGAGGATGTTTGGGATTTGGGGCTTGGCGTCACCGGTCACTTGTTGATTATTAAAGCTTGTTGGTGGTGGGATTATTGCATTTTGAGTTGTATTCATAGAGTTTAGCTTTGTTTTTGTGTTTGTGCGTAAGATTCAACCGCTTTGGTGTCTGGTAAAGTATTTTATGTAGTTTACTCTTATGTACTTATATGAATTGTCCCATTTCTTAAATCAGATTTTTTACATCTACCATTGTGCTAATATGTAATTTACAACATGCGAGGTGTTGAACTAATATCCATGTGCTTGTGGAAGGCTATGATATCTCAGGTTTAGACCACGTTTAACTCAGTTACACGGTGCACGGGGGTATACCTATGTAGAACCTCGACTTCCGTGAAGTAGGGCATGCAATGCTAGGTGTATTTAGTTTAGGGTGATTCGTAACATTCGCGAATTCGTGTGCCTTGTTGTATGTAACTCATATCTTTCTACCGTGAGAGGGAGCTCGGACGCTAGAATAGAAAGGTATTCTAGAGCTAAGGCACAAAAGGATCCGAGGGCCCTCGAACCTCCAACTTTAGGGACGAAGTGCTGCTAACCGAAGGCCGTCCTGCCCATGGGCGGCGACCCATCTCTTAACCATCTTCAGTTTTGTGTCGTTACGTGACCAATGTCAGGGCGAGTGTTACGAAGCACAGGTAGTAGTTCCGGAAGTCTGGGGTTTATACCAATGTCATTATGTGGAAACTGAGCATATTTGGGGTCTCCACGAGCACACTGTGTATTGTCATAACTTCCTATTGTTACGTCACAACATGAATAATAGATCAGACATGTTTTTACAAACTTCACACCACTCCATTCGATATACAATGATATGAATAAATAGTAAGGTGACATATCAATAAATGCTTGAATGTGTTGCCCCTAACAATCTTAACTGCGCTACGGGTTAATAGGCAAATACGCCAGCCCCATCCCTAACAATATAACCGTGAAACAGGAGGGCAATCAAGCGAAGACGCTGGCCCAAACCTAACGAATAACCAGGTCACCACCCAATGACTTAACTAAAAAGTGAGTTGCCTTCTAGCCGCGATTAAAGGGAAGTACGTGACATGTTGTGACGCATATCTACGCATACTGTTCAAACGTAGTCTGTTACTTGAATTCATTCATTAATTAAGACAGTGTTACATTATTCTGCTTAGGTGGTTGGCGTTTTAATTTGCTTGTGATTAACATAGTCTGGGTTTTATTCAAGGCCAAAGTTTTTTCTCAAGTCGCGCTCTTTTTCTCCTTGGTAGTGTGCTTTTGCGAGAGTGCGGCACCTTTAGGTTTTGCTTGCTTTGCTTTTAATGTACCACATTCAAATTCCCGGGTTTTCAGAATAACTTTATAATAAATAAACTCGCAGACTTTACAGCGTTTTATTTGAGTGTTCCTGCCCGACTGGGTCCCGAGTCATTGTATTAGCTTCGTGTAACGTAAGGGGGCCCCACCTTAGACGATCGGATCACGTGCCGTTCTTTTGTTTGAATTTTGAGCGGGAACCGTGTTTTGATACTGGGATTGCAACGTTGCCACTTTGCCGTGAAATCTGTCATCTTCACTTACGAGCCTGGGGTGGGTTAAAGTAAGTTCATAGCTCTCCGTTCATACGTTTCCGTTTGTAAACTTTTTAAATTGTGTCGTCCGTTTACGACGGAAAAGTTGGTTGAAGTTGAACATTTACGTTTCCGTTGGTCCGTTTTTAACAAGAGTGAGGTTATGTTTGGTACGTTAACAGCGTTCGCCTATTCGTTCTTCACGGTAATAATCAGATAGCAACGTATATTCTTACTTTCGTACCATTTTTACATACTGAAAATCACGGAGGGTACAACAAAATAAAATTTAGGTTATGGTTATACGTTGCAAATGTACAATGTGGACGGATTGCTATGAACCTTAACAAAATTTTCTATCCGTTTGGCTGCCACACGTTTTAATTGCCTATTTATCTGCAATCACGTGGGTAGTTAATGTTAATTATTGGTGCAAGCCTTGTATGTACCAGAAAGTGGTCTTTTTGCGATAGTAGTTCCACTGACTTATTCGACGTCTACAGTAGTTCGAATGGACAATCACGTTGAATCTAACCTTAAAAAACAATTCGTCAGTCTTTTCTCTTCCAATACCGAGCTTTCTACTTGCTGTTTATTTTTCTAAAGCATGCCATTCCAAACTATTAGTGAAACTATACTGTGTTATTAATAAAGAAATATGTCAGCTGCGCTCGTACGTGAAAGCTTAGAAGTTGTCGATGCCGATTTCAATGGTAAACTGTGTAGTTATTTAGTGTCACCATCATTAATGTTGTTTGTAGATAAAAGTAAGAAATCCATCAAGAAATCCAAAAAACGTAAAAACGATCAAACTGGTAGGTTTCTGTACGTTAATGTTTTGGATATAAAGATTTTTTTGTAGAACTTTTTCCAACAAGTAAAAAAATTTCGGTGAGCGAATTAAGAAAAAACAAAAGAACCAAAGAGCAAAATTTGCAAGAAAATTTGGAAAAATTAAGACTAATTCGTGAAGTATGCGCCATAGATTTGGAGGAAAATATCACTAATAAGGTACAATTCGTTGTCAGATCTTGACATAATTGAGGCTTTTTAGATAATAGAACGAGCAGTATCAAGAAGGCCAATAAAGGCAAAGAAGGTCTCGAAGAAAGCGGAGAAAACCGCATTTACCGAAGAAGATTTCGCCAAATTTGAACAGGAATATCTTAACGAATGAGTTTTTGTGGTGTAAATACAGAATGAACGATCACAATTTGGGAGTTTTGGGTTTAACTTTAAGCGTAGCTTTTATAGGTTTCATATTTTTTCACTTGATGATCTTGCCAGTTTTACCATTGGAAGATGAAACGGCAGCATATTATCAGAATCACATTAATGCGATTTTGGTTGCTTGTGGATCATTTAGTTTTCTGGTTATCGGCACTTTGTTACTTTATACATTTTATGTTTTAAATGGTAAGTAGAGTTCAGTTCTATTCAATACTAGCTTACTGTGTTATTAATTTTAAAACTAAAATGAAAAGTATACGATATAGTTGAATAAATTGCTTTCAAAATAGTTAAAACTGTTAAAAAATAACATCTAGTTATATTTGTTTGATTGAGGACAGAAAAATTTCAGATCTTAGGATATTAGAATTGATAGATGTGACTAATAATGACTCAAATTTAAAATTATTACAATTAAAAATGGATGCCCTAAATCTACAAATTGTTACCAAAACGAAACTAGTAGACAGGGCTAAAACTGAAAATTTTAGCTATTGTATGTATGATAAGTTGCCTATACGGCAGAGCTACCCGTGACACGATCATACACATACGAGTATTATATGTCTATGGACACAATGTGTTGGTGAATGTATATTTAGTGTTTTCCATAGGTACCTCCCTTTTTCCAGATTTACCCACATATTTTATCCTCTGTTCTCTCGGCACGGTTCTTTCTGCGATGAGTTCTAGGGAACACTGCATGCCTTTGGATTTTCAATGCATTCTGTCAAAATTTGTAGGAACTCTTTTGGCATTTTTGAATCATTTACCACTTTTAATAAGTCATTCAATAAACTTCCTTCTTTTGCAATAATACGATGTCAACACTTTTTCTCCTGCACCAATAAACGAACCCAAAAAAGTAATCAGAACTCATAAACGAACGCGCTTTTTAATGACAAAATCTAACAGTACCTACATATAAACATTTTTTTTTCAAATAATTTGTTTTTTTGTATTATTTGATTCTGCTGGTATTTATTTTCTCTTTCTTTTGTTCTCATTTTTAGCATTTATTACTAATTTAGAATTAATAATTTTTCTTTATATATTTTCGCCTTTGTCCTGTAAATGGGTGTTCCTGTTGGGTAAATAAAGCATTATTATTATTATAATACAATAAGTGACAAGAAATATCACTAAGTATAGTGTCGAGTAAAAAAACAGACTAAAGGTAAATTTTGATTCTGCAAATCATGCTCAGTAATTCAACAACTACAAACTTAAAATTATCACAAAATTAAAATTAATTAGCAGCTAGTACTTATGCCGAGTGGGCCCTAGGCTAGATCATACAATCTTATGCTTGAAATAGTGCAATTCTATTTCAATTGCAACATGTCTGCCAACATACAAAAAACATTGATATGTCAACAAAGTTGCTAAACAGTAAACCCAAATAAAAATTAAAATTTGATTGCTTGAAGAAACATGAAAATTTAAGAAATAAATAAGATTAATAAAAAAAAAGTAAACAGTATAAGCTCCTCAGCATCATAGTGGTCGCCGCTGTATTTTACAAGGTTGGTAACACAAAAACAACTAGATTTATCCCTAGAATTGCCCGGTTCATGCCAGAAAAATAGCCACGGTCCTATAAAAATTGCTTGCAAGTCTCTTGCATCAATTTCTCAGTTGGCTTTGAACAGCTCAAGCCTGTCGTAATTTCTCTTGTAACTTGCATATTTTTATAGCTAAAGCTGCAATAATTGCACATGCAATTTTCCGGTTTAGAACTTGTGCGATATGTAAAATAGTTAATTTTTCCTACTTTATGTAGGACCTACTCTACTGATAATACAATATCAAGTTTATTTATTGAATATCATGTCGAGAATGGTCAAATTCCAGCTGCATCACCGTAAATATCACTCTTTCCAGGATGGTTGCTATAGAAAAAAAGAGACAATTGCTTGCTAATGGTCATCTTTGAAATTTAAATGAATTTCAAGATTGATCTCAATTATTTACGGATCCCTAAAAAAAGTTGCTCGAGTTGGAGGAATAAAGATTGAAAAAAAGAATACACAGTGGCGAGGGTCAAGGGAAGCGATTTCGGAATGAAATAAACAATAAACTGTGTGGAAGTTAGGTCTTGTGTACCTAATCAGTTTCTATACGCAATAACTTCTGCAATTATTGCGTGAAAAATTGCATCGATTACTACCGACTGCTATGCACACATTTTATTTTATTGTAATCTAGGTTTACTTGTAATGTATTTCGTGAAATACATTTATAATGGAACAATTTTTAATGTATCTATGGAATAAAATAAATATTAGATTAATTAGCAGTGTGCCAAATCAGGACCCTTCAGAGTATGGGCCAGCCAAGGCTTACTGAGCCTAGTGAAAGACAAAAGCGTTGAAAACAACCCAACTGTTTTTCTAAGGTACCTATGTAGATAGTGTAGTCCAATCTTACTATTTAGTTCATAGTCACAATTAGCACATTTATACTTTAGACTAATTTATGTTTTAACATGTGCCGTTTGAAGTACTTTTTAACATTTGTCTCATAATCACAATTAGTACATTTAAAATCTTTGCAAATGTTATGTTTTAAAGAGTGCCGTTTTAAGCAAGTTTTGTTATTCGTCTTGTAATGGCAATTAGAACATTTATAATCTTTAGACACTCTGTGAGTTAAAATGTGATTTTTAAGATATACTTTCCTGTATGACTTATAATCACAATGAGCACATTTAAAATAGGTAGAAACTTTATGTTTTAAAAGATGTTGGTTAAGGTAATACTTATTGTTTGTCTGAAAATCACAATCGGCACATTTAAAATCCTTAGAATCTTTGTGTTTTAAAAGATGTAGCTTAAAGGCGCGTTTGACATTTGTCCCATAATCACAATTGGTACAATTAAAATCCTTAGAAACTTTATGGTTTAGAAGGTGTTGTCTAAGATTGGATTTACTATTTGTTTCATAGTCACAATTAGCACATTTAAACTGCTTATAAACACTGTGTTTTAAAAGGTGTATTTTGAAAGAGTATTCATCATTTGTCCCATAATAACAAGTAGCACATTTAAAATCCTTAGAAACTTTATGTCTTAAAAGATGTCGTTTGAAGTCGCGTTTAACATTTGTCCCATAATCACAATCAGCACATTTAAAAACCTTAAAAACTTTGTGTTTTAAAAGGTGTCGTTTGAAGTCCTTTTTAAAATTTGTCTCATAATCACAATCGTTACATTTAAAATCTTTAGAAACTTTATGTTTTAAAATATGTCGCTTGAAGTGGTATGTATCATTTGTACCATAATCACAATCAGCACATTTAAAAACTTTAGAAATATTATGGATTAAAAGGTGTCGTTTGAAGACATGTTTATCATTTGACCCATAATCACAATTGCCACATTTAAAATGCTTAAAAGGCTTATGTTTTAAAAGGTGTCGTTTGAAGTTCTGTTTATCATTTGTCCCATAATCGCAATTAGCACATTTAAGATCCTTTGAAACTTTATGTTTTAAAATATGTCGCTTGAAGTGGTTTTTATTATTTGTACTGTAATCACAAGTAGCACATTTAAAATCCTGCAAAACTTTATGTTTTAAAAGATGTTGTTTGAAGAGCTGTTTATTATTTGTCCCATAATCACAAGTACTACATTTAAAATCCTTAGAAACTTTATGTTTTAAAATGTGTCGATTCAAGGTGCGTTTATCATTTGTCCCATAATCACAATCAGTACATTTAAAATCCTTTGAAACTTTATGCTTTAACAGATGTAATTTGAAGTTGCGTTTAACATTTGTCTCATAATCACAATCAGCACATTTTAAATCCTTCAAAACATTATGTTTTAAAAGATGTTGTTTGAAGAGCTGTTTATTATTTGTCCCATAATCACAAGTACCACATTTAAAATCCTTAGAAACTTTATGCGTTAAAAGGTGTTGGTGCAAGTTATATTTCTTCTCTGTCCCATAATCGCAATCACTACATTTAAAAACATTAGGCACTGTTTTACACAGAGTTAATAGGTGACACTGAAAGTCAGAGTATTGGTTTATGTCTTCATTATAAAGAGATTTAGAACACTCTGTACTAAAGGCAACTTCGTCCTTTATTGTTACCAAAACTTCATTGCTTACTGCAGTGTGTCCCTGAAGAAATGTCAATCAATTTAATGCTAGTCTTCCATTGGGACAATGTTTTGTTAAGTGGGTGGTTTATAAAAAATCAAATTAATCGGAACCATCGGAACTGCTTTCGTGTTCAAAGTTTATAATAATAGTAGCAACGTTTTTCTAATTGCTTTTCTCTTTCGTACCACTCGTGTATTACAGTTTCCGTATCCTTAACTGAATTGCGCCACGTTTCGGAAGTTATCGATTGTAGTGATTCTTGTCACATGTTTATGCAATTTTCAATGCTTCGTCCATCTCTTACCAATGTGTCGATTGTAGTAATTTTTCGCTATGCCCCAAATATGTTCGATAGGATTAAAAACGCGATGATAGGGTGGTAATCGTAAAACGAAGTAACCGTATTGCTCGCTAAGTGGTCAATGCCTTATGCGGTACATTTTAGCTGATTTATTCCTAAAAGTATCAACAAGATTTATATAACATCAAATAATTTGCGAACGTACTTACTGTGCAACCTTTTCAACAGTTCGGTATAAAATCATTTTCGGAGAACTGCACATTATGATCACCTAACCACACTTTAATGTTGTCTGTTTTCCCGTTATCGAACACAATTACTGACGGGTTATCTAAATTCTTCAGTAATTTCTCTTCAAACCAATGCACAGCGAAAGACGTAGAAAATAATCAAAATCAAATCAAACGAAAATTAAACCAAAAGTAACCTGTCAAATTTACAAATTTAAACGCGACAACATAGCGAAATGCTACCAATTGTTGCGGCTAAAATAAACTACATGCTTAATGTGTTGCCTAATAAACGAAAGTAAGTTTACGTTGGTACGTCGTTTTCTTCAGGTAATGACGTGCAACGGAAGATATACTGAATAGACCGTAGGTGCTAATGCGCTTGCCTGTTATTATGTAGTGATATTTACCAATCATTTACTCCAGTTTGACATAACGGATTGAGGTTAAATTGTTTTCCTACGACATTCATTGAAAATGACATATGTCGTACAATTATGTTTACTTGAAAATTGACAATTTCGCTCACTTATGGCAAAATGTAACGGAAAACAAAACGCACCCGTGTGATTTGCTTTCTCATAAGATTTACCATACATTAGAAAGCAAATCGCATGTTACGTTTTGCTTTCGTAGTAGTCTAATCTTCGTGTAACATCAACGTAGTAAGCGTACGTCAAACTTTAAAATTGTAATTGCGATTAGTTTATTCTTGAATTTATTCCCTTGTGCTACGCGTTTAATTCCTTACTTAATTTTAATGGCGAAAAGTGATTCTTCCATGGATGTAGAGTGTACTCCACCCAACATCAGGGAAGAGGCAAAATCCACTACACTCGAATTACTACCAACTAAATTGCGGCTGAGATATGAAAAGTAGCGTACGTCTAATAATATTAGTAAATTTCTGGCAGAAGCTCCAAACGACAAGTACCTCTTTGCTAAAGTAATTATAACAATAGTTCGTTGAAGAGAAATTGAATCTATTTCGTATTTTTAGATAGTTTTAGTAGTTGGTTCGAAATAAAATAACTTTTGTTTCATTATGTAAGTAGATTTTTGGTTGTTGTATGGAGAGTCGTAGGAAAAATAGTGTACATGACTCGTTTGAAAGCCACTTTTCACACTCGTGTGATTGCCACACTCGGCTTCGCCTCGTATGGCAACCTTCACATCTCGTGTGAAAAGTATCGCTTTCAACACTCGTTACGTAATATACTATTGTTTTGTTTATGAGTTATTGAACTTTTTTTTAATCTTAATAGTAAAGAAGCCTTTCGTAGTTATATAAATCAGTATACGTAAGTGATACACAATAATTGTAAAGGAATACCTAATGTTTGGCAATTTTAGTGTGTTCATTACTTAGAAATAAAGAAATGCAGGTACTTGTGGGAAAGTGGATTCTTCGGTTTCATGGCACAAGTAAGTTACAATGCAATTATCTGCAATCAATGCATTTATGCCATACTTGTTATTAGATTCCCAAGTGAAAAAAGCAACAAGAATCGGTGACTGCAAGCATGTGAACTATCGGAATTCGATGATGTAAAAAGAAGGTTGTGTTCTCGTCATTTTAACCGCTATGACTGCATCGATTTGGATGCACGCAAGCACGATGGGAGTCACTTAATACCTAAAAGATTTCCAACTCGACAATGTTAATTTTATTTTAAAAGCAGTAAATGTCTTTAATTTAATTGTGTTTCTTTGAACATTGGTAATGTATCACTTTATATTATAGCTGATGCGAACTTATCCATTTCATGTTATATTCAAGGTATAATCCCTATAGGTATATTATTTCAATTGCAATTTAAGTTTCTAAATCGTAGGCCGCTTGACATGGAGCAATACAACGCGCAAGAACTTGCAGAAAGAAATTGCAAGGTCAAATCCTTGCATGCAATAAGCGTTGCATGGTATTTGACAGGGTGCAATTCTATTTCAATTGTCACATGTCTGCCAACAGAAGAAAAATATGGACTTGTCAACAAAGTTGCTAACCTCCAATAAAAATTAAATTTTGATTGCTTGAAGAAACATGAAAATTACAAGAATAAATACGATTAATAAAAACAAGTAATGAGTGCGTCTCTCAGCATCATAGTTGCCGCCGTTGTTTTTACTAGATTGGTGACACAAAAACAACTAGATTTATCCCTAGAATTGCACGATTTATGCAAGAAAAATAGCACCGGTCTAAAAAATTTGCATGCAAGTCTCTTGCAGCAATTGATCAGCTGGCTTTGAACTGCGCATGCCTTTCGCAATTTTTCTTGCAACTTGCATGCAATTGCAATTTTTAGGCTCCATGTCAAGCGGGCTTACAAAGTTTGCCTTCGAAGTTGAAGGGTGTAACCGTAAACAAACTCCGCTGAGGAAACTCGAAAGTTCTCCGTGAAAATGCTACAGTTTCCAAGCAGAACGATACGGGTGAAGTTTCCGAATGGTGCGTGGTTGTGTTTACATATGGTAATTGCACACAATAATGGTTTAATAAAATTTTAACCCTATCTTCGAGTTATAGGTTATGAAATTTGAAATTGGCGCTACTTAAAAGTAGGCGGAGAGAAGTAAATATTTACTTGGGGAGTTTGCGCATAAATACAGAGTTGAGGACTAAGGAATAGGGCAGCTCTCTTTTATGGCGAACAATTTGCACATTGCAATCATAGGCGGTTATCCATATACTTCTCTTATATATATGGTCCAAAGACGCCGCGGTGGTTGCACTTGACAGCGAAATATACAGGGCATTTAGAGAATTGGCAAGTCAGAATCAATCCATTGAGTTTTGTAGTAATTATATCCAGGCACGTGTTCGATCCTGACAATCGCTTTGGCAACTTTTTATAAATGAAAGTAGATATTAGGTTAAACGAGAAAGGTTTTGTCGTTTTGTGTGCTAACTAAAATTCTATTTACAAAATATAAAAAATCCATTAGCTTTTTATAATAAAAATCATGAAATGTTATGACTGCTATGCGTGAAGAAAAAATTATTGCACTACCCTGTACAGATACTAATCTGACAGACTAGAAAGTTGGCACCGTTGATTGTCACCTGAACAGATTTTATTGACAGAAAAGTAAATACGTTCCAATCGCAAGAAGCAGATTGAAGAAATCAAAAGCCGAATTTTCCCAATTTAGAAAAAATAAGTGGTCTTATGAATAAGAACATGTTTCTTTTTTAAATTGTTAAGTAATTCTGTGCTTTCGAATAAGATTTTTGAGATGTCATCGAGAGTATTGCGCAAACTGCAAGGGGACAATGAGTTAAATGAAGAACTTTCCGATTTAGAACCCGAAAGTGATCTGCCTGTAAGTGGCGGTGCGAGAAGAAAGCAGTTGAACATCAATAGATACGATCTGGTTTGTTAGTGCAATGTTACATAACTCGTAATAATTAATATTGATGCAGTTAAATCAACAGTCGCTTTCCGAAAGCGAAGTGAAAGAGGACGATAACGAAACCGAGGTTACAAACGCGCACGACGGAGATGAGGTTCACGAGTCGGTAAAGCGTAGGAAAAAGAAAAAGAAGAAAAAATCTGGGAAGCACTCTAATGTTCAGCGTAGCAGCGAGGACAATGCCGAAGTATGATTCGTCTAGAGTGTCGCATTTTTAATGCCTAAGTGTCTTTAGGTTGATGAAGTTGAGAGGTCTGTTCGAGAGGTCAATCGATTGTTGGGCGAGCAGTGTGTATCAGTGGTAGCGTCGTTGAGGCCGGAAAAGGGACCGCCGACAAAGAAAGGTGTATTAAACGTGCATCATAAATACTTGAACCCGAACAACGAGCTCAAAAGAATATTTGGCTCGAAAATCATTCAGACTGAACAGTATGTGGTTTAGCAAGGGGCGATTCGTAAAGCAAAATCCGCATATATTACACATAAAGTCCTTAGAAAACTTATTCTTTTGAAGAAAATCTAAATTCTAGATAAATCTTCATTATTATAAACAAAATTTAAAGAAAATGCAATTTTAAAATTTAAGATGACAGTTACGCCCTCTGTTGGTCACTTTTAGAACTTGCAAATATTTTCCAGCGATTCTTCATAACAGATTGACCCAATAATTTTTTTTATCCCTAAGTCATAATATGACGAATGGTTCTCGAGATATGGCCGAGGAACAGTCTTATTGGGTGACCCGGTAAATAGCCCGAATAAATAAAGTAAAGAAACGTACACGCTTTTCAACCGTCGCGAACCAGCTCCCTTGCAGTATTTAATGAAATGCCACTTTCGTAATAAAATAAATCTTTTTTTGGTTTTTTACAGATAAAGTGCCAACTGTAATTAGCCTTGACGGAACGCGTCCCCACTTACGCCGAAATAATGCGCCCATCGTTGAACACCTGCATAACCCGTTATCTCTTCTAACACCGACAAAAGACACGTGCGTTAATTATATCGTCCGATAACGAAGGTCTCTTATCGCAAACGACCAGATGCGCCTAGATTTAAACGTAATAATTAAATAAACAATATGCAATTATAAACAATTTTAAAAGGAAAATTAACACTATAGAAATACAAATTCAAATGAAATAAACCAATTCAGTACTTAACTTAAAAACAAAGGCCAAAAATAAATAAATAGACAAATACTGTTAAGTATTCTAAGGACTTGACGATGTCTTAATTTCGTACGTTTTGCGGATCGCCCCTTGTGGTTTAGTATCCCACTTTACAGTTTCTAATGCGGTCGTTTTAAGCAAAAGGAAGTTGAGAGGTTGTCGCGGCCACGTACGTACAACTTGGCTGGTGGCTAGCAAAGACAATTGGCCTCAGGCGGCGAAGCTCGGACTGTCGATGAGTTTACAAGAAACGAAACCGGGCGGAATACATTACTTCGCTTACGAGCACAGCCAAACGTATAGGCAAATACAGACGAAATTCTTGGAGGCCGTCGAGAGCTTAAATCCTGATAATATCGTTGCGATAATTAACGAGCATCCGTTTCATGTGGACGCGCTAATACAATTGTCCGAATTGTGCAAACTTAGCGAGGATTTAGCGATGGCTGCCGAACTAGTCGAGAGGTCTTTATATTCGTTGGAATGTTCGTTTCATCCCCTTTTTAATATAGCGCAGGGAAATTGCAGATTGGACTATCGAAGACAGGAAAATAGGTAATTGTATCGTAATCGTGAAAGGTTTAAAACATTTAAAATCATTTTAGGATATTATTTATTACGTTATTTAAACATCTGCTGTTCGTTGCGGGTCGCGCCTGTTATCGTACAGCTTTAGAACTTTGCAAGTTACTGTTATCGCTCGATCCAGACGAAGATCCTCTCGCTGTGAAGTTAGTTATAGACTTTTACGCGGTGCGCGCTAAGGAATACGTTTGGCTCATAGATTTCTTTGCGGAATGGGACGCGACCAAAAATTTATCGCAACTTCCCAATTTCGCCTATTCGACGGCGATCGCATATTTTCATATGTCCGAAGACGATAACGACACACTGAAGGCGGATAGTCTACTGCAAGAAGCTTTATTAATGTTTCCCGGCGTTCTGGTGGCACTTTTGGACAAATGTTCTGTGCAAGTCGACGCTAGGGTTTCAAAGCATCACTATTTTGGGCCAACGGCTGTTGCTAAGTAAGTATATCTTTATCCAGTAGATAAACATACAGTGTGGATTACCGTTGAAGAGAAGGTACTGCTATACACATATAGATGGCAATGATGAGAGGCGTAAGTTCATATATTTCGGCTGTACAGGGTGAGTCAATAATTGCGCGGAGTAACTTAATACCTTGAAGATAAGATTTTTCGATAGAATGCTTTTGTATTATATTATGGTTCAATATTTTCCACATTTTAAAAATATTTGGAATTATACAGGGTGCGCCCACAAACTAGGGCGCCCAAATAGTACATTTTCTTAAATAGAACCCCCTGTATTTGAACGCATTTTTGAATTCTACGTGTAATTGTACTTCTTTTTTATTATATTATTATTATATTTGCAAGCGTCAGTATATGTTGTCAAAATTATTACCTATATTTTGATTCCAGGTTTTATATCTTTTATCCTGGGTTAAGTAAAAGTCAAATAAACACATCTACTATGAAACATTAAAAATATAGCTTACAGGGTGTTTGTTTTGGTAGGTCCCAAGTTGCAAAACTTCATATTAAAAATCTCACTTTTTTTAAATTGAACACCCTGTATATTTTTCTGTCATCTTTTACCTCCTCCAAAAACCTTCAACTATTTGATAATAATGTCCTGTACCTATCTCTGATAGTTTTCGAAATATCTTGGTTTTCATGGTTTTTATATTCTAATCTTAAATAAGTTATATGTAATTTACATAATAGTGAGGTGACCATGCAAAAAAAGGCAATTGTTATCTATCTCGTCCAAAACGAAATTCATATCGATTAATTTATTTTTCAAACAATTTATTTTAAGTCCAAAAACTGGAGAATAAGTAAAAACATTTGACTACAAAGCAAATTTAATTTAACTCCTAATGTCATCCAGTCAGTGATATTAGTTTCATTTTTTTTTTCATATTCACCTCGTTATTATGTAAATATTAGAACTTATTTCAGATTAAAATATAAAAACTAAGAAAACCAAGATATTTGTTTATGTTTTTACTATCAAATTTATTCTCCCGTTTTTATACACTTAAATGAATGAATTAGAAAAATAAATTAATAAATATGATTTTGGCTTTGAACGAGGCAGATAAAAAGTGCCTTTTTTTGCATGGCCACCTCACTATTATGTAAATTACATATAACTTATTTAAGATTAGAATATAAAAACCATGAAAACCAAGATGTTTCGAAAACTATCAGAGATAGGTATAGGACATTATTAGCAAAAGTTGAAGGTTTTTGGAGGAGCTAAATGATGACAAAAAATACACAGGGTGTTCCATTTAAAAAAAGTGAGATTTTTTAATATGAAGTTCTGTAACTTTGGATCTAGAAAAAAAACACCCTGTAAGCTATTTTTTTAATGTTTTATAGTAGATGTACTTATTTGACTTTTACTTAACCCAGGATAAAAGATATAAAACCTGGAATCAAAATTTAAATAATAATTTTGACAATATATACTGAGGCTTGCAAATGCCCAATTTTTCTTAAAAATCGAATTATCTTTAAAACTACTAGCTTTTCGGATATTAACCATATTATAAAAAAGGCGTACAATTACACGTAGAATTAAAAAATGCATTCAAATACAGGGAGTTCTATTTAAAAAAATGTACGATTTGGGCGCCCTACTTTGTGGGCGCATCCTGTATGATTCCAAATATTTTTAAAATGTGGAGAATATTCCACCATATCATAATACAAAAGCACTCTATCGAAAAATCTTATCTTCAAAGCATTAAGTTACTCCGCACAATCGTTGACTTGCCCTGTACAAACCGTGTGTCGCTTCAAAAGTGTGATAAATGACAGCACCATTGTAAATATTTAGGTGTACATCTGTGATAATGGTAGGTGTTGAATAAAATTCTAATAAAATAAAACTCCCAACTGATGCTTTTGAGTAGGTAAGACCGGTATGAGTCCACTTTTACTTTGAGATCTGCGCATGCGCTAGGTTCGCGCGATTTCTTTTCATTGAGTGAGATTTCGGGGGAGAGGGGTGGGGGGTGCATGCTCCAAGGTCACTGAGGTATTTTGATTGCCTATCGAGGCATGAGTCATTCTTGAGATCTGCGCATGTTCCAACGTCGTTCGATCATGATTCTTTCCTGAACAAACGCAAAATGAGTTTTTTCTTAACAAAAATTTCCGTTATTTTTTGAACACCTATTCATTTGTATGTGGTTAGAGCTCAGGCGCCTGCCTTTTTGGCTAGGACATGACCCATGTCATTGTAATAATATTAATATGTGTAACATAGGGTCCATTACATAACACATTTTTGGGAGTCATGAAAAATAAGATGGGGGGGGGGGATATAAAATGATTATGGGAATACAAGAACAAATTCATCAAATATTTTACGCCCCCACATATAACATAAAAAAACCCGACCCGACACTATAGCAGAAAGCTTTTAGTGAAAATTTGAAGTTTCTAGCTATTGTAATTGCTGAGATCTCAGCCGGACAGCAGTCACCCAGCCAACGAATATAATAATAATAACAATAAATAAAAAAATATATAATAAAAAATAGGGAAACTTTCTTGGTTTCTAAGAAGATAAATATTCATTTCTAGGAATACAGATTTATAAGGAAGATCCTAAGATGGGGGGTTCTAAATGGATTTTCAAGAAGATTTTTAATGCGGAATTGTTATCTGTTCCACGATTTATAGACTAATTTCAAAGATGGAAGAATTTCTAGCAGAAGATTCCAAGAAACGGTGACGTAACTGTTTTGTTTGGGTCCCACCACGAGAGTTTGTGGAATGAGTTTATGTCGGATATCAAAACAGAACAGTAATGTTAGGCATAATTTTTATAGATGTAAAAAGTGGGCCGTTTTTGTTTTTTATGGATAGGTTGATCCAATGGAGATTACTACCTCAACTATTTCGAAATTAAAAACATTGTAAAACATTTGCCCGTGTTGATTTTTGAATAGAGAACGACCAATTTTTTTGGTTTTTTGATTCCTCTAATTTCTTTTCCCCACAGACGAAAGGAAGAAATAAACAAAACAAATTTCCTGGAAAATGGAACATTTGTCTGATAGGTATTTTCGCACTACTAAGGCATTATGCGTAGGTGCACCATCCTGTTGAAACCAACAGTATTTTTTTTTAGGGCCATATAAGAAAATAAAGTTGATTGTGATATCTCTGAAACGAAACATTGTATTGAAAATCTCTCAGCGGTGTCTTGTAGAGCTCAAAAATGGCAATGAGAAAGTGATTTTTAATTTTTTTGTATCTGTTTAGATAACATCAAAATAAAAACGAAATCAGCAAATTTCGGTTTTTCTGGCATATCTTCGGAAGTAATCGTAATTTTCTGGTTTTCTTTACAGTATGATAAAATTGAGCCAGATTGCTAAATGTTATTTTTAACAAAAAATTTAAAAGCCTTGACTTTGTTGTTGAAATGTCATAAGAAGACCCTGTGTGGAAGGTATCAAACAATTTTATTTTTAGCGTATTTTTTAAAAATTAAAAAAATGTGCTATTGTTTGCGTTTTGTCCGTCCGGACCCACTTCTGCCGCTTCGAACTACTTCTAGGAGAATGGTCCTGGAGTCCTGGAATTTTTGTCAGTAGGTAGGTTGTACCTTAAAGGTGTGCCAGACGGCCATCAAATTTCGCTGTCTAAAAGTGGCCCCCCGCCTCCCCCATGAATTTTTGCTGAGATGCTGTTTTTGAAAGTAAAACGACACGACACACGATAACAATTGGTCTCAGATTTTGCCTACGCATGCCTTTAGTGGTGCCAAGTTAAAACTTTAGAAAATGAGGAGGGGCGGGGGGGTAAACACATGTTATACCCTTCATGGTATTTTAATAAAGGTTGCATCGAAATAAATTAGTTTGCACAAACTATAACTTTCCCGTGCGACTTTTTTTCGAGATCAGAGAGCGACGGGACTTGAGGGGAGGTGGGGTTAAAAATTAATTTTACCCTAGATTTTATCTCTCATTGTATTCTAATTAAAGGTCTCAAAGAAAGGAACCGGTTTCTACCAACTACTGCCCTTCTTTCTGTCCTCTTATCAAAGCAAGGAGTGGAGCGGGAGGGGGGGGGAGTGAACTAGTTTTATCCTTCATGGTACTCTAATGAAAGGTCTCATTGAAAGGAATTAATTTCTACCAACCATAGTTCTCCTCCTCGACCTCTTATCGTTATCGGGTCTATTCCCTCATACTTCAAGAACGGATTATGAGAAGAGGGTACTCACAAAAAGTGATTGAGACGTCTGCAAGAAATATATCCATTGGTGATGTCAAAACAAATGCTATTTCGATTTTTAAAAAATGCGCTTTATCTGCACAAGAGTTGTGCACAATTTATACTTGTTTTACTATTTCCCCAAGTAAAAAATCTATTCTGGATCATTGAATCAAGCCATAAAACTTTTGGTATCTTGTCATAACGAGTTAAACTGAGCTAAATGAAAAGAGATAATGGCGGTCATGGAACACTTGATACCCAGTACACTGCACCAAGGGTTCTGCGACCTAGCTTTAATTTGTCCATATTTTAGGCAGTCACCAGCCCTGAATCAGTTAGTCTTATTATACGTTAATCGAAGTTATCACGTCTGGAAAGAGAGCGATCTATTACCATGGTTACAGAGGAATGTCCATAGAGTTTTAGACTTGATAGACGAAGATCCGACGATCGTAAAAGATTACGAGCTGAAACGATCGCGCCGCTATCAGGGTCCGTTACCGCGAACGATTTGCAGGCATATTTTATTGTCGGACGTTAAGGGAGTTGCTCCCGTCATGGAGGTAAGGTGCGACGATGTGGCTGTGTGCATTAATCTAATTTCGCGCTGTAGGATTTCTCGGGGCCGGTGCTAAGTTTTGATCCTCTACCGCCCCTGGATTCCATTAATATATACGAGAAACCGAAACGACCTCGTATAGTAAATAGTAATTCGAGCGCCGTAGGCATTTTCTTTCGATCGCTTTTGCCAAGTTTTAACGCCGACCTTCCAGAACAGCTTCTGCAACCGTAAGTAGTACCATAGGTAATTACGTTAATTTTAAGTTTGAGTTCAAGGGAGGAAAATGGTGCGCGAGCGTTGCCTTTGAATGGAGGCGAAGAAGGAAACGATTTAAGGCAGAGCATCGCATCGTTAGTCGGGGCGATGAGAGATTTATTGAATAATATTCGACTGCCAGATGTACCAAACGAAGCGGATGTAGATGAGAACGATGATTCAGACGACGATGATGAACAGAACAATTATTTAACATAGATTTATGTTACAAATTAGGTATTTATGAAATTGTGCATTATTACAGTTGTCAGAATTATAAAATAATATATAGACTTTATTTTATGTTTCATTGGAAGTTACATTTTATACCAATTGCGATGAATGCATACTTAATTTTCAAACCTTTCAATAAAATCAGGGTGTCTAAACATTGTACGTACCCTAAATGTAATTAAAGTATATAAATAGCAGATCAAACTTTTTATTATACTGACCATGTGAGTGATAACATAAATAATGATCTTTGCGCAGATGTGCAGAGCAGGGATTTTGGAGTGGGAAGCTTGGCAAGAAGAAATTGATGTAGTTACTCATTGGTTTATTTTGTTCGTTCTGTTTTAAAAAGTGTAAATTACAGATAGTAATCATTTTATTTTTACCCATACTAACCACCAATCTTTCAATTTATCTTACAATTTGTAATTATTTTGAATAAATGCTGATATTTGTTTATTGGAGCATGGCGTTCTCCAAGCTTTGTTTTATAATGTACCATTACCTAAATCACCTTTTTTCTGCAGGTGGTTATGCTTTTATATTGTTCTATACTTCTATTAAGTATTGTGTATTTATTTAATTATTCACGTGGAAGTTTATAATCGGTGTGATGTAGCCCTGTATCACTGTCGACAACTCTGTACGTAATCTGTGGCTCTACTGTAACATTTTCTTGCAGTACTGTCTGTACTAGACGTTGCAGTAGACACCCTCTTAACCAAACAATTACTATTTTGTCATCTCACAACTGTGTGGTCTAACTAGACTATTATAGAGAAGAAAGCCTCAAGTATAACTCGTATTCAACAAATTCAATTACTCAGTAGGTAAGTAATAATAAATGAAACATGAGTAATGTCTGATTGCCCTGGGATCTCGCTCTGTATTGTTTAATACCAAAACAGATTTTTGATAACACATTTATTTATGCCATTATTGTTAGGTATGGATGAAGATAATAATGACACACTACTCATTAAAATCGAACCGAAACAAGAAGAAGAAATCTATTCTTTTCTCCAGGGACACATTTCAGTAAGCAATGAAATTTTGGTGACGGTAAAGGGCGAAATTTCTAGCACACCGTGTTCTAAATCTCTTGATAATGAAGAAGTACAGCAACACTCTGACTTTCAACACCCTATAACTCGCCGTAAAACAGTGTCTAAATGTGCTAATTGTAATTATGAGACACATAATAAAAGCAACTTCAAACGACATCTTTTAACACATAAAGTTTCTAAGGAATTTAAATGTACTAATTGTGATTATGGAACAAATATTAAACGCAACATTAAAGCCCATGTTTTGAAACATAAGGCTTCAAAGGATTATAAATGTACTGATTGTGATTATGAGACACATAGGAAGTATAACTTTAATGAACACCGTTTAACACATAAACTTTCTAAGGATTTTAAATGTGCTGATTGTGATTATGGAACAAATAGTAAAGAACTCTTCAAACGACATCTTTTAAAACATAAAATTTGTAAAGATTTTAAATGTACTCATTGTGATTATGAGACAAACTATAAAAAGCACTTTAAAGAACATCTCGTAGCACATAGACTTTCTAAGGATTTTAAATGTACTGATTGTGATTATGAGACAAATTATAAACGTTGTTTCAAAGGACATCTTTTAACACATAAAGTTTTGAAGGATTTTAAATGTCCTAATTGTGATTATCGAACAAATTTTCAACGCAATCTCAAAGATCATCTTTTAAAACATAAAGTTTCTATGGATTTTATGTGTACTAATTGTGATTATCGAACAAATGTTAAACGCAACTTCAAACGACATTCTTTAAAACATGGAGTTTCAACGGAGTTTAAATGTGATAATTGTGATTATCGAACACATGTTGAACTCAACTTCAAACGTCATCTTTTAAAACATCAAGTTTCTACGTATTTTAAATGTGCTACTTGTGATTATGGAACAAAGGATAAGGGCAACTTGAAACAACATCTTTTGAGACATAAAACAGTGAAAGATTTTAAATGTGGCAATTGTGATTATGGGACGAATTATAAACGCGTTTTCAAACGCCACCTTTTAACACATCAAGTGTGTAAGGAGTTTAAATGTGCTACTTGTGATTTTAGTACAAAAAGTAAAACTGATCTTAAACGGCACCTTTTAAGACATAAAATTGTCTAAAGTTTTGAATTGTGCTAATCGTGATTATGTGATAAATAATAGATTGGACTTTGAGCAATACCCTTTTGGGATACATTAGGCATAGTTGTTCCTGAGCATTAAAAGGAACAAATTTAAAGACTACACTACGTCAGACAACGGTCGAGTTATTTTCAGGGCGTTTGTTTTTCACTACGCTCATCAGGTTGCGGCATAGGGCCCTACAGTGAAAGGGTTTTGACTCGGCGCACTGCTAATTAGCTACTACTTACAATTTACATATTATTTAATACACTGAAAATTGTTTCATTATAATTATATCAAGTTTTGAACAATATATTAATAAAAATAACCACTGTAGATTTTGCTATAGGTTTGTAAAGGTTCAGAGAATGAACTTATAACTTTTCTCACTTCCATTAACACTTGGCATCTTAATATTAAATTCGCAATGAAAAAATCCTTTACTTTTTCTTAGACATCCAAATTGATATGATAAACAACACATTTAAATTTGATATTTTTTATATATGTATAGAAAAACAACATACCTACCAATATCATTCCCACTTCTAGTTGTAGGTACGTTGTCGATATTCCCATAAATTAGCTGGTATTAATTCCTTTATAATATATAGTACCTATTCCTCTAAATCACAGTACTTAACTATACTAAAGAATGAAATCGAATAAAACAAATTGCTATATTAATAATAGTTTCTCTTCGAGTACATTACAAAAAATCACCAAAAAGAAAAATAAATTCATTGGGCGAACACAACAAGTTTATTTTCCATTTAATCAAGACAATAGTAAATATATTTGTACCATTCCGTGTATAGATAATATTTCGGATTAAATTAGCTTGTACTTAAACCTCGCAATGTAAATATATCTCTCATCATTCAATTATTATTTTTATGTGTTCACATGGAAGTAGATCACCAGTTCAGTTGGATCCCAGATGCGAAGATTCTCAACCTTCAGGTGTAAAGACACTAGGGTTTACTCCCCTGGAAACAATTGCTTAAAAAATGTTTATACCGTTGAGAGGTTCCACCCTGTATATAGAACTTACGACGATACATACATTTTTGAGAGTTGTGCACCAAGCAATTTCTAGGTGGGAAAAAGCTTTTGGCATCTTGTCTTGAATGGCGGTCGTGACCCCGGCGCTCCATAAAAATTTGTTGTTGAATTTTGTGTTATTTAATGCAGGTAGTATAATTTTTGCATTTCTTTATATCGTATTTGTCTTTCGTATGCCGCATCTTAGATTTTTTGTGTTTTGTTTTTGAAATTTACTTGATTTAACCGCAATGCAGAATGACATGTTTAATACCGTTATCTTTTTGTTTGTAATTGTTTACGTTTTTGGGGTAAGGTTTGCTTAATTTATGTTTATATGTTGATTACTTGGTCTTGTCTGAGAACTTACATTACATTCATATAAATTTTGATCATTATATTTTAATATGTAAAAATTACCGATTCGTTTATGATGTATGTACTGACTTAATTGTTGTTTGTAACTAACAATGTCAATTTTCCTTTCAATTATTTAATTAATTTGTTGGGTTCTTTAGGTGTAAACACAAAGCAATTATTCCTTTCTAGTTCTATAGTTGTATCAATGTATGGTTTGTTTTTCCCTGTAAAAGATTAATTCCTAGAATTGTTACATGTATCGCTTATTTTGCTATCAATTTGTGAAATCATTTAATTAACAGTTTTTTTTTTAATTTATGGGCATTTTATTTACTTTTGTTAAAAGGTTGATGTAATTTATTAGCGATAAGAATGCGTTTTTAATGGGCAAAAACTCCGTGTTTTTCTTAGAAAATTATTATCTGAGATAAGAGAATTCGGCGTAAAAATTTGGCTAGGTGACATAAGGAGGGACAAGAAACTGATGCGGGATTGGCTGTTCGTGTTGCTAGTGTCCGATAATTGGAGGAAAATATTCGAATTTTGGAAACTACGAGAGGGACTTTAGAAAATTCTGAACTTGGTATAAGAAGAGCGCCTTTTGTCAATTTCGAGGCCAGGGTACTGTTCGTTGACAACTTAGAAGATGCGAGTCTAAGTTTCGTGGCAAGTTTGTTTGTTTAAGCGTACACAAAGGTTCTTCATAATTTGGATAAAGTTTGTTGTTTGGTCAAGTAAAGTTCATACAACGTTTGAGTCAAGCTTTACTATACTATATCCGATACGTTTGATGCCTTTACTAGAAGCATCTCTGGTAAAAATTTCAACCAAATACATAATTAATAAAAAATCGTCAAGATTTTTTTGGCTCAGGGCTATCGAATGCAACAAACTAAGTGTATTGAAAACTGTAGGAGTAGTTGCTACCCTGGGACGACCAGACGGACGGAGAAACTTGTCATAATAGCTCCTTTCAATATGAGTCGGAAATTGCGCTAAGAATAAGCATAGAATCCACTAAGCAGGAGACTTTATTATGAAGAAAGGTTTTCGCTGCACTAAATTTTGTACGATTGCGCAAAAAAAATTCTTTTGAACTTTCCCCCTCCAATTCGATCAAACTATATGGGGTAGTTACAATGTCCAGTTGACTTATGTGATCTGTGGTGCGGTGTAGTGTAGTGTTAACCCTTTATCACCTTTTATCAGAAATAGAAGTTAATACAGTTTTTCCCTTAAAATAATTAGGTGAATGAGTTAAAAAGGTATGAACGAATTTTGTTTCCTTTCTCACGTATCAGATCTAATTATTTACATAAAATCATGTTCATGTAAATGTCTGGGATCTAATTCTAATTTGCTTTTACACTGTATAGTCCTATCCGGTGTCTACACTTAGCAATATGACCGTGGAGGTAACATCGAAACAGATTCAAGACTTGCGAACGAATTTTTTGAAAGAGCTCGAAAATCGAGGGGAATGTTCAGGTGAGGTGGATTACTTTCATGTTCGCATTTAGAGTAAGTGCAAATCCTACAGTGCATCCAGACGATTTGGAGCGCATTAAATCCGGAGACGAATGGTTGCAAAGATTCCTCTTGCATCATGATGCGCGTGAAAAGGAAGCCTACGATATGTTATGGGAAGCAGTGGTATGGCGAAAGGAATTTAAAACAAATGGTATGATTATTTAATTTCTTAGTGTAAATATTGGATTATGTAATTTGAGTTTTTGCAGTGTAGAAAAAATGAATAGCTGTTTTTAAAGGAATTTGACCTTTGGCCTTCAATTATTGATTATTTTTAGAGGATCTTTTTTGATTAGATATTGTTTGTCAGTGTAGATTTCGATGATTTAGAAGTGGCAAAGGCTACTAAGTTTTTTCATTTCTAAAACAGTTGAATTTTGTTTCAGAAATAAATGAGTCAAATGTAAATTTGGATTTTTTAAAAGAAGGCATCTTTTTTTACCATGGCCGAGACAAAGAGGGATGTTTGTTGTTCATTTTCAAAGCAAAGAAGCACGTCAAGGGGCAGTACGACTTTGAAGACGTTAAACGGGCCGTTATTTATTGGCTCGAACGAATGGAAAGGTAAATAAAGTACGTCTGCTCTGCATCCAACGCTTGACTATGTGGCAAGTGCCGCCAACACTGTTCGTTGGATGCAGTTTAGCTCTAGAAATCGTATTCAGCTATAATTAATGTTCTGTTTAGGTATGATAAAGGAAAACCGGTTTCTCTGTTTTTTGATATGGAGGGATGCGGTGTATCTACTGTCGATATGGACATAATCAAGTATATTATACACGTATTTAAAAATTACTATCCAAATTTTCTAAACTACATTATTATTTTGGAAATGGCATGGATATTAAATGGTGAGTATTTGGTTCATAATTGGAAGAACCTCATTTGAAACCTTATACATTGTGTCCAAGATAAGAATCTCTTATCTCGAAAACCACAGTATGGCACAGAACAAAAAACAAAAGTTGGAAAGAGTTTGGTTTCAAACAGGATGGTGCACCCGCGCACAAGCCCTATTCGTGCGAGAAAACCTATCGGACAACTTTTCCATTTTCCAGGAAATTTGTCAGATTGGTTTTCTGTGCGTGATAATATCTCATCGCGGAACTTTTCCCTTATTTGACCATCATCGTATCTTCAATGGTTTTCGAGGTACTCATGAAAGTAGACATCCTTATCTTGGACACAGATTATAAGGTGTATGTAATTAAAATGTGGATTACCATTTGTCAGTACTGTGTCATTACAATATGGCTAAATTAATTTCAGTTGATAAAATACCCTTTTAAAGAATTTTGCATAAAAACCACAATAAATAAACCGATACAACGAAATATCGAAGGATCCTCAGTGTTACAATCACTTTTAACGACAATTAATTTTAATCTTACAAACTACATTTTATAGTTAACAAAAACGAATCAAATTCATTTCTTGGGCATTGAGATGATGCTCTTGGTCTTTTTCCCAACGATCTTGGTGCATAAATAACAATTTTGATATGTATGATAGTTTTCCCTGATTGCTGTCGGGTTTTCTTCTAATGCGCCCGTTTTTACCACAGCCCCAACATTGCAGTCCATTACTGCTCCACTAATCTTTTCATCACGTCTTCTATATTTTCGTTCTTTTTTTACGAATGGTGTGCATACGAGCATTACCACGAAACATTTTCTTTGCAGGCATATTGTCGAAGGCATATCATATTTCAAGAACAGAATGTGTTGCATCCTTATCTCTAATCTTTTATCGACTTGATGGCGCCCCGATGTCTGGGAAACTCGCTACGGTACGTAAAATATCTCTTGCATCTCCACATAAGGCAAGTATTGTATCAAAAACGTTGCCTTCTCTCCCACTGTCTACTGATTTGTGACTGCAGCTGTGTCAAACTGTCTCAATTAGATAGGCCACGTGATTTTCCATCAAATGCCGGTGGATTAACTCGCGCGTGTTGCTGTCGAGGTGTAAATACCACTGTACGTCCGACTTACGGTAGTTTATACCGGGTGATCCAATAAGACTGTTCCCCGGCCATATCTCGAGAATTGTTCGTCATATGACTTAGGGGTCAAAAAAATTATTGGGTAAATCGGTCATGGAGAATCGCTGGAAAATATTTTCAAGTTCTAAAAATGACCAACAGAGGGCGTAACTGCCATCTTAAATTTTAAAATTGCATTTTCTTTAAATTTCGCATAATAAACTAAAAAAATTTTTTCACATTTTTAAAGAGAACCAGTTTATCTATCATTTTCGTAAAAACAAAAACTCAGTTACACAGGTTCTACCCTTCATGGTATTGGTAAATTGGTCTGTACAAACTATAACTTCCCCGTGCGACTCGAGATCAGTGAGCGTCGGAGGCGGGGGGGGGCATTAATTTTATCTCTCATTGTATTCTAATTAATGGAAAGGAACCGTTTTCTACCAACTACTGCCCTTCTTTCGGTCCTCTAATCAAAGTACGGGAAGGAGGGGGAGGGGAGTGGAACAAGTTTTATCCTTCATGGTACTCTAATGAAAGGTCTCAACGAAAGGAATTAATTTCTACCAACCATAGCCCTCCTCCTCGACCTCTTGTCGGGACCGGGTATATTCCCTTATACCTCAAGAACGGATTGTCGGAAGAGGGTACTCACAAAGGGCGATTGAGACGTCTGCAAGAAATATATCCATTGGTGATGTCAAAACAAAAGCTATTTCGGTTAAAAAAATTGCGCTTTATCTGCACAAGAGTTGTGCACAATTTATACTTGTCATATAATAATGGGGAGACAGGTTAAGGTCTTAGGCATACCTTTTTGAGTTGGATACTCGGTTGGATATTAAAGGGTGTTGGTAGAAGAAACGGTTTTTTCGGAGCTTCTATTCTCTCCCCGTCCTTATTTTTACCTAATTATCAAGAGTTAAATTTTGCTATATATTTTGGTTTAATACTGGAATCCTTAGGTACTTGGATACGATTTCTGGGACTGATGGGGCATCAAATCACACTGTTTTAAGCATAAGCATTGCTCCCTACACTTTATATTCCCACCAGTTTTAGGTGCTCAACAAATATCACATGACCATATTTCATATTCATGCAATTACTATGTCTAAAGAAAGAAAAGATTATACTTATCATAAAAAGGCCCACATCAATAAATTTTCCATTATCACTGATTACTGTAAGAGCAAATCCGATCACAGGATTTTTAAGCTCTACTCTAATGAAAGGTCTCAACAAAAAAGTGTTTCATTTGCAACCCCCTCTAGTTCCTGTTAATGAGATTGTCATAATTCATGGAACTATGTCACTTGCAAATCTGCCAATTAAAAATAATTTATGCAAATGCGAAAAAAAATCTCAACTGAGAGTACTTCTACTTGATAGTGTAGTACAAAGTATGGAATATCTACGTATGTTGTATACACAAATTCATTAAAAAATGAGAGTACCATATTTTCTTGCTCATTAATGTTATGGGGTTTTTCTATAAGATCTCAAGCAATTTTAATTTGAATTTATATAATTTTTAAAATACTGACCGTTTTCTTTTTAGCTCTTTTTAAGGTAATTAAAACGATGCTTCCCGAAAAGGCGGTCGAACGAATAAAAATGATAAAAAAACCGGACCTAAAGTCATACGTGGATCCTGATCAGTCCTTAAAATGCTGGGGCGGTAATGACAATTACGTTTTCGTATTTGAGCCAGAAGAAAGAGAAGTTTCGCATAATACAACCATTATAAATAATAAAAAGGTAAATTTGGCAAACTGTTTTTTTAATATGTCATGTGCAGAGTGGGCAAAGTAGATGGTTTCTTCTTTAAAATAGGAGGCATGTCTCCAATTAGCCTCTGATAACTTATAACCAAGACAACTTTCTCTACCTGCAGAGAAGAAATTGTTTCCATAAAAAGCAACTACTTAGTGCCTATTCAATGATTTTTACCTTGTAAAAACCTTCACGGTTATTACAAGTTTGTGGATTCTAAAGAAAATGCACCCTGTACAGGGTGTTTTTTGGGAGCTTTAGTTAAACGTTTCTGGGAAAGTAAAATAGGTAGGTTTTTGAAAATGTGTACTTAGGAGTTTGAAGTTTCATAAATTTGGATCTCCATAGGGGCGGTCGTACGCAACTTAACTTTTTTTTAAGTACACTAAAAGAAATCCCTATTCATTCTCTACGCACTGATAACCATGCCATGCCATGACTACAACCGTTTTCAAGTAATCAATTATCAAGGTACCATCGTCTAAGGTACCATCTGCATCCGCCATTTTTTTTCTTAAAGTCAAAATAACTCTAAAACCATAAATGGCAGATATTGACATGCAGGTATCAAAAGAACTGAAATTTCACGTAGAATCCAAGAATGCAATAAAAAATAGGGGTCGCCATTTAAAATAACGAACTTACTATCTACTTCCGGTGTTTCCGGAAGTGCGGCCATTTTGAAAATATTTTACATCGATTCGGCCTTCAGAGTAACTCCTAAGTACAAATTTTTAAAAACCTACCTATTTTACTTTCCCAGAAACGTTTAACTAAAGCTCCCAAAAAAACACCCTGTATACAATAGTGACAGGGTAAAATTGTCAGTAGCCAAAACAACATAATTTCCGTACTTATGAAGATGGATATATACGATCACGTTAGAAAATGCTATTCTCAACTGGTTATAGATTCCTTGTGAATGTAGATATCGAAGTAAAACTTTACTGTGTTCTAGGTACATTTCGCCGATGGATCTCCGAATACGGAAACCTCTACGAGTTACGCCGACCAATCGGAGAGTACGTGGTTAACATGCGAATTAGCGAGAACTAATGAATTATTTCAGGCGGCGGAAGCGCTTTAAAAGTAACGCCGGCCAGTATAATAACTTTCGTTAAAGAAGGTACCGAGCTTGTTAGCACCTTGGAACTGCACAATACGGATAAGGAAATTATATTCTCGTACAAGGTGGGTGCGCGATTAATTGGCGTGGGCGTATATTGAAAAATTGCAGATGAAAACAACTTCGCCAGAGAAGTTTAGAGTTCGTCCAAGCGCCGGTTGCCTGCCTCCTGGCGGTTCGGCAACAGTTAGCGTAACTCTCTTACATGGATTTCAGTTGGGAGGACTGTCGAGGGATAAATTTCTTATAATGAGTATGCCTGTGGATAGTGTGGATCTCTCTCCTCAGGAATTAATAGAACTTTGGAAAGTAAGTGTGGTAATCACTGAGTACAGTGATCGAAATTTCCGGGAGTCTCATTCAACACTTTTATAGGGTATCTCTGTAATCAAAATAGTAATATAGGGCGTCTTTTTGGGTCAAACTTAAGATGGTAAAATCAAAATTCGAAAGCTTGCTCGCTTCCCTGTACCGGGTGACCCAATAAGACTGTTCCTTGGCTATATCTCGAGAAACGTTCATCATATGACTTAGGGGTAAAAAAAATTATTGGGTGATCGGTCATGAAGAATCGCTGGAAAATATTTTCAAGTTCTAAAAATGACCAACAGAGGACGTAACTGCCATCTTAAATTTTAAAATTGCATTTTCTTTTAATTTCGCATAATAAACAAAAAAATTTTTTTTTACATTTTTAAAGAGAACCAGTTTATCTATCACTTTCGTAAAAACAAATACTCCGTTATTTCAAAAACAATGATGGCGTGGGGCGTTCAATTGTTTTTGCAATAACCTGCTTTAACTTCTTAACCGTTTGGCCGATTTTAACAAATTTGGTATGGTTGAAAAGAGCATTCCTTGGGCAATGAGAATCAACCCAAAATATAGTTAATTAGTTGAATCCTTCTCCGTTAGGTGGTCAGTTTTGACACTATGACCCAAAATCCTAAAAAAATCAAATGGAATGATATGACTTTTTCTTTATAAAAAAGTAGTTAAAAAACATCCAAAGAGGCCAGTCAAAACCGTTTTTCAAAATCTCGTTCCTAACTTGACTTTTTAAATGGAGCACCCTGTAGATATTAATCTAAAAAGATAACATTTTAATTTCTGTTTTCAAATATGTAAGACAAACAAATTGGACGATTCAAAATATTTAAAAATGTAATTTGGAACCTTTTTTGGATTTTTGAATCACTTGAATCTTTGTTGAATTTTTTGGATCACGCGAATCTTTTTTAATTATCCATATTTTCCAAAAGAGAATTTAACCTGCAAGACGTTCCATTTAAAAAGTGAGGTTGGTTCCGATAGCTTTTTTTACCTGGTTTCGTACACTTATGCCGAAAACCGCAAATTATTTAATACGCATTATAAAGAAACTTTGTTAAACAAGCTGTATGTTAAAGAAGATACAGAAAAATGGTTTATATGAATGTTCCTTCACAGCGATTGTAGAATAACCTGCCATTTTCAGAACAAGCATACAGAGTCAGATAACCTCATTTTTTAAATGGAGTTCTGTGTAGATGTTAATCTAAAAAGAGCATATTCAATTCTCTTCTCAAATATATAACACAGAAAATTGAAAGATGTAAGAATAAAAAAATTGGATTTGGATCATCCAAATCACTTGAACCTTATTTGAACTATTCAAAATCTGTTTTTTTTTTAATCGTTTGAATCTTTTTTTAATATCCGTAGTGTTATGGAGGATATTTTTGAACAGAGAATTAACATGCTGTCTTTTTAGTGTATTTTTTAATAATTAAAACAGATGTGCTATTGTTGACTCAAGATTAAAACAGTTTAAACATTTTTTGAAATCTTTTTTGGATTTTTTGAATCACTTTAATCATCTTTAATATCATCTAAAAATCTTGAAAAGAGAATTTAACATTAAAAAATACAGGATGTTCTAAGTTTGCCCCAAAAAGTTCACTTGACAACCTATGATAATTTACTGGCAGCATTAACACTTACTGAGATACCCTATAAAGCTCATGGTCATGGTGATTTAAAGACAAAGGTGAACAGGTTCTCATGGAACACCTTTTTATGAATTTATTCACATTACCTTCTTATATAAGCTTGTCAGCAACACCCTGTATGTAGTAGATTTATTTATTTGAGCTCCTTATTTGCCAACTCTTGGTCTAAGTTAGATGCCACTCCTCTTTAGTAGGTAAGGGCGCACTTTGATCTTGAGATCTGCGCATGCGCCAAGTACAAGGGCACTCGATTTGGTTCTTGTTTCTTTGACAGAAACAGAATGACTTTGAACGGACGTGATGCATGCACGGATCTCAAGGTCAAAGTGCGCTAGAATCGGCCAGGACTACGAGTGGTGCCTCTTAATTCTCTTGTTATACTGACAAGATAGCATGAGAGGAAGACTGTGTTCCATCTTAACCTAACACCTTGGTCCTTTTTGTGTATGACTTAATTACCATGGATTTTTTGCACAGAATACCTCAAACAAGAGCATATCTGAGCATCGATTGCGCTGCTCGCAAGGAGACCAGCTCGTCAAGAACGGCAGCGCCTTACCATCCCATACGCAGCTCGACGGCGACAAGCCTCAGTTAACACAAATTTCGAACAAATTACTGCAGCTGAGCAATTGCCAGTCGGAACTGCACATTGTAGTCAAACGCACGCAACAGCTGCAGTGGATTATGATGTTTCTTGTCGTTTGCTTAGGACTCCTTACGCTATATGTATTCAAGAATGCGGTGTACGATCGACCAGGATTCTGTTACAAGGACAGAAGGGACGAGGATGTCGATTTGTAAACATCGTGTTTGTTTAATAAAAAAAAAAACAGTGATTACTGGGTTTGGTGCTTGTTCTTGTAGATTGGGGGTACTGCCAGTTTGGTTTAAGTACCCACTTTGCGGTACATATCTATTTGCCATTTAGGTAACGAAATCATTTTCGGCGGATAACCTAAGGAATACAATCACACTAAAGACTGACCTAGTCTAGTCTGCATAATTCCTTGGGTATCACGTGTTTAGTCCGTCATATCATTCTGTTCGGCCATACAAGGGGAGCATAACTAATTTTCTTTGGCAGATTTGTTTGTATTACATTCCGGAAGTATTTTTATGTTTTGAAAGTTTATTATTTTTTGTTGTTATTTTCTGTAGTCTATGTGCATGCTGTGACCTTTCTTGTGTAGCGACTGCTGATTTGTAGCAGTTTGATAGAATGCGTGGGACCATCACTTGATCATCTAACAAACTGATTGGAAATGGTAGTCGCTTTACTCATATCTTATTAAAAAATGTTTTGTTAAATTTTTGTTTTTATTTTCACTAATCGTATTCTAAAGCGAATTAAGTCTGATTGACAATACTCTACATATTTTTTTCGCTGTGTATGGCTACCGGTGTAAAGGCACTAAGTAATCTGTGGACCAGTTTGTTTGCATCTTATTCCATGTTCATTTTAGGCAATTTATCATCTCCATACCTTATGCACATTGATTATTAAGGTCCACATTGTAAAAGAGGAATTAAATAATTAATAGCTACTGATACTAAACTAAATGCATATTTTGTTCATAACTTGTATTTTTTATATTTTTATAACAATGTATTTAGTAATATGTAAGATAGATTCTATTTTAGTTCGAGTATGCTTTACACGTTACTAAAAACAAAGCGTGTTAAATTTGTTCAGTAATTTAGAAACGACAATCACTTTTGTTAGCGCCCAATACAGCAAATGTGTAGTGTAGTAGTTTAAAAAAATGCATCGAGTTACTAATTGCCAAGATAATATGTTATTTACGTATAGGTGTTGTAGAACATAAACATATGTGTATTAGTGTTCGTATATCGTTGTTATAATTTTTTTAATTCAAAATTTGCTGTACCTGGAATTATGCTAGATTTTTATTTGAAAAGTCGTAGAAATACTGTTTAAGTTGCTGTTATTCCTACTTATAATGTTACCAATAATATTTATTATTAAAGTGCCTACACTAAACTTTTCTTTTGAGTATATATTTGACCTATATTAATAACCCAATAATTAATGAATCCGTAACAATAAATCACTAAATTGTATCCCATCTTTTTTTGTGCACTTCAAATATTAACAGATTCCATTTTGGCTTGCTGAAACTTTCTTGTAGCTATAGAAATGGAAATGGAGCCATGTTTTGAGAGGTTCCACCCTGTATATACAACTTAGACGATACATACATTTTGAGAGTTGGCAACCATGCAATTTCTAGGTGGGAAAAAGCTGCCTGCGCCATCTAAAAAGCACGAACGGGGGTTACGTTTGGTATCTTGTCTTGAATGGCGATCGTGAACGCGTCGCTCCATAAATGTTTGTTGTTATTTTGTGTTAATTAATGCAGGTATAATTTTTGCATTTCTTTATATCGTATTTATGTTTTGTATGCCAAATTTTATATTTTTTTGTGTTTGAATCTTTGAATGACATATGTGATACCGTTATGCTATTGTTTGTAATTGTTTTTGGTGTAATGCTTGCTTAATTTATGTTTATTGATGTTGATTACTTGGTCTTGTCCCTGAAGTAACATTCATATAATTTTATTTTAATATGTGGAAATTACTTTTCTTAGAAACTACTCTACCTCCCGTAGGGAGTTTTTTTTTTAATCTCAAAAGATGTGAAATAATTTCAAGTGGAAGCGTTCTAATTTTCATGTCTTATATCTCAAACCATTGTAATATACATACAATGCTCAAACTGTTTGAGCGTGAGTGCCTCAGTTTCATCTTTAATAAGGACCCTGTATAATAAGCTTAGCAACTGTATATGTACTGTGTATAAAGTAACACACGTGAACTTAGCATCACTTTTCACAGCGTTGAAATCCAGTAATAACCAAGTCGATGGACATTGGCTACCTCAATTCAATAGTTTTTTTAAATTAGACACCATTCAATAGTTTTTTTAAATTAGAACCATTGTAGGTACAAAAATGTTATAACCACGGTTGTATACACGTTATAACGAAATAATTACGAGTGGCGTGGTGTAACTCTTATTTTATTCAACAAATTCTGTTAGTCAGAAAGTAAGTAATGTCCTGGGTTGTACTGGGATCTCCCTCTGTATTGTGTAGGTATAGGTAATCAATATAGATTTTCAATAAACCAAAACAGACCTCCAATACATTTATTTATAGCAAATAACATTATTATTTTTAGGTATGGATGGAGATATTGACCCACTACTTATTAAAATCGAACCAAAACAAGAAGAAGAAATCCATTCCTTTCTTCAGGGACACATTTCAGTAAGCAACGAAGTTTTGGTGACAATAAAGGACGAAATTACTAATGGTGCACAGTGTTCTAAATCTTTTTATAATGCAACACAGCAACACTCTGACTTTAAACCTCCCCTTTTAACTAGGTGTGAAACAGTGTCTAAAGAGTTTAAATGTACTGATTGTGATTATGAGACAAGTTATAAAGGCAATTTCAAACGACACCTTTTAACACATAAAATGTCTAAGGATTTTAAATGTGCTAATTGTGATTATGGGACAAATGATAGCAGCTACTTTAAACAACATCTTTTAACACATAAAGTTTCTAAAGATTTTAAATGTGCTACTTGTGATTATGAGACAAATAATAAACCCCTCCTCAAACGACATCTTTTAAAGCATAAAGTTTCTAAAGATTTCAGATGTGCTACTTGTGATTATGAGACCCACAAGAAATATAACTTTAACAAACACCTTTTAACACATAAAATTTCTAAAGATATTAAATGTACTGCTTGTGATTATAGGACAAATAGTAAACACCTCCTCAAACAACATCTTTTGAAACATAAAGTTTCAAAGGGTTTTAAATGTGCTAATTGTGACTATGAGACAAATTTCAATTCTGCTCTTAGAAAGCACATTTTAAAACATAAAGTTCGTAAAGATCTTAAATGTGCTAGTTGTGATTATGGGACAAATAATAAATACCTCTTTAAACAACATCTTTTGAAACATAAAGTTTCAAAGGAGTTTAAATGTGCTAACTGTGATTATGGGACAAATAATAAATACAATTTCAAACAGCATATTTTGAAATATAAGGTTTCAAAGGGTTTTAAATGTGCCAATTGTGATTATGAGACAAATTTTAGGTGCGGCCTTAAAAAACATCTTTTGACACATAAAGTTTCTAAGGATTTTATATGTGCTAATTGTGATTATGGGACAAATGATAAATGCAACTTCAAAGATCTTTTGAAAGGAATGCCATTGTGATTTTGGGACAAATAGTAAAACCACTGAATAAGTAATCATACTTATTCAATGGTAAAGCAGCACCTTTTAAAACATAAAAGAGTGTAACGTGTAAATCGTAATCGATGCGTGTGAACCCCTTTATGGGTAGATAAAGTGAAACAAATGCTTGTGCATTCTAATGACATCTGTCATTCTTATTTCAAATGCACAATATGACGTTCGATACATATGACAATCCTATTTCAATAGAAACGAACGCGACGGCAGAACCTAAGCTTGCTATTTTTGACGGTTCTAAATTAAATTCGGAATTGTCAGAAGTTTTACAATGATTTATATGGTTTCTGCTATAAAATAAAGTTTTGTATTATACATGACGATAAAGGGAACCTAACCATCTCGTGAAAGTTTTTCACTCAATTAAAATATCCCTTTATCATCTTGATAAATAACTCCATTGATACATACAAATTGCCCCAATACAAATATATTTCACAATTTGCATTATAGTTTTGAAAAGAGTTTTGTTATCACAGAGGAAGGCTATTCAAGCATTGTGTAGAATTGGAAGGAATAAAGTTGTATAGAAGAGAGGGGATGTAGTGAGTTAATCACGTGTATTTATTTTTCCCGTTATACCGAGCAAATTTAAGAACATTTAGTTGAACATACGTTGGAGAAATTTTAACAATTAATTAGTTTTTGCATAGTTTGTCAAAAATAGTATTTTTTTATTTCGTTTAAATATACTTAAAACGTTTTGTATTTTGTAATTTTATTGTAATTCGCCAGTATTGCATATGTCCATAATAGTAATGTATTTTTTGGTGACTCATAAACTATCTACCTATATCTATTTAAGGTATTTTCCATCTTGAACACAAAAGTTACCCGTGCAATTTCGCTCAATCTTCTAGGACACGCTGTATGTTAGTTCCTAAAACCGTTTAGTTTCCACTGATTTACATATTTACCTCACGTAGATCAATTAGAAGAGTATCTCAAACTTGAAACTGGAGACGAAGGGTTAGATTTCCATATTTTGTTGGAACCACAGCAAATAGTACCTATAGGTAAGTACATGTGGTAATTTGTCAATGATATTGGATGTGTTACTCTTAGGTAGATAGTTTGATGTGTCATGATTTTCTTCCAATAAGAAACATTCTAAATGGAATAATAGTTATCTATTATATAAGACGATAAATTGATGTTAGCCTGTATCGTCCAAAACAGCAAGCAATATTGTATTCTGTTCTGAACAGTCTGAACTTCACTTTATTTCGTGCTAGGCGTTCCATTTTAATGACAGATGTCATTGGAAAGCACAATGATTTGTTTCACTGTATCTACCCATGCCGTTAAAGTTATCACTTTACCTCCCCTTACCGTTAAAGAGACACTTAGCTCATTCAAACCTAATAAAATAAGTGATGTATAATGTATTGCAGCCGGACAGGCGTTATGTCCTAATAAATGTATACTAATTTTTTCTTGTCTATTTTTATTTTTATGTGCTCTTTTTTGGCAGGAAACCTGCATTCGGAAAACACCCCTATACAAGAGGATATACTGTGCCTATATGTAGCATAAAATTTAAATGAGAAAAAGTTCTGTGCAGAATCTATGCTTTTTGGCAATATTCTATTCTATGGCTACTTTAAAATGACAAATGGCGAGTAACTAATTTTTTTATGTTGCAATACAAATCTCGTAAAGATGTAAATTATAGCAGGAAACGAACATTTGCGTAAATGTTACCAAGAAATGTTAACGTCGTGAATTTCCAGTGCGACAGGTACATTCATGGACTCATTTTTGTTGCTTTCAACTTATGTAATTCTTTCTTAATAGGAAGTACATAATTCGGTTGCAAATACGAACCCATCATTCAATATGATTATAACGTAGAGGCATTGCAACGGGAAGATCATGGATTCGCCATCGTCTTCCACTTGGTCGGAACCTTGCATTCTTAGCGATGATAGCGGTTTACGTTCTCTGTCCAGTGGCCGATTTCTTACAGAAGTAAAACAAGCGTAATGCTGCGGAACTTGTTACGATAATCTTTACCTTTTAGATGAACTATAGCGATTGTGATGTCAAGTCACTGTCACAAGCCGACTCGTTAGATGGTATGTCCGATATTATGCACAGCGAAAATTTCAATACTCTCAAGAAGGGACCGCACTGTAACGACTCCTCCGACTATAAGTTGTCGACGCCAATAGATCCACCCTTTCAATTTCAAGACAAGCCGAATCTGTTATTGTATAAGACCTTAGCCGATAGTTTAATGCCAAAAATTCTTAGAGACGGTATAAGAAGTTATTGTCGAATGGTTACGAATTCGAAGCCATCGTCGCGAGGGGATAACCACTGCAGCAGTAACGTACAGGTATTAATGAAAAACAGGTGATTTCGCAAAAATCATGTGCGATTATCTATGGATTTCGAGAAAATGGTCTCCTTGATTTTCATTTGCCTTCTTATATTCTATAGTTGTTTTGTTGAGTTGTTTATAGCACAGTCTATTGTTGTATTTAGACTGTGACCGTAACCCTTCCTGCACATACCAGCCTAGTTACAAAGGTTCAACCCAATGCATACACAGTGTGATCTATTAAGTGTGTGTACAGGACAGGCCAAATAAATAAAATTTACTCAATTTCCAAGGGTATAGCAAAATGTTTTTGTGTTGCTTTGATGTGATTAGGAGGTAAAGGTCATTTTTGTGTAGTGCAACAAATGGCACAAAAATAGCAAAATGCTATTCAGCACAGTTGTTCAGAATTAAGTACAGTCGTGACCTTTTGTTCTGAGTTTTATTTTTTATCCAAATGTTTTTATTACCCCTGTACAACACATTTTTGTTATTCTGATTGGATATTCAAAACATACCTACTTACATTAGTCATAACTACAGTGACTTTATAAGGACAGTGGCGCCAACTTATCATAATCCGCCATATTGGAGCTAAAAAATTGATTGTAGGATCAATATACCTTGTCATGTCAAATTGTGACCATAGAATAATAAATTTCAGTTTCATTTAAGTAATGATTCTCGTTCAAAACTAACGGCGCAGAAATGATCGTTTAAAGCTTTGCAGAACAACCTACGGGGAAACCACTGCCTCCCAAATTCAAAAAGACATATAGAAAACGGTGTAATAAGTATAAAATAAGGTGCAATATCCAAAATGTACATATAAAGGTAACCATTAATCATTAAATTGTGTTTGACATTTCAGTGTGTTCTGTCACTTCTTCTCCCTTGTCGCGTGTTTCTCCTTCCGGGATAAAAAGTATTACTTTAGTCCCTTAAATGGAAAACAAAACACGTTGATTTAGTCCACTGAGTACAAGAGATCAATATTTCTTGTGCTTCAGCAATCATCAATGTTAAACATTAAACCAATTCAAGCATATTTATGATCATAATTGAATTTGCTGCTAAATTTCGGATAAGCTGCTTCTCTAACCAGTTTTCTATCTAAACTCATTAGGTATTTAGGGCTTCTGAAAAAATGTTTACATCAATTACCAGTAGTAAGGTTAGGCACAGTTTTACATCTAAAAACCCTTTAAGCGAATTACATACCTTATAATATCGGAAATCCAAGCTGTATCCTCGGCTATATGCGTCTTTAAAAATCGAGTTTATATAAAACTGGAGACGGAAAACGTAAAATAAAGCAAATACAAGAAGCAAAGTGTAAACTATAGTAACGTAAAGCCGTGTCAATTACAGGTGACACTGTCAAAACAGTAAAATTAATAATTACGGCACGCAGTGTACCGCGTCGTTTTGGAGGCTTTCTATTGGCCAGTTTGGAATTTATCTCCAATATGGCGACCGGAACCAACGACCAATCAAAAACGAGATGCCCTGTTGCCGCCACTGTCTCTATAAAGTCACTGTAGCCACAACCAAATTATTCCTGAATAAATTTACGTGGATTTATATTTCTTGAATAACTTCATGTTGGTTGCAACTATCGTTCAGACTTTCCATTTTTAGCGCATTTTCCAACTCATATTGGAAGGTGCTATTATGGCTACTTTCTCCGTCCGTCAGAGGCCTTAACCACTCCTACAGTTTTCAAGATATTTAGTTCGTTCATTTTGCAGTCAGTAGCTTATAGTTCTGGCAATCAACCAATGAAAATCTTGACGGTTAATGTGCGTATGCGGAAACTGCATAATGACAACTTTCTTATTCAAATATTTTGTTGAAATTTCAACCAAAGATTCTTCTAAGAAATATGTTAACAATCCGATGTGCGCATGCGCAGTGTCATCTGTCTTATCTATGGAGGTATTTTTATGAAACTTTAACCACCAGGGCTGGGTGTCGCCTTGCAGCATTCATCCCAGTCCTCATGATGGTTCTCGTTTTTCACCTTGAGCTGTCAGTTCTCGGTTTCTCTTCCGCTCCTTGTTTCGCGCCCTTTAGTTTTGGCATCAAATGCACATCACTTTTACCCGACGCGACGGCTCGAAACCGCCCCCAACATCACCGACCTTCCATCTTTTGGGCCAGATTTCATTGGGTTTGTATGCCATTTTTTCCCGGTTCCCGGTTACCAAACCTGGACATACATGATATTCTGTTTCGTCGATTGAGACACTTTTCACTCTACTACGAGCGAATGCATAAATGACAGTACTCGGCACCGATTGGCCACGGAAACGCGGACTGGTAGTATCGTTATTTTTGCACCGAGATCGGGAAAAAGACTAGGACATTGGCCCGTATGAATAAAAATAAGCAAATGCTTATACTTGCAAAATTCAAAGTAAATACACGTAAGTGCTCCTTCGCACTGGGCGACTTAGCAGTGATTCTAAGCAGAAGGACAGGGCGCAATGCAGCGATGCTAAGCAGACCAGTATGAAGGGGCAGTTATGAGTATTTACTTTGAATTTTGCAAGTATAAGCATTTGCTTATTTTTATTCATACGGGCCATATCTCAGTCTCTCCAAGATATGAATTTGATAGAGATCGAAGTTGCAAGGTTAAAATAAATGATCATTGAAAAAGTGAGGATTCTTTGATATTCTGTTGTATCGGTTAATTAATCTTGGCTCACTTTAGTAACATAGTAACACCAAAAGGTCAGATAAATACTTCTTTTGTTTATCTTTATGTGTTCCGTTGATGTGGTGATCTGATTTTTACATTTTATATAGCGTTTTACTTACTACATGTTTGTCAACCAACCTGTAAGGGTTGAATTCGTTAGTATAGCGTACCTCGAGGTCAGTGTTGTTGCTGCTTCATTTTTTATAGGGACCACCGTAGCCCGTTCGTTAGAAGTTTTGAAACTTTAAACAGAAATTTGATTCACAGTCATAATCGATCATTGCGAATTGAAATTAAGCCTTTCGAAATTCCGAGAACAATGCCAACTGTTCAGGAGCGTAGTGTAGACTTCATGAAAACGGTGCACATATTATAAAATGGAGAAATAGATTGCACATACGCAAATTTAACTTTTTTTATTTGTGGTGCAATTTTTCCGAAATTTTAACTGAAGAATGGAGCCTTGCATATCCAGATTTGCATTGACAATTCTGGGCATGGTTACACTTAACTAAATAAAAATTTTCAGCACTTATAAAGGTATAACTTAATCTAATCTCATTTACAGAGAGAAAGATAAATAAATTAATTAACTAAATTAACATTAACGACAAACGCAAAAGATAAATTACAGTTGATTGTACATTAGCAACTTCTATATTTGATGTTAAATAAATTTGACGTAAGAGAACGGTACTTCATCGTTTTAATGATCGTTACACGGTAGATACGTCTAATGACTACAATTAACATCAGGCTAAAATTAATTCAAATTTACGTACCCCATTAATAAATGGGTTTCGGATTGCGATATATGTAGAAGAAAGGCGGGTAATTAAATTAAAACATATGGCATACCCTAAAAAAAATGTGTTAACCAAATAATTAATCGTATAAAAATAACTTTACCTCGAAAAGATACAACAGTGTACCATTCATGTAAATACGTTTAGATATATGTATATTTCAGACAATTTTAGCTTGATGCCTTAATTTTATCATCTTTCGCAAAATAAGAATCTGTCATTTCAACGACAAAAGCTAGAGTGGTAGTTCCCCAATCCCAGTTGTACCAACTACCCTCCTAACACACTAAAGAGCATTCAAACTAAGGGTACATCAACAAAATAACGGGACATTCCAATATCCAAATTTCAAATGTGTTGAATTCAGAATAAAATGGCGCATTAAAAAACAATAGAGAATTTGACATGTACCTACTTTCTAATGCATTGAATTAACACATTTTAGACTGAGAGTAAAGAGAGTAAATCTTTATTTCCATGTATCACAACGGAGATTGTTCTATATGTATGCCATATAAAATTTAAAATACTTGTAAAATGTACTTACAATGTACATGAAAATTTCACCTACATTGTACATACCGAAATGTACGCCATATGTACGGCGACCACAAATACAAACATACATAACTTGTACAACAACAAAAATTATGTAAAAATTTGACATCCAATGTACCGGGTGCCCAATAAGACTGTTCCTCGACCATATCTCGAGAACCGTTCGTTGTATGATGTAGGGGTAAAAAAATTATTGGGTAATCGGTCATGAAGTTCTAAAAATGACCAACAGAGGGCGTAACTGCTATCTTAAAGTTGGCATAATAAACTAAAAATTTTCTTTCATATTTTTAAAGAGAACCAGTTTATCTATCATTTTCGTAAAAGCAAAAAATCAGTTATTTCAAAAACAAAGATGGTGTGGGTTCAATTGTTTTTCCAATAACCTGCTTTAACTTTTTAACCGTGTGACCGATTGTAACAATTTGGTATAGTTGAAAAGAGCATTTTTTGGGCATAATGAACCAAAATATAGTTAATTTAGTTGAATCCTTCTCCACCAGGAGGCTAGTTTTGACATTGTAATCAAAAATCCTACAAAAATCAAATGGAATGATATGACTTTTTCTTTATGAAAAAGTATCCAAATAACATCCAAAGAGGCCAGTGAAAACCGTTTTTCAAAATCTCGTTCCTAACCTCAAATATTGGGAAAATGAGATTAATTAATAAATAAAAATGCTTAAATTGTATGTTAAATTTACTTTTGACGTATTTCCGGTATTTGTCAATGGTAGGCCTTGGAAAATTAAACAAATGAAACATGATGCATTATAAAATAATAACAGCCGTAAGTAATTTGTAAATTATTCTGCTGTGTTTACATTCAGAAGGTGCAGTTTTTTGAATTTGTAATCTTTTCTAAAATGCCGATTTCTAACCAAGAAGCATTTAATATGCCGGCGATATGTTTTGAGTATTTTCAAAATGCGACTATCGCTGCCCTCATCTTTTATTTGCGTTATCCGAATCAAACACGAACCATCGCCGCCAGGATATTAAATGCTTCTTGGTTAGAAATCGGAATTTTAGAAAAGATTACAAATTCAAAAAACTGCACTTTCTGAATGTAAACACAGCAGAATAATTTACAAATTACAGCTGTTATTAGAAGTTAAAGCAGGTTATTGCAAAAACAATTGAACGCCCCACATCATCTTTGTTTTTGAAATAACTGAATTTTTGTTTTTAAGAAAATGATAGATAAGCTGGTTCTCTTTAAAGGTGTGAAAAAAGAATGTTTAGTTTACTATGCGAAATTTAACGAAAATGCAATTTTAAAATTTAAGATGGCAGTTACGCCCTCTGGTGGTCATTTTTAGAACTTGAAAATATTTTCCAGCGATTCTTCATAATCGATTTACCCAATAATTTTTTTTACTCCTAAGTCATACGACGAACGGTTCCCGAGATATGGCCCAGGAACCATCTTATTGGGTCACCCGGTAAGTGCTCTGAAGTACGTCAAATGTATGTCCATTTTTAGTACATGGATGACCACACTTAAAGTGGACATAACATGTACAGAGTTTTATTCCATGTGCAATTAGAAAAAATAAAATGTGAATGTTGTGGTATCTCAGTGATTTCTGCGATTTCTAAACTAAAATGTAAATGTATTTCCAGAGTGGATACCCTCTCGCCTCTTCTAGTCAGCCGGTTATGTCGTACTGGACGTCCGATTTCTTACAGTTCAGCAGTCCCCCGAGCTCTAGTCGTTCGCTGGTATCATCTCGCCTATCCAGCTCTCACAACTCATTATCCGTCCCGACCGCTCAAAAAGTTGACGATTCGAGTTTCATCACGCAGGCCGTCTCGCACGACGTTCTAGTCGGCGGTCCGATAAGTGACATGTATAACGTGCCGTTCGATAGTGATATGTACGCAGTGCCTGTAGACGTAATTAAGCAGCCGTTTCGGGCGAGACGGATACAACCGCCTAAACGTAGGCGAAGGAATACGTCTTGCTGTCACGAATTTGACGATCGCATGAAGCAATATCGTCAGTACAACGCGAAAAAGTATTATATTAATTATGTGCAATGCAATCACATTTTGAATGGCAGGGACGCGATCGCGAAGAGACACAGCGTCGCGGCGTCGTCGACGAGTGTTGACGTCGAGCCGGTGCAGATGACCTTGCAGCAAGTGCGCCATTACTTACAGACGTTGTATTCCAGTTCGTCCGATTCCTCGCTGCACGTGGATAAGGACAGCAGGAGTAAGAATTCGGTCGTCGTTACTAATAACAATAAATACGCCGATAATAATCTTATAATTTCGTGTAACGGTCGAAATTCGAGTCCAAAATTTAAAAAAAGCGCCTTTTTAATAAATTTAAGGAATAAACGTGTTAAAGATTCATGTGATTTAGTAAATAAGGAACAGATTTCGGTGACTAAGACTAACAATAATAATAATAATAACAATAATAAAACTAAGAAGTCTCCTCGGATGTCCACATTAAAACAAACATTGTGCAATATATTTAAATTTAAGAAAATTGTGTCGCCCAACAACAAAAAACCATTGGATGGCGACAGTAATTATGTGGAGAATGTGATGTCCCATCAGGAAAGTCACAAACCCATTACAAATAGGGCTCTACCACCACTCCCCTATAAGTCAGACGAGGGAGAAGAACAGGGATTGGACTTCTCAACAAGTATTCAAAAGGTGAAAGATGTAAGTATTACACACGAGCTCACAATGTTTTTGAAATACAAAAATGATTGATATCCCAAACTGGTGGGTTATGAGATTCTTAAAACTGCATTTACACATTGGGTATAATAATTCTTTCAGCGCTATTTCAACTATTGTTATATTTTAAATTTAATACAAACATATAAAAGAGTAGTAGGTACTCCCGTTTCTACGCCACTGAACCACAACTTAAGAGAGTTAAAAATCCGTTACTAATCCTGCGCGAACAAATAACTGCCTAGAGTTACTATGTTGGTTTTGACGTATGACTTGTGGAAACGTGGCAACAGCGCAAAAGATCAAAAAATGCATAAAGTTTTTGCATTATTTCATGTGGGAATATCAAAAAAGTAGAAAGAATAAAAGTTATGTAAAAACGAATTTCGTACCCGTTCTAACATTTCAGGTGTCACTAATAAGCAGGCAGAACGTAATGGTCTTTCATGTCATCTAAAGTTGCAGGTGCAGTGAACAGTATTGTATCTCTTCTAAAGCCCCACAAAACGAAATCCATGGGAGTCAACCCTGGGGACCGAGCAGGCGAGTTGACCCAGACCTGCTCAACCAGTCCACCTGTTTTCAAACATTGCATGTAAATAATGACAGGCGTATCTTGCATAATTGGATGGAGTCCCATTCTGTTGAAGATCTATGTCTTTGCCCAATAATTGGCCTGGTTTTATGGTATCAATACTAACACCCCTCTCAGCTATAGCTGACGTCGATGCATTCATTAAAAAAAAAGGATTTGAGACTTTTTCCCAAGTCTTTGAAATTTGGTATAAAAAATGATAGATAAACTGGTTCTCTTTAAAAATGTGAAAAAAGAATGTTTAGTTTATTATGCGAAATTTAAAGAAAATCAATTGTAAAATTTAAAATTGCAGTTACGCCCTCTGGTGGTCAATTTTAGACCTTGAAAATATTTTCCAGCGATTCTTCATGACTGATTCACCCCATAATTTTGTTTACCCCTAAGTCATATGACGAACGGTTCTCGAGATATGGCCGAGGAACAGTCTTATTGGGTCACCCTGGACATTGCACCTACTACCCATTTAAACCACTCACTCATATTAGGTTGATGCGTTTTTTTTAAATGGAACATAAGGAAATAGCATTGCATGCAAAATCGTATGTTCCAGTTTAAGGTAAACGCACTGTATAATCAAACTCCTGAAAGTTGAACCGTACAAACACCACTATCAAGAAACCGCATGAATCCAAGGAGGCCTGGGGAAAGTCACTTACTCACTCACCACCATCCCAACAATAGGAGATGGGCGAAACCATGCATAAGGATTTTGTGAGGAACGTCATTATCTAATGCGGGAAAACTACTGTCAGGGACGAAATCCGCTCTTCTTGGGTCATGAGTGCCTTCCTAGTATGCTTGGCCCAGGACGCTCATCCAAGGAGGCATCAGTGCTTGTACTGGACGTGGCACAGTTTTCGGGGAATATACAAATATTTACCCGCTGCCACACATAGAAAGCAAAATGGCGCCTAACATCACGAGAATAGATGCAGTCTGGGACACATATCACGATGGCCCGGGACAAACGAGGTGACACTTCAGTCAGGGGGTCGATCTAGAGTGTCTGCAAAAACGCTTATACCACAGGATTAAGAATGGGTTAAATTCTGATCAAACTCCAACAATAAACACTGGTGTTTCATATCCAGTGTTCACCACAAACGATAATAAGAGATTAATAAGATTCCAATCCATCACATCGTCAACAGCTTGGACCTGAATATTCTGAAGCCCCTCTGTTTTTCCATGAGTAGAAGACCTATGTGACTTCTGAATCAGGAAGTGACGTCACACCAATCAGAGGCGAGCTCGTGACGTCACAGCCAATCAGAGACGAGCACGCCCCCATATGTCCCTCCCCTTGACCAATGGGATACGGTAAGCGTGGTCTTTAGAGTTCGCCCTCTATGACGTCACAGCCAATGAGGGCTGAGGTCCGCCATTTTGTTGGGCGCCATTTTGGATCGAACGCCATTTCATTAGTCACTAGATCCACCATCTTGGATCGGCCGCCATTTTATTAGTTACTAAATCCGCCATTTTGGACCGTCTGTCTGTCTGCTTCTCTCGCTCCATCCGCCATCTTTGTAGTTATTTTGGAGCACGTCATCGGTCATGTGGTTGCTGTAGAAAATATATTTTTTTTAATTTTCGTTGGGAATCGAACCCACCACCAAATTTCAAAGACTTGGCACAAAGTGCACGATTGTTATGAATTCCCCCTCTCCACATTAACCTAAAAAAATTCATTTTTTCGAAATTCACCTTTGTAATATTTTACTAGGAAATTGAAAGTACACTTGCGGCAAATAATTAATTTGTGACACTTGCTTACTTTTTGGTATTCTTTTGTTTTTTATCATCACCGCTTACTCCGATGTATAAACATGTAATTAATTAATGGGTAGGTACTTTTGTGCAAAATATTTGAATGACCTAAAAAGTATGAGGACACCCCTTATAAAAATTGAAGAGAACACAAAAGACAATCGAATAGCGAAATAAAATAGTGGTAGTTCCATTTGAAAAAGAATAGTTATTGCCGAGGTTATGGCACTTTGAACAAATGGCATTGAAACAAGATATTATTCTATTAAAAAAAATCAGTTATTTAATGACACCGTAAAAATGGGACACCCTATACAATCAAAAATAATTTCTGTGTATCCGCAACCATATACAGCGTGTTGCATCAACAGGCGGGACATGGGATATCCCATGTAAATTTGAAGGAAGTTAATTATTGGCTTCCCTAATTATTTTTGAGGAAAAACCTATTTAGATTATTTGAAGAGCATTAATCCGCCTCTAAAAGAATTCTTTCGATGTTTTTGATTAACTCCTTAACGAGATATTGGCAAAAATATTTTTTGTATACAGGGTGTCTTAAATATAGAAGGATAACATGGCTATCTTTGTTATTATTATACTTACAGATTCTGTTAAATTTGCAAAGTTGTGTAGTTTTTGATGCTAATGGATATTCCGATGCGATATTTTGAAAAAAATAATTCGTTTTGTAGATAATTGGAAAAATGTGAAAATCGCTATTTTTAAAAAGTTCAAATATTTAGTAACAAAGAAAGCTATCGAAAAAAGTTTCAAATAAAAGTTGCAAGATTCGATTGGATCAATTCAATGGAAATTTTTTTTAAAATTCGAGATATTGCCATCAACTTCCTTATTTTAAATGGACGCCATATTGGATTTTCACGTCAATCGATAGATAAAAAATTCCAAAACCAGTGATACTAAACACTTAGTATTTCATTTTGTAATAATAATAGTGGCTTTATTTTTTTTGTTTTATTCATAATTTCAAAACAGAAAGATGTAAATAGTAACAACTAACAAAAACAAATTTAAATGAATGAAACAAAATATACATGTACCTAAGTTAGAGCCAAGACCATTGTAGGTATTCAAAACATAAACATAAATTGAGGAAACATTTACACCAAAGAGGAAACCCGGGCATTTTGTAATATGTTATGCCGCATATATACAGGGTGGGACCTCTCACAGTAGAACAAAGTTACAAAGAAAATCTAATAGTCTTAAAATGATGAACACTCCAAGCACCTTTTTTCTGTAATTCAAATAAGCTCTTAAGCAAATTAGAGATTACAATGCATTAAAACTATCCAATCCGCAACGAGTAACTATATTAGGGCCCTTATTGTGTCTGTGTAAAGGTACAAGGCTAAACTATCATAGGAAAAGTGGGCTTGACTCTATTTTTCTTGATAAATTGAATTCGGGCTATTATGTTGTTATGCTAATCACAAAATAACGGGACTTTAATGAGAAACACATGTTAAAATTAAAATGTTTGACTTTTTTTTTTAGTATGGTTGGTATTGGGGTCCCATATCGAGCGAAGCCGCAGAGAAAGTCCTTTCGAACGAGCCGGATGGATCGTTCATAGTACGAGACAGTAGCGACGACCACTACATATTTTCGCTTACCTTGAAGTTGAACAATTCTGTGCGACACGTTCGCATAGAGCACGACCAAGGTATTTTTTCCGCCCCTCTTCTTTTCCAATTCAAGTTCTAACCGTACATTTACAGGAAATTTTAGTTTCGGGAGTTGTACTAAGTTTAAGTCGCAAACGATAGTGGAGTTTATCGAGAATGCGGTCGAGCACTCTCGAAGTGGGCGGTACTTGTTCTTTTTACATCGACGGCCCGTTATTGGACCAGTACGTGTGCAATTACTCCACCCGGTTTCTAGATTTAAGCAGATTCAGAGTTTGCAGCACATGTGCAGGTATTTACATCGCAAGTTTTAAGCAATTAAGCAGCACTCACTTTTCAGATTCGTCATATTAAAATTGGTGCGACGAGATTTACTTTGTAAATTACCGTTGCCGAGACGAATGACCGATTACTTAAATACACCGTACTATTACTCGGAGCAGCTCTCCGACGTAACCGAAGAGCAAGAAGAGAATAATGTGGTGCCCTTATTTAGTAATGCGCAAATTACACAAAATACGGTTGTCATTGTGAATAACAATGCCATCACGACCACAACTAGGAGTAATCCTAGCGGTACTAGCAACTCATCTAGCAATGATAGACAATCCTGAAATATACCTCAGTTAGGGATCTGTTTGTTCGTTTGTCAGAAACGTGTGTAACTTTCTACTACAACCCATTTTTGATAATGAATTACATATCATCGCTATATTCATTGCGCTTAACTGTAATCATTTCATTCGTTCATTGCTACTTAAATGTTCTCCTCTAATATAATATAAATTGTAAATTCATACATTTTGTATACAATTTTTAGTGTTGTTTCTATTATTTATTCATTAAAGTTTTGTTGTTTGTATCAGTTTTTTCTTAGTTGCATACCAGAAAGTCATTGTTTCAGATTACTACTGTAGGTTTTGAAAGGAAGACAGAGTGATGGGCAAAATAATCGAAAAGAAAATTGCTACCACTGTTTGAAAGAGTGGCATCCCCGAAACGTTTGTCCTGCACACAACTTGTCACACATGTAAGACGAAGGGACACTAGCAAATTGATTGTCATTGGCAATAGGTGAACATGGTCAAAGAAAATGACTATTTAAAATGAAAATGAAAGTCTACTTGCAGGAAATTTATACATAACACCGGACATGCGCAATAACATTTTTACATAACTATAGTGCATTCATAATAAGAAGGTAGTAGATGGTGCTATTTTTGAAGATAAGCACACACAGGAAAAATATAAAACTACACCAAAGTAGGAATATCCAGCCCTGTGAATAGAAATAAACCAAACAATTCCAAGCTTGGATTTTTGCATTAACGCTAATGACAGTTCGACAGTTTAGTTTGAGATTCTGGGGACATGAGCCACCGCCATCACCACCTGTCGATATTTTTTTGGTAGTTTCCGGAGGATGTTTGGGGTGGGAGTGCTTGGCGTCACTTCATCACTTGTTTGTTAAAGCTTGTTGGTGGTGGGCTTATTGTATTTTAAGTTGTATTAATAGAGTTTAGCTTTGTTTTTGGTGTTTGTACGTAGGATTCAACAACTTTGGTGTCCGGTAAAGTATTTTATAGACTAGACCAGAATTGGAAATAATGAAGTGCTAGAAGCAAATCATATTACTTTTTGGTAACTGGTGTTTTTTTACTAATTCGACCCTGCTGAATCAAAAAATGCCGGTTGCCAACCCCTCTTCTCCCCCCTTCCCCCCCTTTTCCTCACCGAAGTGTCCCTCGCCGTGGTTTTTTCCATTTTACAGGGAAACGGTTACAGATAGGAGCAAATTGTCTAATAAGAAGTTAATCTACATTAAATTTCCTAAACAGCAACACCAAATTTATATCGATACGATAAGTAGTTTTTGAGATACAGCCTTCGACATTGCATGAAAAGGTGAAAAAAAACATTTTCTTTATCTTTCTTCTCGATTTTGAGAAAAGTGACAGGAGTTATGAGAAAATTATCTTCAGATATTTTAGAGCATATGAATTTATCTAGAAAGTGACATCTAATTCATAGTCGTGTGAACAATGGTTCTCGAGTTAGAGTTTACCGCGTAGAGGTGCTCCGGATGCGCATCGTACACTTTCCGGCTGTTCCATGCAGTATGTAAAGAAAAATATTTAGGTACTAGGAGTTTAACTCATCATAATGAACAAATTTCTTCTAAAACATCTGAATGTGAAAAAGAGCACTTTCTTGGTATTTCAAATTCAGGTTGTTAAAATAGAAAACATGCATATATCACACAGAGGTCAACAAGAAACGTTATTTAATGCAATTTAAGCATAAAGCGCGGCAATTGCAAATCTTCATGCATGGATGTGACTCTTTTCGGCATCGACACTGATTTGTCTGGCACATTCCCTTGCAACCACATGCACGAAGAGCATTGCAGGATGCGGGTATAGGCGGCAACGTCATTAGAATCGGTTCTATTGTAGTGCCGTCAACTCTCCAGCCACAGTTCTCGGGACAAGGAACGCTAGGATTGGCGATATGGGCGTTCTCCCAAACGTATACCTAAGACAGAAAAATTTATAAATGTTAAATAATAATACAGAATCCAATTTCCATATTTGATCTAAGTACTTGCCTGGTAGTGGCATCTTCGAATATGTAGGCGTAAGGCGTCAGAGGTTGGAGGCAATTTCTCAGGACTTTTTACAGCTCCGAACAAAAAGCTCCGAGCGGCGTCTCCTGTTTTAATTTCTGTGCTAACCTGTTAGTAACGAAAAGAAACATTAAAGAAATGTTCAAAGATTGCACAAAAGTGTCACATTTTTACAAAAATTCACCTTGTACAGTTGGATGACAAACTCCTCTGCGTTTGCAACCACTTGGTCGGTCAAAGGGATGGATCCGAGGCCTTCAAGTAGAGAACAGGTATGTCCTTTAAAGAACTTCCATGCATTTCTTTTGGTTATTGAGGCAATCTTTGAGGTACTATCGCACCCGGTGATGGCATGGAATGCCAAGAGATTATGCTTCTGTTCAGGACTCAATTTCTCACAAATGTCATGGATTGGAATAAAGTTGCGGTCTCTTGCTGTACCACTCATAATCCAAACCTTTGAAGGTTTCATTTTTGCGAAGTGGTGTACATAGAGCAATAGCACGTCGGTGTCTCTAACTAAAACAACTGCGTTGTCGGCTTCGGCGTGAACTGTATGAAGAACCATCCTTGTGTCTGCTTCTTCGTGGGTGGACCCACTAAGATGAACCATTGTTCACACGACTATGAATTAGATGTCATTTTCTAGATAAATTCATATGCTCTTAAATATCTGAAGATAATTTTCTCATAACTCCTGTCACTTTTCTCAAAATCGAGAAGAAAGATAAAGAAAATGTTTTTTTTCACCTTTTCATGCAATGTCGAAGGCTGTATCTCAAAAACTACTTATCGTATCGATATAAATTTGGTGTTGCTGTTTAGGAAATTTAATGTAGATTAACTTCTTATTAGACAATTTGCTCCTATCTGTAACCGTTTCCCTGTAAAATGGAAAAAACCACGGCGAGGGACACTTCGGTGAGGAAAAGGGGGGGGAGGGGGGAGAGGAGGGGTTGGCAACCGGCATTTTTTTATTCAGCAGGGTCGAATTAGTAAAAAAACACCAGTTACCAAAAAGTAATATGATTTGCGTCTAGACTCATAACGGAAGTCTTTTTTCAAGATTTTTACTAGACGCCATTTGTTAAATCAGATATTTTCCATCTACCATTGTGCTAATATGTAATTTACAAAATGCGAGGTGTTAACTAATATCCATGTGCTTGTGGAAGTCTACGATATCTCAGGTTTAGACCACGTTTAATTCAGTTACACGGTGCACGTATGTAGAACCTCGACTTCCGTGAAGTAGGGCATGCAATGCTAGGTGTACTTAGGTTAGGGTGACTCGTAACATTCGCGAATGCGTGTGCCTTGTTGTATGTAACTCATATCTTTCTACCGTGAGAGGGAGCTCGGACGCTAGAATAGAAAGGTATTCTAGAGCTAAGACATAAAAGGATCTGAGGGCCCTCGAACCTCCAACTTTAGGGACGAAGTGCTGTAACCAAGGCCGTCCTACCCATCTCTTAACTATCTTCAGTTTTGTGTCGTTACGTGACCGATGTCAGGGGAGTGTTACGAAGCACGGGTAGTAGTTCCGGAAGTCTGGGGTTTATACCAATGTCATTATGTGGAAACTGAGCATAATTGGGGGCCCCACGAGCACACGGTATTGTCATAACTGCCTATTGTTACGTCACAACATGAATAATTGATAAGACATGTTTTTACGAACTTCACACCACTCTATTCGGTATATAATGATATGAATAACTAGTAAGGTGACTTATATCAATAAATGCATGAATGTGGTGCCCCTTTAACTGCGCTACGGGTTAATAGGCAAATCTGCCAGCCCAATTCCTAATAATATAACCGTGAAACAGGAGGGCAATCAAGCGAAGACGCTGGCCCAAACCTAACGAATAACCAGGTTCCCCACCCAATGACTAACTAAAAAGTGCCTTCTATCCGCGATTAAAGGAAAGTACATGACATGTTGTGACGAATACTCTACGCATACTGTTCAAACGTACCCTGCTACTTGAATTCATTCATTAATTAAGGTAGTGTTACATGTTCTGCTTAGGTGGTTGGTGTTTTAATTTGCTTGTGATTAGCATAGTTTGGGTTTTATTCAAGGCCAAGGTTTTTCTTAAGTTGCGCTCTTTTCTCCTTGGTAGTGTCTGCTTTTGCGAGAGTGCGGCACCTTTAGGTTTTGCTTGCTTTGCTTTTAATGTACCACATCCAAATTCCGGGGTTTTCAGAATAAGTTTATAATAAATAAACTTTCAGACATATTGCAGTGTTTTATTTGAGTGTTCCTGTCCGACTGGGTCCCGAGTAATTGTATTAGCTTCGTGTAACGTAAGGGGGCCCTACCTTAGACGATCCAATCACGTGCCATTCCTTTGTTTGAAATTTGAGCGGGAACCGTGTTTTGAGACTGGGATTGCAACGTTGCCACTTTGCCGTGAAATCTGTCATTTTTACTTCGAGCCTGGGGGTACAACACAAACTTACAAAATTCGTCACGCGTTTTATTTTCCAGATGTCCGGATGCAAGCTGGGTTTCTTGTCACAATTTAGAACATTATAGCACACGTTGAAATGTTTGAGAGGAAGGGGTAGCCAAAAGACATCCCACAAGGAAGCAGTTACTCTCTGTAAGTACCCGTTGGTTTTACTATCTCTTGTAATAAAAAAAAAACGATACGGTGTGAACACTTTTTCTTGAGCGCTAACGAACGCTTAAGAGCAAAGAGAATGTTCAAAACCCATCAACGAACGCACCATTATATAAAAATGCTTATAAGCACAGTGTATGAGTACGGCCATTGAATTTATAACTATAGCGCGGTCGCACCTCCAGATGCAGTATGGGGTCTTATGAACTAATTGCCTCTCTTACGTCATTCTTCGATAATACTATCCTTGTTTCTAACCGCATCGATGTGAAATTGACATATGATTAAATTCAAGTCCCTAGATTACTGAAGTAACGCGATTGATTAGGCCAGCGTATTAGACTTTTTTATCTTTTTATTTTGTCGATTTCTACGGTTTTGAAAAACGGAAAATTATAAGTAATAGTATGAACAGATGCAGTATTTTTTTCTCTAAAAAAAGCGTATTTAGACTTTTGCTCTAAAATAATCAGGGGGGCTAGTAATGGCTATAAAGAAATGACCATTGAAATCCCTATGCTGCGTCGCGATAGGCACCACCCTGTATCTAGTATCGGCCTACGCATCCTAAATAACGGGTGATCAAAATCGAGTCAGAGTGACGGTCGAGTCACCTTTGGAAGTTCAAGTTAAGTACGATTTCTAAACGATTTCCCATGAAAACAAAAATTGCAAAGGAAACTCGACTGCAATTCATTTTTGATCGCATAGTAGAATTACACCAAACAGCTGAGAAGTGACAGTTGATGACGTTCGCGTTCCGCGCATACCCAATTTTTCCCAGACATGCCGCCTATTATAACCAATACCATTGTTTATTAAACAATGCCAATACCAAATAGTTATTGAAGTACATTCAGACAGTTTATTTGTTAAAACTTTTCCTTTACACAAACAATGTTCACATACTACAAGTCTCGCTACAAGTGGAGCTCTTTGATGTGATGTAAAATGTCACGTGGCGGGGTGTACGTGTAGTGTAACTATTCAACAAATTTTCAGAAGTTGTCTGGTTGCCCTGGGATCTCTCTCTCTTTCTCTCTCTGTATTGTTTAATACCAGAATAGGTAATTTTGATAAACCAAAACAGGTGTTTAAACACATTTATTTCTAACATTATTGTTTTTAGGTATGGATGGAGATAATGATATGCTACTCATTAAAATCGAACCAAAACAAGAAGAAGAAATCCATTCCTTTCTGCATGGACACAGTTCTGTAAGTAACGAAGTTTTGGTGACAATAAAGGACGAAGTTACCATTAGTACACCATGTTCTACATCTCTTTCTAATGAAGAAGTACAGCAACATTCTGACTTTAAACCTTTAAGTCGGTATAAAACAGTGCCTAAAAATTTTAGATGTGCCGATTGTGATCACGGGACAAATAATAAATGCCTCTTCAAACATCATCATTTAAATCATAAAGTTTCTAAAGATTTTAAATGTGCTACTTGCGATTATGAGACAAATAATAAACAGCTGCTCAAACGACATCTTTTAAAACATAGAGTATTTAAGGATTTTAAATGCGATTCTTGTAATTATGGGACAAATAATAAATACAACTTCAAACAACATCTTTTAAAACATAAAGTTTCTAAGGATTTTAAATGTACCTATTGTGATTATGGCACAAATTATAAACAGGACTTTAAAATGCACCTTTTAAAACATACTGGCTGTAAGGATTTTAAATGTACTAATTGTGATTATGAGACATGTACTAAAAAGAACTTGAACAGGCACCTTTTAAAACATAAAGTTTCTGCAGATTTTAAATGTGATACTTGTGATTATGAGACGTGTAGTACAAGCAACTTCAAGCGACACCTTTTGACACATAAAGTTTCTACGGATTTTAAATGTGATACTGGTAATTATGCTACAAATGATAAAAACGACTTCCAACAACATCTTTTAAAACATAAAGTTTCTAACTCGGTTTCTGACGATTTTGAATATGCTAATGTGAGTTTTGTACGTGAAACCTATCCACGAACCTATCTTAAACAGCACCGTTTAAAACATAAAAGAATCTAACGTTTTTTAAATGTGCTAATTGTGATTATTAAGTTAAATCTGTAGTTAAATAATAGATTAAACTTTAACCAACACCTCGCCGTATAAGTACATTATCTTCAAATCACAGGTGCTCCTGAGCTTATCTCATTGAACCAAACAGATTTAAAGACTAAACTATGTGACAAAAACGGTGGACTTGTTTTTAGCATCTTCCTTTAGTGTCTCGTTTAGTGTTTGGTATAGCACCTGCAATTTGACAGCGGCAAATGGAAAAACTAGGTTTAGTCAATTACTATGGTAGATTTTGTCTTGCTAAGTACTCTGTACACACTTTGTAATAAAACATAATAATAATAATAATAATGGCTTTATTTAGGCGGGGTGGTTGTGGTTATATGATTGTTTTTTTATTCGATAAAAATACATACATACATACATAGCAAGAAAACCAGGATCTTCCTAAAAGTGTACCTATACCTACATTCATTATCAATGATAATTAATGGTAATCCACATACATTGTTACCGGTAAATGATTACGGTTGTTTATTAATATAATAGTGTGTAATAATAATCCTTTATTTGCTCACCAGAAAAACATAACTTTTCCAATTTTAGAGCAAAAACAACATTTTACAACCTGCCAGAGTACAATAGAGTTAAAAATAAATCAAAAATATATCTAGTAATATTGATAACAGTACTTAAACTACCGAAACCAATAACAAAAAAAATAAAACAAACGAACAAAAAAAAGAAAAATGATCTATCGGCCCTCTTTAATAATTATGTACATTGAACCAATACCCTGTTTTGCTCCGCTAACTGTAGGATACGAGATTAATAAGCACGTCAGGGCTACGCACAAAAACCATTCAATCTTCAATGAATTTGATTCAGTGCCGTTCCGTAGAACGTCCCGGCCTGGTCATGCAATCATAATACCCGGCCCAAAAAATTGAAAATACTCATACTCATATTTACAAAAAACTCAAGTTCTTTCCGCATTCGTAACTAAAGTGTCACGCCGTCACGGCCACCGACCCGGGCCCGTAGATCGTAGAAAGAAAACTGAGGTTGAGTTAGCATTAATTAGCGTTTAGAAAGCAGGTAGAGTGGGTAAAGCTAAAGATAGGATGGCTTGCAGCCTTGCACTTGCGTTGTGCAGTGAGAACAATGGTAGATTTGTGGGTGACTCCAAAAAACATTTTACCTCAGTCAGACTGAATAAACAGACTATAAAGTGCCTCGTTTATTATTTTTTCGTATGTGTTTCCCGGCCCTGCATTGTCCCGGCCCGGTCAACTACTGTCCTTTCATGACCTCGACGGGACGGTACTGATTTGATTATACCATTATATAATTTCAAAAGAGGAAAAAGCATTGTATATTTGAAACATTGCTTGTAAAGGACGTATGCACAAAATGACATTTAAAAGTTTCATTAACAATAATGATTTATTAATCAAAAGAAAGGTTCCATTACCAGATCAATCCCATATACAAGAAACAACAATTTTAAATGCAACATCCCCAGGACCCTAACAATACAAGGTCCTGTATTTTTAAAAGCTCCGACAAATTTAAGCGGAGCCTAAAATCTATGGCAATGATTATTGCGACAATGGTTGCTATGGATTTTTAAATTTGTCCATGGAAACGGCCATTAACGGCTTCGGAAGCTGCATGTTGTAATAGATGTCGATGCAACTGCCCACGCGAATTTGTTTTATATTACACTGATCACACTTAAAGTCATGTCCTGTGTCTCTTAAGATGCTGAATTAAAGACCCTCTCAAGTTCGAGGCGAAATTGCACTGACCACATTGGTAGTCTTTGGAAGCTTTGTGTACTAATATATGTCGCTTGAAATAACGTTTTACATATGTGGTATAATTGCACTGTTCACACTTTAATTCGTTGGAAATGTTGGCGTGTCTTAAGAGATGCCTAGTAAACTTCACTTTAAAATTCGTTGCATATTGGCAATGGTCACATTTAAAGCTCATGGATATTTTATGTCTTAATATGTGATCTTTTAAATCTTGCTGTTGACTTGTTGTGTAATTACACTGGTCACAACTAAAATCTTCTGAAGATAGGTGTGTCGATAGGTGACTTTTTAACTGGTGCATTAGGCTTGTGCCGTAATTACACCGATCACATTTATATTGTTTAGAAGATGCATGCATTAACAAAGTGTGTTTCTTTAAACTTCCCTTTATATTGGTCGCATAACTGCAATGATCACATTTAAAATCCTTGGTAGGTTTGTGCTTTAACATATGTAGCTTGAAATTCCTCTTTACAGACGTTGTATAATAACACTGTGCACACTTCAAATTTTGAGACTTGTGTTTCAAAAGATGTTGATTGAATCTTGATTTGAAAAATGTCTCATAATTACACCGGTCACACCTAAAATCTTTGGCAACTGTTTGTGAGGACAGATCTTGATTTAAACACTGTTGTAGACTATCAGTTTTAGAATGATCTCGATCACACTTCATGCCTGTGGAAGTAGTATCTGTTAAAAGATGTCTAGTGGGGGACCCCTCAGCATTTGTCACATTATTATACAGTTTGGAATTCTCTATCACACTATCTTCTTGCTTTATAGCTTGCAAAACTTTGCCATTCTCAGGAACTGTTCCCTGTAAGGCAGCATTGCATTCTTTTTCTTCCTTTGGTTCAACTTTAACAATTGCAGTGACCTCAGCGGACATAATGTATTGGTGTTTAACTTCACCTACCAACAAAAGTTGCGATAGCGGTCACAATTTTACTTTTAGCAGATCAGTGTATCGTCGACCATAACACCATCCCTCGCACCATCCAATCAAGAAGCAGCTTTTTCCAAATTTCATAACTAAAAGTACCACGCCACACATTGTGTCTCATAAATGTTGATAGGGGAAATCAGGTATAAACAATCAAGATGGCCTTTTTAGTTAGGGTACTTTTATCACAGCTTAATAGTAAGTAAGCTGTGCTTTTATTACAATAGATTTGGATCACACCGTTTCACGTTTGAGCGCCTGCGTCATATGAAATAGCGGTGTATCTATTAGTGGCGGTGGGGATGGTAGGGTACCTAAAGCACCGAGTATATGTACAGAGTGACATACAGGGTGTACCATACATTTGTATGTACAAATGTATCTGAGGGGCACCATTATCGACACTGCACCCCTCTGCCACACAGTCTAGGGCGCATTGAGTATTATGTAAAAAAAGATGTTCTTTGAAGAGTTTATTATTTGTCCCATAATCACAATTACCACATTCACAATCCTTCTAAACTTTATGTTTTAAAAGATGTCGTTCAAAGAGCCGTTTATTATTTGTCCCATAATCACAAGTCGCACATTTAAAATCCTTCGAAATTTTATATTTTAAAAGGTGTTTTTTAAGATTGGATTTAAAATTTGTCTCATATTTACAATTAGCACATTTAAAATCTTTAGAAACTTTATGTTTTAAAAGATGTCGTTTTAAGTTGTCTTTATCACTTGTTGCATAATCGCAAACAACACATTTAAAATCCTTCAAAACTTTATGTATTAAAAGATGTCGTTTGAAATGTTGTTTATTATTTGTTCCATAAGCGCAGGAAGCACATTTAAAATCATTAGAAACTGTATGTTTTATAAGGTGTTTTACAAAATCAAGTTTAAAATTTGTCTCATAGTTACAATCATTACATTTAAAATCCTTAGAAACTGTATGTATCAAAAGATGTCGTTTGAAGCTGCTTTTATAATTTGTCTCATAACCACAATGAGTACATTTAAATTCCTTAGAAACTTTATGTGTTAAAATATGTTGATTAAAGTTATATTTCTTGCTTGTCTCATAATCACAATCAGCACATTTCAAACCCTTAGAAACTTTATGTGTTATAAGGTGTCTTTTAAGGTCGGATCTAAACTTTGTCTCATAGTCACAATTACCACATTTCAAATCCTTAGAAACTTTATGTGCTATAAGGTGTAGTTTGAAGATGCTTTTAATATTTGTGCTAAAATCACAAGTAGCACATTTAAAGTCCTGAGAAATTTTATGTTTTAAAAAGTGTCTTTTAAGATCAGATTTAAAATTTGTCGCATAGTCACAATTAGCACATTTATAATCCTTAGAAACTTTATGTTTTAAAATATGATATTTGAAGTTGCGTTTATCACTTGTCCCATAGTCACAATTACCACATTTAAAATCCTTTGAAACTTTATGTTTTGCAAGATGTCGTTGAAAGATGCTTTTAACATTTGTTCCGTAATCACAAATCGCACATTTAAAATCCTTAGTAACTTTATGCTTTAAAAGGTGTTTTTTAAGATCGGATTTAAAATTTGTCGCATAGTTACAATTAGCACATTTATGATCCTTAGACACTTTATGTGTTAAAAGATGTTGTTTAAAGAGGTGTTTACGATTTGTTTCATAATCACAAGTAGCACATTTATAATCCGTAGAAACTTTATGTTTTAAAAGATGATATTTGAAGTGGCGTTTATCATTTGTCTCATAATCACAGTCAGCACATTTAAAATCCTTAGACACTTTATGTGCTAAAAGATGCTGTTTAAAGAGGTGTTTACGATTTGTCCCATAATCACAAGTAGCACATTTAAAATCCTTAGAAACTTTATGTTTTAAAAGATGTTGTTTGAGGTAGTGTTTACAATTTGTTTCATAATCACAGTCGACACATTTAAAATCTTTAGAAACTTTATGTGTTAAAAGATGTCGTTTGAAGTGGTGTTTATAGTTTGTCTCATAATCACAATCAGCACATTTAAAATCCGTAGAAACTTTATGTTTCAAAACGTGTCGTTGTAAGTACTTTTTAACATTTGTCTCATAATTACAATAAGCACATTTAAAATCTTTGTAAACTGTTTTACACCTAGTTAAAAGGTGACGTTGAAAGTTAGATTGATGCTGTAATTCTTCATTAGAAGGAGATTTAGAACACAATGTACTAATGGTAACTTCGTCCTTTATTGTCACCAAAACTTCGTTGCTTACTGAAATGTGTTCGTGAAGAAAGGAATCGATTTCTTCTTCATGTTTTGGTTCGATTTTAATGAGTACTGTGCCATTCTCCTTACTTCCATCCATTCCTAACAACAATTGTGTTAAAATCTGTTTTGGTATGTTAAACAATACTGAGCTAAATCCCAGTGCAACCAGACATTACATACTTTCTGAATAACAGACTTTGTTGAATACGGCTTAGAGAACTTTCTTTCTTTCATAAGTCTAAAGGTCTTCTAAGGAATACGGGTTACACCCTTTGCTTATATACTAATCAAAGGTTACACTAGGGCACCAGTAATTATTAGGTTATATCCATATATACAGGGTGAGATACAGGGCGATTTTTTTTCATTTATAACATTGGCATGGGATCTGCCGATCTGCGAAACCATAATAGCGTTTTCGATTGGCAAAACTCGTACTGCACGAGTGTTGCACGAGAAACTGAAGAAATCCATGTGAAAATTGCTCTCAATGGAACATAAATATTCGTAAAAATTTGTTGTCATTTGTCCATAACCTCATTTTAGATTTAGGTAATCGACAGATCTCTATTCTAAAAAATGACAAACAAATTCAGTATTATTTATGATAAACGATGAGGAATATAAATTTGAAATTCCTGTAAAGGAACAATTTTTGGCGTTCAGTTTAATGAGTAAGTGCAACTTTTTGTCAAATAGAAGTTATGGCTAGTTCATCATCTTCGCTATCGCTAGATGACGACAAAAAACTCTCCCAACGCAAGAAACAAATTCAAATTGTCGCACGTTTGTTTTGAAAATTTGTTAACTAGCAGCTCCACGAGCTCTCGGACCTCGTGTGTCGAAATTTGCACTGAGTGCGTAATTGTTGCATCACATTTGCCAATGGAACACAGAAAATTGCAATAAAATTACCAATAGAACGTAAAAATTGCACTCGTGCAGCACGACTTTTGCCAATTGAAAACGCTAATAAATACAACTGGTGGCTGTGATTTCGTGACCTTTACCATCGGTGACGTTATTCTAGCCACTTCCGCTTCCTCACTATTGTTGTTTTCCTAACCTCAACTGATCATAACACAAGTTAAAATGACTTTAAATAATAAGTAATTAATTTATAGCTTATTATCAAAAATGGGAGAAATCGATTTACTGTTTTTTGATACTTTTGCACATGAAAATAGCGAAGTGAGTGTTGGTTTCGCATTGTGATGAACGATTATGAACCCGCTGTTTTTGTAGGAATTAAACCTAGATCTGGTGCAGTTCCCCAAGCCCGTTTACGTAACCGAAGTTAGAATTATCCCGCTGGGCGCTCGCGTTCAGGCAGACTTTCCTGGCGGTGTTAGACTTGGAGCGACTAATCCGAGTCAGTTTTCCATTGAATTTTTTGTTAACGATTTGGGAAAGCCGGGCGCGAGCACTTTCGAGAGTTTGGGCGGTTTCGATTATAATCAAAACGGATGCATAAATTTGGAGTGTGTTCCTAATGAGGCGATTAGAAAAATACCTACAGATGGTTTAGTGCTTAGAGGTAGGTTGCTACGATTATATAAGTTATACTTGAGTGTTCGTTTCAGGTTGGTATACGACAATAACGTTAGCCGTATATGGAATACTAACTGTAAATGTACCGGAACAAATAATACAACCTGTAGTTTCCCCCGCTATACCGCCGCAGCCAAATAGTCTACCAGAGCTACAACAAATTATACCCGTGACACCGATAAAGAACGAATGGCCTCAGGATAACATACAGGCAGTCCCAATAGAATATACCCAACAGCCCGCCGTAGCTTATCCACCGAGTTATGGCACAACCGATCAGTATTCTCAGGAATATTCGGAATATTATAGTGAAATTCCGAAAGATCCCCGTAGTTATCATAATACGCCGGAGACCGATTGGGATAACAAAAATCGGGTGCTCACCGTGGAGCCCGAGATCAAATCGGATATTGATCGATACCAGGTGAGTTTGGTCTTTGAGGTAATCTTTGGGGTTTTTTAAATCACTTTGGGAAGCCATTTTGGATTGGAATGCTGGTAAACCTCCTGTTTGAACTTGAGTACTTGATTGGTCGTCCCATTCCTATTTTGTTATCGGAAAGTGAATTATTAGAAGATTAAAGATACATTTAAAATTAAATATACAGGATGTGTTGATAGCTATGTACCAGGTAATTGAACATTTTTTTTTTGTTCTGCTTTTGATCAAACAGTATGTTTTTTAATCTACATTCATATCGTTCGTTTGCATGCCTTGAGCTCTTACCCTGTACCTGTGGACTGAATGGAGCAAGGGAAGAGCGAATTTGTCACAAGAATCGCATTAGTGTTAAGCCATGATTTGTGGAAATTCTACATTTTTTATTGGGCAAAGTTGAATCGTGTGGTGGCATATCACCCTTGCATTTCATTGACGGCAACGCCGCCGGTTCTATTGCCAACGTGCCGGGGGCTGTTGCACTTCCATATTGTTATGACATGTGGATAGGCAACACACCTTACGTGAAAGTAATTCAAAAAACTGTTCTGTGCAGTCGTCGAAACCAGGGTAGCGACTAGCCTTGTTGAAAAGCAAGTGTCTGCATACCGGTTTTTAGTGCTCTTTATTTAAGTGTGTTTGATATTTTTCCAAGCATTATCAAGGTAGTATTCCTTTTAATTCTGTGTTTTATTTAAGCTATTTTTTTAGATTAAATTTTCCAAATTTCATGTCTTTCATGTTACAATTTTGTTTTCGATTTGATACCTGTTGATTGAACATATGGCGTGTATCGCCATTGTTTTGTTTTTACCGTTATATGAGTCTTGTTTTGGCTTAGCTTCCTAGTTCACGTGTTATTTCCGCCAATTTTATAAACATTTATTATATTTTTATGTGTGTACGCGGAAGTAGATCAGTACGATGTTGCCATGTATACATGGATTAACCATATACAGGGTGATTCCTATAGTACCTGCCACCGTTTGGGAGCGTGTAGGTGGTGCGTAGGGGAGTATTTTGATATAGGACACTTGGGGTCGGAAATCTAAAATAAGGGTGCCAGAGCCAAATTTACCTTCTGGAATTTCGCGCCTGTAGGTAGGCAACCCAACCGGCCGGCGGTGCACACGGAGCGATCTCAGGCGGCGATGTGTGGCTGACACTTGATCAGAATTTTGGTTTAAACCCACGAAATCCCGTCTGCAACGACGCGTATCAAGTGAATAAACACTATGGCAATAGTATAATAATAGTTGGCTAGATGTAGGAAGTGCATTGAGAACAACGGTGGCCACGTTGAACACTTGTAAACGTTATTGCTTTTGACTGTCGTTTTCCCTCCTTCCCTCCCATGTCGCTTCCTCGCGCTAACTCGCTCTGCATCGCTCCGCGCGAAACGTCGGTCGGTTGGGTTGCCTACATACAGGCGTGAAATTCCAGAAGATAAATTTGGTTCTGGCGCCCTTATTTTAGATTTCCGACCCCAAGTGTCCTATATCAAAATACTCCCCTAGGCACCCCCTATACGCTCCCAAACGGTGGCAGGTACTATAGGAATCACCCTGTATACCGTAGAGAAAACACCTCATACAGTTCCGATTCTTCGCTGTATTTGTTGATTTTTCATCTCGTGCGCACTCTGATGTCTTTTAGCAATACCCCACTGGTTGCATTCTCACTTGCGCTTTTCCGTGTTAAATTAATGGTAGACGATGCCGGAACTGAGCCATGCTGATTTTGATGTTCTTTAGGTACATGCAGTTTATCATTTTATTTATTTTTTTTGTTTAAATTGAACCGTATATGTGTTTAATGTGTTTTGTACTAAATTGATGGTTTTCCATCTGTATTTATTATGTCACTTGTAGCCCAATTTACATCAACATTAACAGTAGCGCCTTTTCTCATTCGCCAGGAGACCCTGAAACTAAATTTTGTTGTCTTTAGTATCCCTTTAAGCTACTACTGTAATTGTTTACAGAAAACGGGTAGCTTGGAACGAGAGCACTCCCGCTTGGAAACCGATCGACGTGAGAGAGATAGACACTACGTAAGATCTCACAGCCAGGACAGAGATAGATCTAGAGATTATGCCGATACAAGTAGAGAGCGATCTCGAGATCGAGATTGGGAATTCGAGCGAGGCAATTACAGAGATCACAAAGACGTAGAGTGGGACAGAGAGCGAGACAGAGATCGCCCGTACAAGCATCCCGACACCCATCGCCGAACCTACGGTCGCGAGGACAGGGAGGAGGCGCGAAAACGCCCACGAACTCCACCCACGTGCTCGCCGAAGCGACCTCACACCCCTCACGCCGAGTTGTCCCCAAAAGAAATCGAACCCGTTCCCGAATCGGAGAAAGTGCAAAAAGAGGATAACGGTCAATCTCCCGTTAACGAGGAGAGCGCGCACGCCGTCGAGGAGTTCGAACCGATTTTGAGCGACGAAGATATCCTCGACGATTCGGAACATTATCAAGATCTCGACTATGATTACACGGCCTACACTAATAATGATGATATCATCAAATTGTTCATACCGGGATCGACGGTTCTGAAAAAATACGAAAGAAGTCCAAGCTTTAAGGTTTCGTTGAAAAGTATTGAGATTAGTAACAATTTGAAATCGGCCATCACCATTGCAGATGATTTTTTCAAGTAAGTCAATAATTAATGGTGACCTGATCACAATGTTTGAAATTTTGGCGATGATCTTATTATTTTTTGCCCAACACTCTGTTTTCCTACTATCTACTCGTACATAGCTAGGATAATGACATCACACAAATTGTTTTGGTGTCAAATGATTAGTGGTGCAGAAAATGTACAGTTATTTTTTCATACAAAATGCACCTTATGGCTAATCAAACTGAACTCATTTACATGGATTTTTTTCCACCAGGAAACTCGCACGCATACATAAGCATAAACAAAATATATGGCATTTATGTAAGCTGCGATAGTTGACATATTTGCTTTGGCATAACAAAGATTGACACAAAACCAATATTCGGTTACTACATGTCAAAGGTCGACTAAACGAAATGATTAGCAAGATTGGCTAAATGTCTCTTTTCTAAGACACAAAAAAAACAGTACATAGGACCATATATCTCTGCGTATGTCAGTTGTGCACTTTTGCCACCCTCTGCTACGCAAGGCGAGATTAAATATCGGTATCGCCCTGCCAAATATTAATAATCATAATTACCCGGTTGAAATACATAGAAGGAGCATAACGTTAAGTATCACAGTTACAATATGCAACAGTCAATGACCTAACGTACATACGTCACTCGCCCCCAGTACCCTGTAAATAAACAGTAACATATTTTTTCATACAAAAGAAAGAAAATGTGCTGCAAGAAATTCAATTATAAATTAACAATGTAGTTGTCGATATTTCCAAATACAGCACCGTCCACGAATCGCTACAATATTTATAAGATCGTTCAATTCTGGACACGAGTATTGAATATCATCCATAAGAGAACATACGGTATCTAAATATAATTCAAAACACGTAAATCTGTCAAGAATTCGTATTGCGGGTTGGCAGGTAAAACCAGCGCTAGGAACAAAGGGATACCGTATATTGAAAAACAACATACTTACCTAGAAACATAATGGAATCTTACATTTCATTCAAGGTTTAATCAGCATAATTATAAAAGTGTAATGCACTATAAATGACAATGCCCATGCTGTACTGGAATGCCGTTAATTTGGCAAATAATCTAACATAATCATATAATTACTAGACGGATGCAATATACGTGAAGATAAAAAATACACTCACAGTAACTAGGTATTCGAAACGTAAAAATTACCACTGCCCTCAACAGAAGCACAAATACCTCTGCCCAAATTTCCCCTTTTAAGCAAAGTCGGTCGATGTGGATCATTAACTTCCTTGCCCTTGTATAGCTTTAGGTTGGACACTTTTGTTATAAATTATGGTCCATTTGAATGGGCAGAGAAGAAAAAAAACACGTGGTCCACGGAAACGAAACAAAGCACAAGCTGGAATTCTATCGTTGCAGCAAGGGTAAATTCGGTTCCATTACACATTGAATGTTAATTACTGTTTTTGTTTTCGAGTAATTATCCGACGTGACAAACGTTAGATTTTTCTGACATTTAGACGGCGCGCAATCACCCCCCTGTCTTTAGTGCATTTTTTAAGAATTAAAAAAAATGTGGTATTATTTGCGCTTTGTCCGTCCGTCCGTCCGGACCCACTTCTACCGTTTTGAACTACTTCTAGAGTCCTGGATTTTTTTTGCAGTAGGTAGCCAGACGGCCATCAAATTTCGCTGTCTAAAAGGGGGGCCCACCCACGAATTATTGCCTGAGATGCTGCTTTTGAAACACATACATTACATACGACAACCAATTAGTCTCAGATTTTGCATACGCATGCCTTTAGTGGTGCCAAGTTAAACTTTACAAAATGGGGGGGGGGGGGGGTAAACACATGTTCTACCCTTCATGGTATTCTAATGAAAGGTCTCATCGAAATAAATTGGTTTGCACAAACTATAACTTTCCCGTGCGACTCTTCTTCGAGATCAGTGAGTGACGGGGCCTGAGGGGTGGGGGGTTAAAAATTAATTTTATCTCTCATTGTATTCTAATTAAAGGTCTCAACGAAAGGAACCGTTTTCTACCAACTACTGCCCTTCTTTCTGTCCTCTTATCAAAGTGCGGGGTGGAGGAGTAAGAGGGGGGGGAACTAGTTTCATCCTGCATGGTACTCTAATGAAAAGTCTCAACGAAAGGAATTAATTTATACTAACCATAGTCTTCCTCCTCGATCCTTTGTCGTGATCGGTTATAATTCCTTAAATCTTAAGACTGAATTCTCAAAGGAAAGTACCTACAAAGGGCGATTGGGACGTTTGGAAAAAATGTAACCATTGGGCATGTAAATAAAATGTGATACATATCCACTTGGAATAAAAGAAAATTTAACCCAGGTTTCAAAGTTTGGTTTTGCGCATGCGCAGTGCTAACTTTCTTATTTATGGAAGAAATTTCGTAGGGGTGTTTAAAAAAATGGGCTTTACCTGCACAAGGGTTGTGCACAATTTGTACTTGTTTGTGTTTTTATCTGATTGTAGATTATTGGTAGAGAGCGCCCTTCTGAATTCAGACGGCCGTTGCCAAAGGTAATACTTTAATTTCATCATACTGCGTGAGATTAACGTTTGTTCATAAAGGTTTTGATACAGTCGAAGTGTAATTAATAATTTTTTTTTGTGATAGTCATTTAAACAATTTTAAGTTATTCCTGCAGACGTATATTTCATTAATGTAATTTTGGTGCGTGTGCTCAAAGTGCATGTAACGCAGAGATATTTTATGCTGTTGTCTCCTTCCATGCCACCATACAAAGACCTCACTTGCATTAAATGAAATTGAACCTCTACGGCACTGGCAATAATTTCACTATTTAAACCACGGCTAGCTAAAAAGTTTTATTTTATACCCCTTACGGAAGTTTGGTCTTTTATCTCCTCTTAAAATCTGTAAATCAAAACCTGATGCTCCAGCTTGAGTGAATATATAGGAAAAGTAAAGAAAAATATAAATAAATGCATTTCCTATCTCGTGATCACGTATAAATGCTAGATTTGGTACCTTCATTCGTGTTGATAGATAATCAATTTCTGGTACATTCTCTTATTCACGATATTCACACCTATAATGCTAAACAAAATTTGAATCCAACCAAAGGAATGGTATCACTGAAATCAAATGCAAATTCCCAATTAATGGAACATTCCTTGTGTAGATCCAATTGTTATCGATAAAATGCAAACACAAACCTTTTCATGCAGCCAATTGTCATAGGTCAGTTACTTTAGGAATATTAAGATTACGTTAAACAAAATTGCTACGCAAATTCCTATAGGTAATCTATTACTAACTTGATGAGGATGAGGTTTTCTTGGGGTTACGATTGATATCTTTATTTAGCAAGAGGTATCTTAGAAATATGGAAGCGGATCGCTTTGTGACCGTACAGCTTCCACGCGCCCTGGTAAGGTTAGCCTATTGTTGAACAGAAATGTCTTTATTCATTTTGGACACAGGCAAGTCGGCATCAGGTTCTCGAGAGCATGGGTCAGAGAACTTGTTTATGCACAGGAATAAAAAGCCAATTTATTAATTTAGATTTTGCTGCGGGAAAATGTACCAATTTGGAATGAGGTTACTAAAGGTTTGGTTTCGCTTTTTGAACTAGCGGTTAAAGATTTAGACATACCACTCTAATATTTTGCATTGTGGTTAGGTTACTAGGGTAATTTTTCATGACCGAATAGAGAGAAATGAATTTCGTGTTGTTCTTGTTGCAGATCTAGTATTACCAAGTATGTACTTTCGGAATTTGAAAATCTAAACGTCGACATCAAAGAGGAATTCATTCACATTTGTGAAAAAATTAGCTCGACGATAGGCGAAGATGAAATATTCTGCGATATAGCGGCCCTTTACGTTATTGTGAAAAGCCTCGAATGCGAAGACTACGACGAATCGTCAAAGGAGATCATCGCCCAGACTAAGTTTGTCGTCGAGACTCTTTTAGATTGGATTAAGATCGCATTAGATTATCACATGGCGAACAGTCAAAATTTGCCCGCTTACAAAATTAGGCATATTAAATGCGGGGTACGTCTCGCCGATTGGTGTTGTAATAGTGTCGACTTTATAAAGATGTTGTGGAATCAAAGCTACGACGTTGCCGATATTCTTCTCTATCTGTACAGTCGCGAATACATGGCGCTTTCGATTAAGTTAATGATCTTACACGCACTTGACACCTACTTACTGCATAAACCTGCAATCGAACGCTTTACATCTGCGACAATCTCGTCTAATGTAAAAGAAAATGGCGTTTCCAATTCTGAAGATTGCGGTTATAAGAAATTAATCGAAATAATGTTGAGAAATCCGCTAGTGCGACTAAAGTTCGCCTTACAGTCGATCTTAAAAAAGCTGAATTTATTCGAAAGTCTTTCTAAATTGCAGGACGCGGCCGCTAGAGGTCGTCGCGACCAAGAGATCGATGTCACTTTGATAATCAAATTGCTAAATCAAATTTTGGATCTTTACCGAAACGGGCCGCTTGAAATATCTCAGCCTAAGCGATTTTTACCGGCGGCCGCGCAGTTTGACATAAATCGTTGCGATTTGAAAAACTTATTCTTGCGCATGTTCGACGCGCAAAACCTGCTAAGCTGCTGCGCGCTGTTGCTTACGCTTCCAAAGACTATGAATCTGTCATCGGTGAAAACACCAATTCTGGAGCTTCTGACCTGCTTTCTTCAGTCCAAGGAAGGGATGCTGTATTTATACGATAATTGCGACAGCGTCAATACTCTGCTGAAGGTATTGCTGCAAAGTGACGAGATCATTCAGTACTCGATGCCTTTTTCCGTGGAAATCGAGGGGCACATCTTAGGTTTGCGAATGGCTTACGCCTTGCAATGCCAGTACCACGTCGATTACTTACTCGATAACGCGCAGGCTCATAAATTCGATTGCGATGCGAGTACGCTGCTGGATCAGTTGCATTGCATTTACTGCCTCACGTTTTCATCCGTCGGGAAGGTCACGTGCAGCCAAGTGCTCGGGTTCGATCAGAATCTCCAATGTCTCGTGCAGTTCTTCGAAGTGCTGCACGTCAAGGAAAAGTCCGAGCAGCAGTTATCGAAAATAAAGAAATCGCCCGGATTGGCCTACATTTGCGATCTAATCGCGTTTACTGTCGTTTACAATTCGGATGTGACGTTTCTCGAGAGGAACGCCAAGCATTTGCTGCACGTCGTGAATCAGCAGGAGCTCTTCGACGATTCGGTGATCGCTCGAATAAACGAATTCGCCCCCTACGTGAAACCGTTCGAAACGCTCACCTTGGCAAGCTACGATAACGTAGGACCGATCATCGAGGTCATTGTAAAACATCTGGAAAACGTCATCGCGTTTCCGGGACAGTTGGTCACGTGCTTGCGGATTCTCGACCATTTGGGAATATCCAAGCATGCTCGCTCGGACAACGGTCTAAATAATTACGTCGAGCTCAAATACAAGCACGTGATCATACAGCTATATGCGCTTGATGGACTGGCGACGCTTACGAGTATTTTGCAGAAAATTTGCAAATTTTACGAGCAACCAAGCATTCATCTGGCAACTTTTGTCGCGAATCAGTCCATCAATATTATCAACGTTGTGAAGCCGTGCATTGATCTGCTGAAACAAATGCTAACGTACGTCATCCAATGCCGTAACACCAATTACAAGGATTTGACTTCGGTTCCGGTGCTGCTGCAGACCTACAACTTACTGCGCACGTTTCCGAGTAATTCCCCCGTTTATTTTAAGGCGAGAAAGCTGTGTGAGAAAATCATAGAAGCCCTCTTGGTGTATACTCAGCCTGTTTCAGACGAAATAAGCGAAAACGACTTGCTGAATAAAACTTTGTGGGCGCAGATGTGCGGCGAAGTTATCAAGTACATTAATTTGGCCCCGTACACTTTCATATCGGGTCTGCTCGTCTTCTCCGAGCTGCTTCCGTTGCCTCTTCCGTTGCAGACTCGCGAACCGCTCACGCCCGAGGAGGTATCGTGGGCGGTCAACCTGCGGAAACTGTGGGCGGCTCACTTGCACATCTACAGCAGTAACATTCAGGAGCTTATAAACCGAATGTGCACCTCCACGCACCCGCCTTTACTGAATCTCTTGCGCAAGGTGTGCATCCAGTTGGCCGATTTGGCCTCGAACTCGGCCATAATGATTGCAAAGGGTATACTAGACACAGTGCATGCCGATTTAAGTACCGAAAGTGACGTGTTGACTCAACCCTCTAGTGGCAACGTTGCGCGGCTTCTTAATTTCTTAGCATGTTTAGTGACACATAACTCGTTAAAGTGCGCCATTTTAAGTTTGCTTCAAAATAAAGCCGAGGAGAAGTATTCATCGATTATACCGTCGTTTGCAAAAATTTTGAGCTACAGCAGTAGCACGAACTCGCACGTGCAGGCCCAAGAATGCATTTTAAGTATCATACAAAGCTTGTGCGACACCGAAATAACTCTACTCCAAAACGAAGTGGAAATTACTAACGAAACGTACTTGGCAGACTCCCTCCCCATTAAAGATACCCTACTGTCGTTTATTACAATGATGGTTGATCACTTATCGTGCGACAATACCTTCGTCACATACCTTCCGATCATTCGCACGTTACTACTGTTGATGGAGCACGATTACGGTTTCTACCACCTACGCGAGCACCTGCTTAAGAAAAGCGACGTCTTCGCGAAGGTTCTAAATAAGACCGTCGAGGGCTATTCCAAAGAAAATGAGGACTGCCTCTCGGTGATCAGTTCATTGGTCGAGTTTTTCAGAATTTGCCTAATCCCGGACGAAGTCCCCGACCCTCTCACCGGTAATCTGAGGACGATGAAGATGAACGTCGGCGAGGTGCAGTCGATGTTGGGTTGGACGGGAGAGCAGGCCGAAGGTGCGGAACAACACGCGCTTTTGCGCTTAGAAAACGTTTTACTGGTAAGTGCCAAGGTTAGTAGAGGGAGTAGGTTGCCTCGTAACTTTAGAGAGACGCGTCATCAAGAATCCGGAAATCACATTTGATTGGTGTTTAAATTTTCATTGACTTTGACAGTTATTTGGACTGTGTTAGTTCTTGTTTACAATGAACGTATAGTTACGTAAGAAATACATAATACTAAAAAATTTCGCAAAGTATAGAAACATACGAAGGTGTTTATAATGAACGTAATTTTTACGTACGTATACGTAAGCGATATGTAAGTCTTGCGCATAGTCGCAAAAGTTGAAAATGTTTCCAAGTTACATATGGTTTAAGTAATAGACCAGGAGGCAGCGTACATAGTAACTAAACCATAAGCGACAAAAAATTCGACAATTCAGGCTGAAAGTACGTTGAAAACTGATAATAAAATCACTTGTCTGCCAGTCGTAAGTGGCAGCATTAACTTGGGGCGGCGCTGAATAGGTGACTCCTTTAGGTGATCAACTAAATTACCAAACTATAAGGGTCACGGAAAAGATTTGTATTAAGAAATCCCATTTTTTCCATTGTTTTCAAATATGGTATGGCAGACGATTTCGAGTGCAGCGTTGATAGCGAAAGACGCCCTTCAATGTAGGGAAAAACACCCCTGAAGTAAACCATGAGGACCGTATAAAAATTATACATAAAAAATTCCTCTTTTTGTCACTACTTTAAAATATATCCTGGCAGACGCTTATATCTCACACGCTCGCACTCGCTGGGAATTACTATACCTAAATTTTTTAACTTCTAAGACGTCTGCCACTATTAAAGCTACACTTAATATCGTCTGCCAGGATATATTTTAAAGTAGTGACAAAAAGAGGATTTTTTTATGTAGAGTAGTAGGCTATGAAACCGTAGTGCATGTAACACCCGTTAATAAGGAAGAGGAATTGTGGCAGCGGATTCAAAATTCTGTAGAAACAAGAGAGGGATAATAAAATTAAAATTAAAATTAAAAAATAACGTACCAATGTTGCAAAGGGTACAGTTTAATTTATTACGCCGTATAATGCTTTGTATGCGTGAAAATGGTGGTCACTTTGAACATTTTTACGGCCGGTTGCAAGAAAGCGAATTATAATCGAAATCCAAGATTATTTGCCAAATCTGAGATTAAACAAAAATTTTGGTTGCATGATCAATTATTGAATTAAACTAATATTGATTATTCTAATCTAAGTTTATTCCTACTATAATCCCTGATTACGTTGGTTTTGGGTTGCATGAACCTGTAATCCTAAATTTGTCATTGATTAAATCAAAATTATTCTAATTCGTCAAATCGGAGAATTAAACTGGAATGATAACGAAGAGCTAGAGGCGCCAATTGTTGATGTAGATGATGACTCTTCGGTGAGAACAGCACTAGTGAATACGGTGTTTGTTGTATGAGTGAAGAATTCAAGAATTATAGAAAATTCAAATTTTAATTACCCGATCGTGAACTAATCTCGGCTTATATGTAACTAAGGATTTCCTAATTCATGTATATTCCAACCGTCTTGCAACCGGCCGTAGTAGTTTAAATTAATACATTACATTGACTTACTCTGTTGTGTTCGTTTATTCTATGTTACATGCACTACGGTTTCATAGCCTACTTCTTGCTTGCACTTATGGTTTTTGAGGAACAATCGCATGTATGGTGCATGCCATTCATCATGCTTACATTTTTTTTTTCGTAAACCATCACAGATAGCGATATTCATCAAGAGACAAAAAATGCTTGCAAGTAAACTGTCTATCAGCATTGTTTAAAAAAGTATTTAAACAATGCTATCAGCAAAGAGTAACCATAATAACAGATTCAACGGCATAGAGAATAGTGTTGCATATGTATTGTGTGTTGCCTAACAAATTTTATTGCTTTTTCTCAATTTTATTGGCGTACGCTACCCCTAAGGGGCTATTTCAAGGCAACTACTTGTTTAGAAGTTTACAAATATCATTGCAGAAATCCCAGTGTTGCCAAATGTTTAGTGTTTGCTTGTAGTTATTTAGGTATCTATTATTCCTTGAAATGTATGATGTTTGAGATATGTTATTCCATTCTACGCTTATGGCACAATTTATTAAGGTCCGAACGCTTGTTGGTTTGATTCATAGGTGCGAAGATATGTTCTTCCTGTAACAATAAGTCGTTTTTTGAGCGGTAAATAATAGATTTTTTAGTGCGTATTGTGTATTCCCAGTAAGCGCGAGTAATAGCTCGCTTTGATTACGTCTCTGCCCTTTGTACACACTGTTCGTCGCCCTACCGTCGAGGGACGTATGGAAAAGTCGACCGAACTAGATCGTTTAGTTAGAGGAAGTAGTCTAACGAACGATATTTACTTCCGACTTGCGCGGAAATAAACGTTTTTTTAAAAAATAGGCCAATAGACGTTTTATAGCATTTATTGTACAAATAATAAGATAATGAAAGATTCCCGGAAAAAATGTTGCAATCATTTTTTAATTTTTGCCGGCCAAACTATAAACAATATAATAAATCCAAAATAAACTGCCTCAATTGGATTATAGCTGTGATCGAATGGTTCAAAGCAGTTAAAAATGTGAACTGTGGACCAACGCAACCCCACTTCTTTGCGATAACTGAAAAACTACTTGACCGATTTGGACCATAGTTTTTACCAGTCGATGTGACTAATGTCCCCTTTAATCTCATTACATTTCACTCCGATCGACCCACGCATTCCGGAGATATTTAAACGCTCCAGAAACCCTATATTTGGAGGGGCAGCCAATGTTGTTTTCAAAAATGAGAACATACACTGCATTATCAATCGTTTAGATGGATGAATCACTAGCAGAGTGCGCGGTGGCTCAAGTTGAGCGGCAAATTTAAATACATACTTATGTGTTTTTTCCGCTACGTGACAAAAAATATAAAGACGTGCTTTTAAAAGAAAATGTGTGGAAGGAAATAGCAGAAACCCTGAGTTGCAGATAGATGTCGCTTACATTTATTCCTATAAGGGACTTCATTCCTATAAATTAACGTAAAAAATTACGTTTATTGTAAATTTCGAAAGAAAATTCAAAGGGCTGTAACCTTTGAACTAGTAGCCCAATCTTGGAACTGTTTGAAATTATGGATTCTACAGGCCACATTCTATAAGAAAATTTTTTTTCCGGGTCGATCTGAGACAATTTTTTTTTCGGGGGCCCAAAAAAAGGCAGTGTATAACCTTCCTTTTTTACCAAAAATCGACTACACCAAAATTTCTCGGGAAAACACTTTTTCTAATTAATTTTGGTGCGTAGAATCCAAAACAATTCGTACTTTTTCGATCAGACTTCTCAATCAAAAGTTATAGACTAGAAACCAATTTCGAAAATTCAAAGGGCTGTAACTTTTGAACTAGTAGCCCAATCTTAGAACTGTTTGAAATTATGGATTCTGCAGGCCACATTCTATAAGAAAATTTTTTTTCCGGGTCGATCCGAGACAATTTTTTTTTCGGGCCTCAAAAAAAGGTAGTGTATAACCTTCCTTTTTTATCAAAAATCGACTGCACAAACTCAAAAAAAGGTAGTACTTTTAAGTTGTTCAAATATTTGAGAACAATTTAGAAATGTTTAGGGAAAGTTTCCATTGTCACAAAATCAAATATGTAAGCGGAACTTCATGAAACATGAAAACATCACGTTTTATTACGGCTCGCTAAGGCAGCTTTATTATACCAAGGGGTGCGCGAAGGAGCGCGGCCCACATATGGGGACTTCGTACGCGACATCCAAGAAAGGCGGTCGAGAAATAGAGCAATGTATCGAGCCATTGTTACTGTTCAATAAACGCCCATTGTAAATTGTCGTATAGTGTTTAATTAAGGGGTGTAATACCCCTAATCCTTTATAAAGTTAGTGAATCTTTTACAAATATAAAAATCCGATACATCTGAATACCGAACTCGATAGTCTACATAACTTAAAAACAATAGGGACCTTTCTTATATCCTTAAGACCATGTGTACCAATTTTCAAAGCGATCGCACGTTTCTAAACAAGTTATCATGCACACGGACAGATGGACGAACAAAAAAGGATCTGTTTCAAAATCAAAAAGGATTAATTTCAGAAAGGCGTACGTATCATGTGCACGACGCTTTGAAAACTGGTACACGTATTCTTAAGGATATAACTGGTATAAGAAAGGTCCTGGTAGGTACCTCCTATATAATAATATAATAATAATACGCTTTTACTCCCCTTAAATTTGTATATAACAATAGAAATATAAAAAAAGCTAACCCCATACAAAGTATAACTTGATTTTTTAAGCAGTATTAAGCCTTTTATCTAGTATACTATTTTAAATTTTTAATGCATTTGAGTGACAAGTATTTGAATACTTTTTACTGTATTCGAATACTTTTCAAAGTGTCTGTATCTAGTATTCGCTTGTGCTGGACGTAAAAGTATTTAGTATTCAAATACTTTTTGAAAGTATTCTGCCCAACTCTGAATACAGATTAGTAACTTGTGGGGTGAATATTGATGGTGCATATGGTTTGTTTTTATGCTAAATTAATCTTTGCAGTGCGTTTTATCGCCATCTATGTAGCTGTTTTATGGCGTCGCACTTTTTCCTATACCGTGGCATTACTGTAAGATGTATATACAATGGTACTATTTCGATTCATTTTGCATTTTTTGAACTTACTCTATTGTTGTTGCGTTAATAATTAATTTTTATGATCTGGACAAAATGGGATTCTGGGTGACGTCGTTCGCGTATTTGAACGTTTATTGGTTGAAAGTTACAAGGCAACCTACTCTTTTTACTAACCTTGGGTAAGTGCCGTCAAAAAATTATTGCATGTAATGAACAGGACACGCATCATTATGATTTTTTTAGAAAAGTGTGACTGAAGAATCTTTTGATAACTACATTCACGAAGGCGTGAAAGGTATTATCGCGCTTCTGAAGGAGATTACAAAAACCAAAGAGACACCTGTCGAGCCAATTTTACCCCCACCACAATCGCTACTGCTCCAATTCTCCGCGCGGTCAATTTTTACACTGACCGATGTAATCGACGAACAGCTCACTACGAACTACTGGCTCTCTGTGCCTGCCTACGAGCCCACCACCGAAGTCGACAATGTAAGTAGCACTTTTAATGCGCAACAATCCAGTGCTCGGTCTAAAGGTAACGTGCGATCTGGGTGAGGTTTGTCGTCAACACTTACCGGCGGATATCAACATAATTAGGGAAGTCGAGAAGGTGTGTCGAATTTACTCGTCGAACAATAACGAACAGGACGACGCAAAAACAAAAGGAGCCGAAGAGCAAAAGGAGAAGAACAAGAAAAGTTTCGGTAGGCCATCGAAACATTCAAACAACATAAGCGAACACTTTCTGTTTAGTCGTGCCGATTGCGCGCCGAGGTTTCCCATACCGACAAGTACAGGTACGAGCGGATCTGTTTAGATCGAGACCGCCGAACACCTCGCGTCCCCCCTCGCTACACGTGGACGATTTCGTTGCGCTGGAAACGTGCGGCGCCCAACCGACCGGTCCCACCGGCTATAACAAGATCAGTAGGGAGCTCTTGGCGACGTCGAGAGTGACTCGAGGGACTCGCGGCAGATCGTTTGTCAATGCCGAACGCTCGTTGCAGCAACGCCAAATGTAAGTATATTATGCATGAGATATCGTTGTCGGACATGTTAAATTAGTTGCAATAGGTCTGTCTCTTTCAGGTCCTGGTGGAGCGCCGGATTAAATCGGCGGCCATATTAATTGTATATTTGCCAAAGGCCGTACTTTTATTTATAGAGATTCAACTAAAATAAACTTTCATTGTTGTATGCGTATGATTTCCAAACGTATGTAGACGATTTGTCACAGAACTTTGTATATATATTGCAAAAAATTAAATAAACATTTAAACCTTTTACAGTGCAAAGTTTTTCATTTAGTAACTAATATAATTTTACAAAAGTAAAAATCCATCAAATCAACAGGTTTCAATTGAGAGAAGCATATAATGACGACCAAGAGTCTCATTAATAAATGGGAATTCGACGAAACCAATTACAGTTGGTGGATTTTATTTAGAGATTTTTGTTGCTGATACAAATAATCACAACTTAGGTATGCAACGAACTTTCGGTAGTCCGCTACTTGAAAATTAATCAGAAGAATTATTTATTATTATTTTAATCTCGCGCGCCACCAGGAGTTGTTTCCTTGCCCTTGGTCAAGGTCGGTGGTTTCGGAATAGTGAGGTTGCCACAGGTAAGTCAATTAGAGAACGGTCACCCAGGTACCAAATATCGATCGCTGTCTAAACACTAAAACAGAATTACGGAACACGAAAACGGTATAGCAATTTTGCAAGCGGAAACGAAAGCAAAATTAACTATCCGTTTCTACGGGGAAAACAACATTAAGGGAAATAAATGCCCGCCTTCAACGAAAATGAAAATTGGTAAACACTGAAATGTTCCTAGGGGTTCCTCAGGCGGTACTGAAAATATTGACTTACTCTGTACTTACAGTTGGCAACTCTGCGGAACAAATTGCAGACAGTGCCATCTAACTTTAGTTGTCAAAATGTCGAACGTTCGCGCCACTTTCAGATCTCGGTAACATTCGGCTTGGACGAAGTTGTACGAATGGACTCCTACGTTGTCATTTTCCTATGGCGGTCTTTTATGCGTTTAAACGTGAGACACAATCGGGAAGGGAATTAAATAAAAGACAGAATTTTTGTGCGTCCGAAGAGAATGAGAAAATGAAATTTATTACGCACGGGGCTTGGTTCCGCAGAGCAAATCCAAACCGAAAAGCCAGGAAAAAAGAACCAGCAATAAAAAAAACCTGGCATAACACAAACACAAGAAATAAATCAGTTACAGGTAACAATGTAGGTACAAACAGAAATACAAAATCAAACATCTCAAATCGTACAACAAAAATCAAGTAATCGAGGCAAATGTGGCTAACACAAATTAATCAAAAACGATAGATACAAATGACATAATTACAAATTGTGAACAAAATAAATCATTGGGGTATGAAACACTACATGAAAAACACATCAAGGGTTCAATTTAAACAACGCAAGGCAGGCGTGACCTTGTTCCGACCTTGCTTATCATTTATTTAACACGAGAAAAGTACACGTGCACCTGAGAATGCCAACACAGGTATTCAAGCGGAAGCAGACCACCTCACATACAAACCCACATTTTAAACAGAAGAGAAATTAATCAGAGGGCCCCCTTTCTCGCAATGCGAGACGCTAAGAACTGCAGTCTGCGCGAGATGAAAAAAAGAAACATATACCGCGACAGGGCGAACTGCATGAGGTTCTTCTCTTCCACGGAAATAAATTATTAATCCAAACATTCAGAGCAGTAACATTCTGGTAATCTACTCCCGCGTAAACACATTCAAATAATCATGAAAAACATCGCGGCATAATCAGGTGCACAAGGGGGCCAAGCTAAAAGATACTCATTTAACGGTAAACTCAAACAATAGCGGCCCCCATCATACGTGCATTCAGCAGAAGTCAAATCTAAAGCGAAGTTAAAAACGAAACCAAATAAGTCATGAAATTTAAACATTGATGAAACCTTTATATCGCTTGGAAAAAATATATCAAACACTAAATATGAAAAGCACACAAAACCGGTACGCAAACATCAAAAACTGGACCGCCATTGCTCCCGCCGACGCCACTCTCTAGCTTCCTGTACTAAATTGACGTCTGCGCAGAACGGGATTTTAAAATTCCTTTAGTAGTAAGATGTGTTGCATGTCTGTAGGGGTTCAACATCACAACACCTACCTTGAAATTAAACGGCCCAATTACTTACGATAAAATTGCAACAATTTAACGGTCAGTGCTGAAAATACAAAAAGATCCCATCCAAATTACGCTCGTACCTTTTATAAAATTCCCCAAATGAGGAAAGGGAAGGCTGGAAAACCGTATCTCCCAACTAACTAGTATCAAAGCGCTTGAAAATTAATTAGGTTTTTTTCTTGTTGGTTCTTTTTTTCCTTGACGTTTCGGTTTGGATTTGCTTCGCGGAACCAAGCCTCGTGCGTAATAAATTTCATTTTTCTTATTCCCTACAGACGCACAAAATTGTGTCTCTTATTTAATTCTCTTCCCGATTGTGTCTCACTTTCCAACACAAAAGGACGCCATGGTAAAAAAGAGTCTCATTTGTATTACGCAGTCTCAGCCGAGTACCTACTACCGAAACGTCCGACATTTTGACAACGAAAGTTAGACGGCGTTGGTTCTAATTGCCTCCTCAGAGTTTCAAACTGTAAGTATGTGGTAATAAGTCAACAGTATACGCCGGGGAACCTCTGAGAAAACTACAACTTTTAATACAGTTCTGGAGATTAATTCATTATCTTTGCTGACAACAGAATTCCTTATTTACTATAGTTGCTGTGAGAGAGCTGTAGAGAGAAAAAGATAGTGCGAGATTCGCATAGGGGGTGTGCGGTCGTCGCTCATAGAAGGTACATATATGGTGGAATTCTGGAGCGAGACAGGTAACTGCGGAAAACGCTAAACGCACATTTTACATCACATCTGCAATATATAAAAATAAACAATTCGAGGAAGTAACTCGTGAATTGGAATAGGTAATTTAAATATGATGTTAACTTAATACAACATTTGATAAGCTAAAGAAAGATTAGCTCGAATAGAGAGACTCGATCTCTTTCCCATTCCGAAATCTCTTACATTACATGATATACATGATTAATTAGGGGACCTTCTCCAGTCCAGAAGGTATCCGAGGGTCCTGGATATGGTAAACTAAAGTTGTATTTCGAGATTAATGCCATCTTTAACGCTCCGGCAACCAAAAATGGGGTTTTAGGCTTGCGAAGGAACACTTATATCAGCTTTGTACCGATCCTGATTAATAAAACGAAAATAATTAACAATTTTATTTTTTAACATGATATTAACAAGAAATGGATACATTAAATGCACGGTTGCAATAAATTAACTACAGCAGCACTTTAGACATGTCGACAACGATACAATAGATATTTATTGTCATACATAAACGACTATTAAGCACAACCTTATACTTAATGGCAAATTTACAAATAATTATTTAAAAAAGTAAAAAAAAATCCGTTATTTTATTTATATTCTTCGACAAATTCTAAATGAAAGTTTCTGAATTTCTCCAACATCGCTTTTAATTTTTCGGGTTGTGGCAAAATGGTCGTACGGAAATGGAATGTTCCCGGTTGCTGGCCGAAGCCCGATCCCGGCACTATGCATATTCCCGTCCTTTCGAGCAGCTGGAAGGCGTAAAATACGTCGGGATGTTGATTGGCTTTCTTCGCGGCTTCGATCGCCTTCGGTGGTAGCGTGATTCTTGGAAACGCGTACATTGCACCCTGCACGGGATTACAGCTGAAACCCTCGAATGAGTTGAAGGCATCGACGACCATCTTCGCGCGAATCTGAAAGAATATTCGGTTAGACTTTGTACACCTGACGTGGTTGTCTAAATGTTGGCTATATGTTTATTAAGTATCTAACTTCATTCAAGTAATCTGTGCGCACGCGTAGATTCCAGATTTACTTCAGGCGGAAAATCAATACACTAATTATAATGAAATTACTTATGAGAAGTTAGTTTTGTCATTGAATAAGCACCTTAAAGAAGTATAACTACATAGGAAACCTGAAATTGGTGTAAGGTGTGTTAAAAGTGTTTAATTACCACAAATATTGAAGGATATTTGGCCTCGGGCGGTAAATAATGACTATTTTAAACAGGGAAACCAGTTATACTTAGGGGCCCTTTGTTTTCCTTGTTTATCAGAGTTGAACAGTGTTGTCATATTTACCAGATCCTTATATGGAGCTAGGTAAAGTTTCATTATTTATTATGTAAAGATAATGGTCCTTAGAACAGTTTTACTTTATTTATTGTTCATTATGATCTTACATTTCAGATTGATCCGCCCTTACACAATATTGTTATTGGCATTGAATAAAAGCTTATTCAATATTTCACTCTAGTTTATTCAAACTCAAAGCGCTTGCCAAAAATCTGGCAAGGTTGGAATTTTAAATAAGTAAAGAAATCTGCAAAGTCGGTAACTAGCTTTAAATTTGTGGTTCACTTTCCCCCACAACAGAGGGACGACAGAATCCTGGGCAGATTTTCTTATTTACACGGGCGTTATACTTCTTTAAAGTGCTTATTCAATGGTTTTGTTTAATATAACGCGGGGAATTACTGTACTTACATTCAATGAGTCTAATACTGCTTGTCTTTCCTTCATGTACATTTCGTAACTGGGCTCTCCTTTTCTCGGTGGATTTACGACCGTATCCATACAAGCCTGGCCGATAACCGTCGAGCACAACATTGCGCTAACCGATTTCAAGTAGTTCACTTTAACTTGCGGGCACATGTTGATCACTTCGGCGTAACCACCGCGCAAACCACACTCGCCCATGTAACCCTTTGAGCAGGACATAAAACTGACCAATTCCATCGAAGAGTACGGTTCGCCCATTTCCATTAATACCTAAAATTGTTCTTTAAGCAGGAAGCACGGCAGAATATTCTAAACAAACCTTCTTGAAGGAAAAGAATTCGGAACCCTCCGCGTAGACGTTGTGCTGATATACCTCGTCGGCAAGAATAAATAGCGAGTGTTTGTGCGCGAATTTAATAATTTCCTGTATGTTCTCCTTGGTCAAAACCTGGCCGGTGGGGTTACCTGGATTAATTACGACTATACATTTCGGAATGCAACATTTCTTGTTTTCCTCTAGCGCCCTCTACAATAGATAACAAGTTAGCAATGTTCCCGTATGTTAGTGGGCGAGTACTTCTAATTCGGCCCCGTCTAACGCCCAGTTTTTCGCCTCGTTCAAGTAGTAGCCGATTTGAGTTATGCCCATTTCCGCTAGCGATGCAGAGTATAACGGGTACTGGGGAATTGGAATCATTACGCCGGGTGGTTTTCCGTTAACAGTGCAGATGAATAGTTTTAGAAAGTTTTTAATTCCGTCGCTCGCTCCTAAAAAAACAAATGAGAATTGGCGAAATTGTTTCTCATTATCAATAGTAAAACTCAGATAATTAATTCTTATTCAAAAGTCAAGTCACGGAGAACAAGGCTCTGCTTCAAATGATGATAAAAAGCAACTTGAGATGTCCGATTTCAAAATTCTACGAGTACCGTTGGCGTAAATAGAGACACCATTTTTACAATGTCCACAGAATAAGACCTTCACAGAATAAGACCTTTACAGAACAGAAACATAAATGGCGCTAAATTGTCACTGATTACAGCGTTTCCCGTGGTTGTACGGAGAACTATTTATCGCAGATTCAAATATTTTTTTGCAAAACCTGTAATTTTGCTCGTTACAGGAAATATTTTTACCGTCGATTTTATACGTACACAAGTTTTCCACATGTCAATTTTGACTTTTGAAAGATTTAAAATATGAACAAGTTATGTGACCGTAAAAAGTGTTGTGTGGCGGATTGTAACAATAAAATATCAAAAAGCATCGTTTCCCACATTTTGAAACAGCTTGTTTTGTGCTTGAAACGCGAAGAGGGTCGAAATGTGCTGTTATTTCTTTCCTATTTATGCAAGGTAAGTAAGAGGTACAAATTGACGCAGAATTATTACCAACTGTACCTATAGGCGCAAAAGGGTGTAGACTTGAGTTTTATATTTATATAGATGTAGATACTTATATTGTAATTCGTTTTAGATAATTCAACACCCTCGCTTCTCAAGTAACCAGTAAGCACCAGGATCAAGTTAACATTTGTTGTCAAAAACTTGTGTGACAATTTGCTGAAACGGTTTTATCACCTCTTGGAACAAAAATTTAGTTCTAAAGATATTTTTTAACAAAAATATGTAGTCCAAACAGCAATTAAAACCAAATATTTCGTAGGACAACTCGTTACGTAAGGATCTTTTTGCAAAGTGTTAACTTCTACAAAGCGTAAGTTGCACTTACTTTTGAGTTTTATATGTAATTTGTAAACATGTAATTTAAGATGTCTGTGTTAAATAATGTAATGTGATTGTATCTAAATACACTTGCAATTTAACAACTGTGTATTCTTTATCTATATTTGTGATTTAGATCGAATTGGGGAAATTACTTCATGGATTTAGAAGCTGGTCGCCAGATGGCGCTACTCTGATTTTGATGCTTTAGTTCACAGTACACCCACCAGGGTCCGCCAAAATACCATACAAATTCGTAACATTGCTGTTTCTATTCTGAGAAGGCCGTATTCTGCTACTAGTTAATAATAAAAAATTATTAACCACTTTGAACAAATGCCGAGAAAGCCTACTTTACAAGTGGAAAAAAGGTTAATAATCATGTCATCAGACGCTAGTAGTGAAAAAAAATGTTTTTACTATTAATTAAATCAATCCGAACAAATTAGGAGAAAGAAAATCGATTTCGATGGGCCCCTAGGCGCAAAATAAGTAGATCCGGCCCTGCGTGTGTATGGTACAAAAGCGAAGGGATATCACAATCACTTATTATTCCCAAAAAAAAACGATGTATAAAGCCTAAAGACCTGTACCTTTATGCAATTAAATAAGTAGGTCTAAGAATAATCCACTCCTGCACTTAAGGATGAAATCTTTGACACTCCTTTTCTTCTTTTTTTTTTAAATTGTTTTCTTGTTTTGTTATTATATATTATTGAGGTGGAAGTATGTCCAATAAATGGCTTATTATTATATTATTATTATTAAATTATTCGCGTCATTGGTGAGATAGATCCTCAATGATTATGTCAAAATGTCATTGAAAATTTGAAAAAGAAAGTGAGCCTCTGTTGAGGTGTTCAAGAGAATGCCATTTGGCAGATATTATTTTTCATATATGAAAAGGTCATACCTGATGCTTCAATTACGAATAGTTTTTGAAAATGAATGTTACGTGTTTCATTTATTCTTAAAAGAAACCTCGAAATTTGAAACACTTGTATGTATGTGGTTCGTTTTTTGTGAACACAATAACTCAAAAACAGCTTAAGCGATTTGAATGAAATTTTGGGATGAATATGTGTTTTTGAGGGTGTGAAAGGTGCAAAAATGCCATAAGGGTTTAAACACATTTTTATTCGCATGCACTGGCTAATGTGGCATATAAACAAGTCTACAATAGCGTCCATTGCAGTTTATTAATACTGTTTTAGGTACTATTTATTAACACTCTTTTTAGGTCAGATACGCAATAAAGGCGCTAAAAGGCATTTTATAATTATTTTTGGTTTTTGATTTTTGTTGTAAAAAACTAAACTTGTACCACGGCACAAACCCAAGTTTATTATATTGTGGCTATTCCCTATTTAATATTATATACGTAGTCGGAAAGCCGAGGCAAGGGTTTACCTGACAACTGTGGTAACTTATCCTTATAATCCCCCGAGTAATCCTCCCACAAGTGAAAGAATGGCAATATGCAAAGAATACGAAACGCTCTACCATTGAATATCCCAATGGCTCTACCTAGGGAATGCAATACCGGGATCGCGGGATCCTGAAATACCGGGATCCCGCAGGATTTGCGGGATTGCAAAATATACCGACCAAGATTGACACGGACGCGACATTACATTTACGATTTATTCATAAAACGAGTAACGCAAAAGTGCAGATACATACAGGTCGTGCGTAAATCGTAAGGACATTGACTTTCCGTTTTTCCATACATTCCCAACTCAGTGAATTTGATTATTTCTCACTTTTTTTTATTATTGCGGTTCTTGCAATAATTATTCGCTAACGTTAACGTACCCTGGTAGGTACCGTTATTCTTATAGACAAATATGTCGAACTCGTCGATTGTTTATAAATACTTTAGTATACCTAAGTGGCTGTATGGAAATATTGTAGTAAATTTCCAATACATTTAAAATTTTGCGACATCCCGCAAATACCGAGATCCCGCGGGATTAACATCTAACGATCCCGCAAAAATACCTGGATCAAAATTTTGCTGCGGGATTGCATTTCCTAGCTCTGCCTATTACCATTGAATTTCATGTCACAATTTGTTGTTATGTACATTTTGCATAAAATACTGATATCGCAGCTTGGCATACCTACTTCGAGCTTTTGTTATGTAGTTATCTGAATCGTGTTTGTACAGGTAATTATGCCTTTATATTGCTTATTAAGCATTTATTTATGTATTCACGAGAAAGTTTATTATATTTGTGTGATGTTGCTCTGCATGTGTAACCATTAAGGAAGTACATAATACAGTTCGATCCTTCGCTGTATCTGTTACTTTCTTTCTTGTGCGGATCGCAGCTCTTGCATCTTAGCTATAAGAGAAGGGGGCTCAACTAATTTGATGTTTCTCAGTATGAGCGGTTTAACTGGTTCTCCGTGGAGTAAGTGCCGTACACTCCGATTCGTCGCTGTATCTGTTTACTGCGTTTCTCGTGCGGATCACATCTCTTGGGATCTTAGCAATACGAGAAGGGGTCCTCTAATTAGCTAGCGGGCGATCAAAAATGAGTTGCTGCCGAGTCGCCTTTGGAAGTTCAAGTTAAGTACGCTCTCCCATGTAAACAAAAATTCCAAAGGTGACTCGACAGAGAAACTTATTTTTGATCGCATAGTGCAAAAGGTAAATTTACTGTTTCACGAGTAGTTTTGCCTAAATTGATTGTAGATTTGTGTACTTAATGTGTGGTGTACCTGAATTGATTGATCATGTTTTATGTAGTACAGAGACTATAACGATAAAAGTTTATTTGGATTGATCACTTATTCCTTCCTGAGTTATTACTGATTCCGTGCGGGGAAAATGCACTTTCGTCGGTCGCGAGTGACCACGTTTTTAACTGGTTTAGATCTGCTTTAGGAGTTTATTGGTTTTTGTCCTTTCTTACCACGAACTTATGTTCTTAATTATAGGTTCGTGTTTCTTGCACACAAAATTTTACATTTTATTCAATTCCCCGATCACTTTCCAACACATAAAAGAACAACTACACAACGTAGCAGTTCATTCGTGCCATCCATAACTAGTCGATTGCTACCGAGATTCGAAAGTGCCGCGAAAAGACAGTTATCGTTTCGACTTGAAAGGTAGATGGCTCTGCCCGTAGTTTTTTCCAGGGTAGCCAACTGTAAGTATAGGGTAAGTCAACACTATTGCAGAATCGTTTAAGCATTTTGCCCAAATTTGAGTATCATCCCAAATTAGGAAAAAAATGTCTTGCTGCACTAATGGCAAGCCTATATCTATATCCTATCAAATGTGTAACGGTGCCCCGTTGACGGTCTTAATATTTGGTAGGATTTCCTAAACTTTTTACGATTTTTTTATGTGGTAAGTGGTATCATAGATTACCACCCCAACCAGTTAAATGAATGTAAAAGCTGACGACGCCAAAGTTGTAGGACGTAATGAAATTCCACGTATTACGTGAAGATTTTACAAACGTGGCATTCTCCGCGCTATCAAGTTTGCTGCGTTGTATGGGAACCGTTAAATTAGTAAAAGAAAGTCCACGTGCACTACGATTGACAGTTCAAAAAGAGATATCATTGGCTAGAAAAAATTAGTTTTATTGGTGGAAAAGGTCCCAGTATGGGTGAGAATTCAAAAATGAAGGTAATGGAAATTAGGTTTGTTGATAGGAAGCCCTGGGCAATGGGCGTTAAGCCACGATAGCGTTCGCGAATCTTCCGCAAATCACTCTCTACGAATAAATTAATGTAGAAAAAAACAAACTTCTTCTATTTGACTCAATACAAAATTCATTCAATTGGGAACAGATATAATATCTAAATTAAATATTCAAGTAAACAATCGGGGCAATTAATCATGCTAAAAACCTTATAACCCAGATTGAAAAGAAATACCTTTAGTAAATCAGGAGGATATATATCGCTGTTGGCCTTGCCACGGGTAGGTATAGTATATAGTGTTGCAGCTATTGATAACCATTCAACTGTTACCTTCGATGACATGGTAACGTTTTCTATGATCAACAGTTTCACATCAATAATATCTATCTTCCAACTAACAGGAAATGACTTCTGCCTGTGCTTGTGTACTGGATATATCGGTCCTTCTCTTCAGGGAGAGCTGTAAACAGTACCAATGACAATGTAATGTTATTGGTGACATTTTTAAAAGCTATGTCTTAAAAAGGAAAAGAAACCCTTTAGTCTTTATATGGTATCTATCTTAAGCAATATTGTATGAAGTAGTGTAGGTCCCCATTTTTATCTGGCCAATTTGTCATAGCGAAAGAGACCTAGACCCTAGGCTATGACCAAGAAGGTACTCGGTTCGAATTCGGATTTGAATAAGGGTACTCAAAACGGTTCACTCAAACCGTTGCGGGAATGAGGGAGGCATGCGGGGGATATGCAAACCGATGCGGCGGTTCGCACGCATTATCCCACTATAGAAATATGTCCCGCTCCCGCTTCCGCATTCCCGCGTCGGTTTTCAAATTGAGGCGACAAACGCTTAATTTACAGCGTTTCTTTCCCGACGGAGTCCTCCGTTTCTTTAATCATAGATATATTAAGGGCAAGGGGGAGAAGGTAATAAATCAATTCTAAATAAATATGTATTTGCTATTAACCTAGGGGACGGAATGACAAAAATGACTAGATATTATTTAGATGACAAATGCTCACTTCAGAATATCACTTATATCATCTTCTGAAACATCCCAGGCCTCATGCTTTTTACTTGCCTTATCAGCAACATTACTTTTGGAACAGTCGAACACGGAACTTCCGATACTACTAGTACTACCACCCCCCTCGATGACTTTCAAGGACTGCACTTTATCCGCTGGCGGCCCTTCAGAAGTTGCCAAGTTAAAAATCACCTTTTTCTTATGCAATGAAGCAACTGACGGATAATTTTTCAAAGCACTTTTGGCTTGCTCCATTTTGTCATCAACGATATATGGCGGCTTTAGATTAAGTTCTGGGGACGAACTTTGTTTATTCTTCTTGTTGAATTCCTGAATGACGTTATAATATTTCCTCTGGGTTTGGTTCAAGCCGCCTCCTTTCCCCCAGACTAGTTTTTTCCGATTTCGTATAGTGTCATCCGTATCGGTATCACTTACGGACTCGTACATTTTCGCGCTAGGTTTTTGTCGTTTGACTTCGTTCTTCTTCTCCTGCTCCAAAAGTTGACTATCGACCTGTTTTAAAATATCCTCGCTTATTTTTTTATAGCCCGGATACCTCTGCAAAATTAAATTAAGCTTGTTAACTACCTACAATAGTGGATGTACCTTTTTAATCAGATTGCTTTGATGCATAACAATTTTGAGGACCCTTTCGTACGATTGTTTAGGTATCGAGGACCATTCTGGAGAAACTCCCAACTGTGTTAGCTGTTTGTCTAGTAGACTTTCCACTTCTTTTTTAACACTGCCCAGAACTGCCGGTGTAAGAGCAACCTTTTTGGGACTACAAGTTTGTGAGTGAAAACCGACAAGTTACAGAGTGCAAATGTTTACCTTCTTTTATCTAACGTGGGTAGAATAGAGCGTTTTGTTTGAAACACTGGGTCATTGCTTTGATCAGTTTCGATGGTATCATCAGTTCCACCCTCCTCGTTCCCGATTCTATCCTCACTTTCACTAGTATCACTAATGGAATCGAATACTTTTGTTTCGACAATCGGGTCAATCGGTGCAACTGTAACATTCTGAATGCTGTCAACGGTGTCACCACCACTGTCTGACATTGGGTTATCAGGGGTTGTATTCTCAGCATTACTGAAATTTTCATTGGGTGATTTTACAGCTATTGGAACGGCTTCTGGCGTCATGGGAGTGCTAGTATTCCACTTTTTTCTTGGTTTGGGAACAACTTTAATCTCGGTCTCATTGTCTTTGGGATAGTTACCATGAGCTGAGATTTCGCGCACATTCATATCTGATGGGACAATTTTAGATTGTAAATCGTTTGGAACTAGTGACCGCTGAGATTCACATCCATCATGGATTCCGGTCAATTTATCTTCCTTATGGATGACAGCAGTAATGGAAGATGGTCGGGAAATATCTTTATCATTTGTCATTGCCGAAAACTTCAATTTATCACAGAAGGTTTGCACCTGATTTTCTATTTTTTCCATACTTCCTGTTACCTGGAAATATTCAATACTGTCAAAAATTATAATGGGCTCTTACAAAACAGTTGAAGCATGCTATCAAAATTAAATTATTCTAAGAAACTTTAACAAAGTTTTTTGATATGTCTTTTAATGTCAATGAAAAATGTGTTCAATAATATGTACATACACAGTATAATTAAGCGAGTTTTTCACTATACCCTTAACAAAAGTGAATATGAGCAGAAATTCGGAAAACTTAAAGAAGAACTAGTAAGGAAACTTACAGAGAGTATTTTATCAGTTACGCCTAAAAATGTAGTAACTGATTGAACAATATACCTACTAGGGAGTAGGTACTCAACAAAACACGTTTTCAAGATCTTTAATGAGACACCCTGTATATTTTTTATAGTTTGAAGTAGCCCTTTATCTCCCAATTACAACTATGTAATATTGTATAACATTAGATTGATTCTTTAATGATTTTTTGCTCTATTAAGGGATAGGTATCACATCGTTGGTTATATGGATTCGAAAAGGAGATATCAGTTGTGCAGGTGATGCAATTATGAGTTGTGCATACACAACAATGGAGGTCACCTTGAGCAGCTATTGCAATTTTAAATTTGGTATTTTACCATGGTATAATAAAAAATAAAAATATTTTACACTTGTTAGTCAATTTTTTACTATCAAAATAATATACAGTGCGTCCCCCGGTTGTTTGGTCATCTCCTATAAAAGACAAAAATTTTCGAATTGAATTTCGAGCTTCTGTGGGTCAACACTGCTTGGTTGGAAACTAATTTTTGACATAATTTTAGTTTCGAAAAATTAAGAGTGCCTTTGAAATTTTCGAAAAACGGTTTTTACATACCTACCAGTAAAGTGCTCTTTGGGGACGAGATACGCACAAAGGTGGAAGTCCTAGTCCTACTTTTTTGATTGTTTTTATTTTTTAACTAGTTTTTGATACTGTTCAAAATAGAATGTAATTACTGTGTAGCAAATTTGAAGCCAATAGGAACACTTCGCTAATTAATCACCGGCGTGAAAAGAGCGGCCAAAATTTCCGAACATACCCGAAGCGAAAATAGACCTTGCCACGCAATTTTTTTGCTCTTATTCTTTTTCCTCTAAATAATGAAACAATTCTATTTACAATTAAATAGAAAACCCTCTCATCAAGCAGAATTACGAGTCAATAAGGGTTGAACAAGCCACCCTCTTATCATATCTCCAAAACGGCACATAGTATCACGATCAAATTTTCGTCGATGGTTAATGATAGATCGCGAATAAATAATCAACAAAAATATCCAGGTGCACTGCCGTCCAAGGGGTCACCCCCTTGTCGTATCTCGAAAACGACACATACTATCACGACCAAATCTTCGTGGATGGTTAATGATAGATCGAGAATAAATAATCAACAAAAATATCCAGGTGCACTGCCTTCCAAAGGGTTGAAATAGTCACCCCCTTGTCGTATCTCGAAAACGGCACATACTATCACGACTAAATTTTCGTGGATGGTTAATGATAGATCGCGAATAAATAATCAACAAAAATACCCAGGTGCACTGCCGTCCAAGGGGTAGAAATAGTCACCCCCTTGTCGTATCTCGAAAACGGCACATACTATCACGACCAAATTTTCGTGGATGGTTAATGATAGATCGAGAATAAATAATCAACAAAAATACCCAGGTGCACTACCGTCCAAGGGGTTGAAATAGTCACCCTCTTGTCGTATCTCGAAAACGGCACATACTATCACGACCAAATTTTCGTGGATGGTTAATGATAGATCGAGAATAAATAATCAACAAAAATACCCAGGTGCACTGCCGTCCAAGGGGTTGAAATAGTCACCACCTTGTCGTATTTCGAAAACGGCACATACTATCACGGCCAAATTTTCGTGAATGGTTAATGATAGATCGAGAATAAATAATCAACAAAAATACCCAGATGCACTGCCGTCCAAGGGTTTGAAATAGTCACCCCCTTGTCGTATCTCGAAAGGAGCTGGATTTCTATATTTGTTTAGTTTATTTAATTGTACGAGTAGAATGTGAAATTGCGCGATAAAATATAAAAACATCTGGTCAAGTTTGCGTGCATTATACAAGGTCCAGAGTGGACTACATATGGTCCTCGGCTTACACAGAACCCCCGTTACCGTCGGTAACGCCCCGTAAGCAGTGGAAAGAGCGACGAAACGCGCAGACGAACATCAGTAGGTTCCACATCCACTGAGCCCTTCCCGCCATCACCAACGAAGGCACCGTCGACAATGCCGGCCAAACCGCCCACGTGAACGCTAATCCCAGCCGAAATCGCACGTACGCCCACATACTCCCAGGAGCCAACGACCCAGGACGTATTAATATTAACAATATTAATCCTATGTAAAAATTGTAAATATGTGTAGTGTAGGTACATATGTTCTGTCTAATATAGTTAAGAAATAGAAGAACACGCATAAAGTAGCCATTTCAAACAAGGGTTTAGGTATTGTGTGTCGCTAACCACCAAAACCATATCTTTGTTTCTATTGGCTATTTCTTAATGATATAATGATAGTGAACTAATGATAATAACATGTACCTACTGTAATTAATAAATGTTAGAATGTGGTTGCAATTTGGTTTGAGCACGGGTCTGAAAATGTGCAGTTGTATTTGATACGTGAATATTACAAATAATGTTCCGGATGATGATGCCGCAGGTTGTGGGACAATATTGGAAGTCACAGAGTTTGAAATTTTGTTAGTGGTTTTTGGCTTGTGCATTTTCTCTTTTGAAAAATTTAAAAAAACGGGTAATTGAACGGAAGGTGGGCGCAATTTCACGTATTTCTTGTATACACTGTGTCCAAGATAAGGAAAGTCTATCATGGGAATCTCGGAAACCATAGAAGATACGAAGATGCTCAAATTAGGAAAAAGTTGCGCAATTAAAAAATTCTTATCATGCTGTAAACAAAACCAGAAAATTCCGATTACTTCAGAAGATATGCTAGAAAAACCGAAATTTGTTGATTTCGTTTGAACAGATACAGAGAAAATAAAAACCACTTTCTCATTGTCAGTATATTTGAGCTCAATAAGAAAACGTTGAGATTTTCAATACCTACAACGTTTCGTTTTGGAGAAATTATTAACACCTTTATGTTTTATTTGGACCATAAAAAAAGTACGTACAATGTATGGCACCTAGTACGGCACACAATAAAAAAACAAAAATTGGAAATTGTTGTTTTCAACAGGATGGTGCACCTGCGCACAACGCCTTAAACATGCAAGGATACCTAGATTGTTTGTGACTATCAACTAATACTTTAGAAGATGAATTTTACAATTGAACTTTCGTTGACAAAGGTTAGGAACAATAGAAACCAGTAGTGCATTGCTTCTTTTGAGAGAAATATTAATATGCGGTGCTGAGTAGCCCATTATTGGCACACTTACCTTGCACATATAACCATACCAAAACTGACTACGTTCTCTCTACCATTACTCAATAATTACCCTATTATTACTCAGACTGTCTACACGATACCATTACCCCAAACTCCCCTCAAACTCAAGAGCCTTTGTAGCTACTTACACATTCTTGAATCATTTCTCCCAATTTTTCAAAGTGAGGCTGCAATTCTCTATCACCAAAGTACCCATTTTGATACTGTGGAGACTGATGCACAGAGCACTGTTCGCAATTGCTACAGACTCCCTCTGCAATGCTCACAATATCAGTTTGTGTAGTACCATCATGGCTAACTGTGACCTTCTTAGGCAAAACCACATCAATTCTGTCTTCCTTCGTCTGACACGCAGTAGAAATTGGCAAATCACCTGTACCAGTGCACTGTGTACGCTTCTCACTATTCAACTTATTCAAAAACGTCTCAAACCACTGCTCGTACTTATCCTGATCGAACTTCTGAGTTTGTAGTATGCGTAACTCGTTGTCCACATGCACCTTTAATAGCTCAAATTTATGCTGTAGCTCTGATAAAATTGAATTTTCTGGAGTAGCAACTTTAGGAATGCTTGTAACTCGATCATCGTCACTGTGAATGTATTTCTCGGTGTTATTTAAACGCTCCTTCAAGGCCTTTATCTCCAATTGAAGTTTATCAGTTTCGAGTTGAAATGAGGTACTTTTTACCACATTCTCGTGGCGTCTCTGTACATGTGCCACAAGATATTCCTCTGACGAAAATGCCTTGGAGCATTGATTACAAGGAAATAGTGGGACATTTTGTGTACAAGCAGTTTGGCAATTTAAGGTCGTTTGCAGTTGCTTAATCTCATTCTTAGCAGTTATCGCTTCGTGTTGAAGCTGTTCGGCATAGCTATGCAAGCTGTTGATGTGCTAGAATGACGATCTAAGTAAATTTAACAACGGCTTCGTGCCCTCACCAATTTTGCTGCTGCAACCTCCTTTTTTAAATATGCCACAGTATTATCCAAGTACTTTTTGCAAAAGAGTAGATATTGCACAGCTAACTGACTAATAGAAAAAATCTTAACTACGTTAGGATCCAAAGAAGAAGTGTCTAAATGAAACTCCAGAACTGCATTAATGTTTCGATCGATCAATTCAATATCCTGATGTCGGATAACGTTCTCTATATCGATGTGTGCTTGAACGTAAGATTTAGTATAATAGAAGCAGAATTGGAGTCGTCACTTACCGAGGTCGTTCGTAATGGAAGGTTTTGAGTGAGCAATTTGAAAGGTGAATCCGGTATCGCGAACCAAACGCGTGTAATCGAAATGCCATTGGTAATCATCGGACATCATGATTCCAGAATGTTAAGAAACCAAATTGTCTCTCTTTAAATACAACATAAAGACGAAAATGAAACTGATAGATGCACAGAAAATATTAATTAAGTAGGTACAAATTAGTAAGTAGACCGATTTATGGAAATCACTATCTTTGTTTAGTTTCAAATAAAGTGAGGTTGGAATTAAATGACAATACAAACAAAATACTGGCCGCATTCTGTTTCAGCAGTACTTATGGTCACGTTCACAAAAAAAGGTACCGTTCGCCACGACCAGGGTATCGATTCCCGAAGTTAGTCGATATGCTCCGTGATGTGCATGTGATGTGACCGGCTGCCATGACGTCATGATCGTATACGATAGGGATAAGTTCAAGTTTAGCTGCATTCCCGAATCGTGGACAAACTGTATGCGCTAACCAATCACAGACAAGAATTGAACTGTCATTTTTTGTCAGTTTTGTATTTTGTTTTGTTTTTGCATTATGGATACTGCTATTAATAACCAGAAAATCCTCAAACAATTCCATGTTTTATTTCACAGAAAATATGTGAATTTATAGGCCCAATCACAATAAAATTGAGCTATGTGAATAGCACACTCTATACTTGGACTGTTTATACAGGATTAATAATAGTCAGGTCGATTTATATCTGGGAATATGCATACCCGGAACCACTCATATCCAGAAAAATTCGCAACAGGGATCGTTTATATAGCCATCTGGAACAGGACCACTCAGAACCAGGATAATTCATAGCCATGAACCTCCACACGCAAGACGATTATAACTTATAACTCCAAGGCCTTTCATATATAAGACAATATATTATATGCTCAACATTTATCATCTGTATTAAACGAGATAGTGCATTGAAATGTTTTACTCTATTATGATCGTCAACATAAGTACGTATAACAACTTTGCTCCGCCACACGTCAATTTATATTGAAGAGCATGAGTAGGTAGCAATGTCATAAGTCATGTTATGATTAGAATGGCAAGTGTGACATCCTTATTTCGCTCCTTCTTCAAGCTATTCTCAAGCTTCTTTTATACTTTTTTCGTCCCTTCTGCCACCATAGTTCCTTTAAACATGTACCACGTAATCGATATATCGCCCCTTCTTTACGTCTGTTTCATGATTTCCTTTAGTCATGCGTTTTCTTTACGCTTTTTCACATCCGTTTCCGTTATTACGATTTATATGCAACCATTAGCGCCATAAATTAGTCAGTATAAAAAACGGGTTGGTGTTATAGTTAAGGGCCAAGTGAATTATAAGGATGCGTGCACGAGAAAAAGTTGAAAGCACAAAAATTGTTTGCCTAAAAATAGCAACGCGATAATAAATGTATTTAAATAGTAGTGCGGTAATAGTCGAAAAATAAAACCACCCCTTGCAAATTAATTTTTAAATAATCCAGCCCTTTGTTTTTATGCGCCTTTTAGTTATTAACACCAGCTTGCGTTGTTTGCACTGGACAGATTTAATTCGTGTTTTTGGAGGAATGAATCAGGAATACATCAAGTAAAATTGGGGAAAGCGGTGTAGAAAGCCCCGTTGCGAAAACTATACTCGGTGAAATCTACCAGAAGGGGTGAGAAGGGTGCAGTAACTCGACGTAGATCTGCGAAATTAGTTTGGTTAACACAGCAGCCATCGTGAAATCCAAGGGCAACTTTCTTCGGCCGCAACAGTAATAAATGTACCTATATTATTTTTCTTTATCCAGAATGTGAGATTTATATGCTGAGATTTGGTGCTGAATTGGATATCAATATATATTTTAGGTACACAGCATCAGTTATAATGGTCATAGTCAGTAAATTAACTGTACTAGCTTTTGTATGATATAATAACAAAGCATCACCCTATATATAATAGCCATAGTAGATGCACTTCTTAGTCGCTGCCGTACATGGTGTTAGAAATACCCACAGAGTTGTATATAAGTAAATATATACAACTCTGTGGAAATACCGTCACTTTTTGTTTGAAATGTTAAATTTGAGGTTAGGTGGTAAGATTGAAAACTTGTTTGTAATTACAGCTTTTATGCCCGATGTCTCGGTTATTACCATTTATTTGTAAGCGAACTTTGCGTCCTAAACGATTAATACAAGTATAATAATTTAGAAGCTGTTTGTGCATTTAAATATTGTAATTCTAGGTACTTACTCCCAATGTTTGCATGTTACCAAATAGTACTAAATTCTCCACGAAATCGCCTAAGAATATTTACCTAGTAGACGACACAGATAACGAAAATCATGGTCCACAGCGAAACTCCAACATTTACACATATCGCACATACACTTGCACGGAACTTCGACGTGAAAATGTCGGCGAAAGAGTCACGTTATGCGGTTGGTTGGAATTTCAACGAATGAATAAATTTCTGGTGATACGAGACGGATATGGACATACTCAATTGCTTATTAAAGATCAAGTGAGTAGTAATTGTTCCTAAGCGGCTGTTAGTGTGCAGTGTTACAGGATGTTGAAACACAACTGCTAGTTAAAACTCTACCATATGAATCCGTTATAAAAGTGACTGGTACAGTTTTGACACGGCCCGAAGGGATGATAAACAAAAACCAGGAAACTGGTGAAGTTGAGGTATTAATTGAAACGTTCGAGGTACTCAATAAAGCAAACGATAACTTACCGTTTAATATACGAGAATACCAGAAAGCGAAGGAGGCCCTTCGTATGAAGTTTCGATATATTGATTTACGGTTTGAGGGTATGCAGAGGAATATGAGGGTTCGATCTGATTTGTTAATGGCTATGCGCACGTACCTTGTCAATGAGTGTAACTTTGTTGATGTGGAGACTCCGACATTGTTTAAAGCGACTCCTGGTGTGAGTATTTGTTGTTGTTTCAATTAACTTCAGTTGATATGGTACAATCTAGCCTCACTTTTAGAGTATTTGACTGACTTTTATTATGCAGGGTGCGCAAGAGTTCATCGTTCCCACTCGATTCCCTGGTCAATTTTATTCCTTGGTTCAAAGTCCCCAACAGTTTAAGCAAATGCTTATGGCAGGAGCAATAGATAGGTATTTATCATTTCTCGTTCTTGTTATTCGCCAATACTTATACAAGTAGGTAGATATTTTCAAATAGCGCGCTGCTATCGTGATGAAGGCTCGCGCTCTGATCGACAACCCGAATTCACTCAACTCGACATAGAGATGTCGTTCACAGACTGCAAGGGTGTTATGAATCTTGTCGAAGAACTGCTTCAATACTCCTGGCCTAGCATCTTAAAACCACTACCTCGCCGATTTCCCCAAATAACTTATAAGGAAGCGATGGAAAAATATGGAACAGACAAACCAGACTTACGATTTCACTTTCATGTGAGTAAATTATGTACTCGTTCAAAATACAATTAAAGTTTTAGCTTCAAAACTGTACAGTTGCATGTAAGAAATTAGCGACAACTGATAACTTTGCAGCATACTACATACTATTTGAAGAACCACACGTTCATCTATCCACGTCTATTAAGCAAAAATTAAAGCGACTTTCACAGAATTATCCCAAAGCCAAATTTATTCAAAGTAAAATAACTAATTGGAAGGATTGGTTTTTGAGGATGTCGGGTGTTTTTGGGGAAGAAAGCTGCGACATTTTACGCCAGTTGATTCACGCGAAGGGTAATTCCGTCCTGTTTTTGGCATATGGAGATTGGAAACATGTGGTACATTAGCAAGGAAATTTTCTTGCCGGCCCACTGTGAGCTTGTTTTTAGGTGTCACTGTTAGGCACGTGCCGTTTGGAGTATGTTGAACATGTAGAAGCGCAAGGTATTAAGGTAAAGGATGACAGTTTCCATCCGGTTTGGGTGACCGACTTTCCACTTTTTGAGGAGGGGGAAAACGCGAATGGTCTACAATCCAACCATCATCCTTTCACAGCACCTCATCCGGAAGATGTTGGTTTACTGCAGACGGAACCTTTGAAAGTACGTACTGTAATAATATAATAATAATAATAATTTTTTATAGTTCCCATTATTCTTAGTGCTACCGGAGTTATACCAAAGACAATACACCACAATTTACAACTATTAGGTTTAGACAAAAACACATACAAACATTTACAAAAAGCAATCATTATCAACACATGCCATATTGTTCGTAAATTTCTAAACATAACACAAGATACTACATACACAAATGATCCACAACGTATACATGTAAACAACAGTAATCGCTCACAACACGGTACACAACATACTGTAATATCTCAACCTCTAACCCAAACAAACACACAAATACAACTTACCGAGCAAGCAAGTACAACAAATGATACAATATATACTACAATCAGAGATTCACCTCTGAAGCAAACCACATTATCACGACCCATTAGTATTCAACCCAAACGCAAAAGCCTAAACAGCACTTTAGACTCACAACATGACACACAACATACTGTAATATCTCACCCTTAACTCAACCAACCACACAAACACAACTTCCTGAACAAACAAACGCAATAAATACAAGTAACGCAACATGCACTACAAAGACGCCCTCACCCAATAAAGTTACACGGCCTAGCACAGCTAAAAAACACAATACTCTTTCTTCTCAGAAACACACCACGTTATCACAACCCACTCGTATACAACCCAAACGCAAAAACCTAAACAGCACTACTAGCTCACAAAATACTGTAATATCTCCACGAATAACCCAAGCAACCACACAAATACAACCTCAAGAACAAAGAAACACAATAAATACAAGTATCGCAACATGCACTACAAAAACAGGTCCACCCAATAAAATTACACGTCTTAGCACAGTTAAAAAACACAATACTCCTCTTTCTCAGAAACAACCCACTCGTATTCAACAGAAACGCAACAACCTTAAAAGCACTACAGGCTCACAACATACTGTAATGTCTCCACCAATAACCCAAGCAACAACACAGATACAACCTCAAGAACAAAGAAACACCATAAATACAAGTAACGCAACATGCACTACAAAGACAGGTCCACCCAATAAAGTTACACGCCCTAGCACAGTTAAAAAACACAAAACTCCATCCTCACCGAAGAATACCACGTTATCACAACCCACTCGTATTCAACCCAAACGCAAAGCCAAAGAAACACTTACACAATAAACTGCATTTAATAAAATTACAGGAATTATTATAATGATTTTTGTTTTGTTTTGTTTTCCTCTTTCCTGATAGCGTTGGCTTATTGTGCCCATGTGTGATTTTTTTTTTTTTTTAGGACCCTACATAACTTCACCAGACACAGACACAGACACTGATCGTTACTTGATTTTAATCCGTGCGATTAGTTAACCAGGCTAGACCTGAGTTCTCACAAGAAACACCGACCATAATAATAATAATATATAGCTTTATTGGGTGATGCAGCAGTTCACAAATACGATTGTAGTACCTATTTATACAATTTAAATGGTGCAGATGCCCGTATATGCAATAGAAATAGTTGTATGTGTTATTTTTTGTATTAATTATAGGCTCGTAGTTTGGCATACGATTTGGTACTGAATGGAAATGAGATTGCCGGTGGATCAATTCGTATTCACGACAGCCGCCAGCAAAAGTTCATCTTTGACTTGCTCAACATTGACGATCAGAAAATGACTTACATGCTTGAAATGTTAGCATCGGGCTGTCCTCCACATGGAGGTATTGCTCTTGGACTAGATCGCTTACTTGCCACTATGTTGAACACGCCAAGTATTCGTGATGTCATAGCATTCCCTAAAACTTTTGAGGGGCGCGATCCTATCACTGGAGCACCATCGCCCATTAACGAGCATGATAAGAAATTGTATAGTATAGACATTAGTAATAAATCTTCATAATTTTAAAGTGATATTTTAATATACTGACAGACAGACAGACACATGGAATCAACTAGAGATCAATGAGCATTAACAGAAACAAGATATGGGAAGCACAAACTTTTCAGCTTAACGTTTTTTTCATTAAAAATTTTGGTCATATTTGGACATCATCTAGAAGTTGTTTGCTTAAATTGTTTCTTGCTCCCTTAATTAGAAACATATCTTTATGAAGTCAGACTAATGACAGATCGTACATGTTTATGTCTTTATGATCTAAGTCTGCACCACAGTGGTGATGCGTTCATACTGCATAGGCAGCACACATTACCCACAAACAAACTCCGCAATAATGCGACGCGTGCGCTTTTCCTAAAGCGAGGCGAAACAGAAAAATCCTCCCATGGTTCGTCACGGCTCTTCTCCACTCCTTGTTCGCCGATCCCCCTTCAACGCAAACCCACAAAAATCAAATAACCCCGTGCTCCGCTTGCTCGATCTTCTCTATACCATTCCAAAAACCTACCGCCGCTCCATTCATATTGCACCTACTTGGCAAATCGCTAACACCACCACCACATCCCACTAGAATCTAGATCACCAAACGCCGCCCTCTACTTCCAAACTTCCACCCACGCAACCAACAAAACGAACACGCACCCTTTCAAGCTCCTTATTGGCTTTTACTACTACATCATGTACCAGTCATGTCCCACCACTTGATATAAACTCACCCACAACATACCGCTATTGTATCCGCAACATCCCGCACGCCATAACTCCATCCTCACCTTCAAAATACCCGAAATGACCAACATAATGTTTACTTACAACCACAGCCCTAATCGAAACCAAACTCCCCATATTGCGTTTGACATGACCAAAAAACCAAAAAACTCCAACACCTTTTCGATGACCCCAACATTACCTTTACCCAATTGCCCAAAAACGTCCATCTCCAACACCTAGACCTAGAATATATGTAGCCGCCACCGCGGTGTCCTTCCGAACGCATCACTATCAATTTTTTCAGTTTTTACAATCCCCCAGATAACACTCTTCCGGATGATCTCTTTCACTATATCTCCACCCTTCGCGATGACGCCATGCAGTCTAGTCACCTATATACCACACGTAATACAAGCCTATTGAAAATGTGTCAAATTCAAATGACCCCTCTTGGGGTCACGCCTCTCTGTTTCTGCCAAACGCTTGAACCTATTCCGTTCAAACTTTGCACAGTTGACCTAGCTATATGCCACATGTAATAAGTTTATTGAAAATGGGTCAAATCCAATGACCCCGTAGGGTCACGCCTTTCACCAGGAAGTAAATCGGGGTTTTAATTAAAGACTAAGAATGGTAGCTAAATTCTAACAGTCTGCTAAAGTCGACTAGAAGGTCCAAAACACTGAACTATAATTAAAACTAAATTTGCGGCCTTCGTCCTCGTGTGAGATCGAAGGGACTTCAACGCATTTTTGTGTTTTGACTCCACCATCAGTTAGACCTTGTCGGGGGTTACCACTTCCCTTTGTCTCTGTACTCACTTCTGACGCCCCCACAGTCATATAAATGCGCCATTGTGGTGGATTTAATAATAATAATAATAATGTCTTTTATGTCGTTACATATACTTACACAAAATTACAGTAAAAAAAAACTAAATGACATACTTCAAAATTAAAGTAATGCAACTTAATGGGCAAAGGTTAGTTAGTGGAGGCGACTGTCTCCATTTCTGCTCTTCCACTTAACCCAATCATTTAATAAATTATTACAGAAAAGATTATAACACAATACACAGTGGCACAATTTATTTTCGCTAAAAACCCTCCACAAAATAGTATACTTTTGGTACTCAATTTTTGGGGCACTTCTCAATAGCACGACACAATTACAAAGAGACACCGCGATTTGGGCTTTAAGAAACTTTAAACTGCGTGACAAAATTCGCAGCGAAAGGTAACTTTTGGGCGCCCGAAGTCGAAGCTAGGTACCCCTCAAAGACGTGCACTTTGCAAAATGTGGTTTAGTAATCTCGCCTCTAGGGAGAAAATCAAAATTGCACAAGAGTTGTCCGCATCCACAAAATCTTTCAAACTCCACAATCGAACAAAAACTGTAGAAGCAGATAGGAAAAAAACTGAAAAAATACAAAAATCACCACGTTAGTAAATCACGCTCGAGGATGTTTTTCGGCGATATGTGCAGTAGGGCGGAGTTTTGAAATTTAAAACGCCTGTTGACTTTCCAAAAATAATATCTTCGGCTGCCGAAATGGCTTTATATTTTCAAAATACATTATATCTTTTATAGATTTTTTTTATTTTTAAGTTTATGTCGATTCTTGCATTTTAATTAGACCCTTAAACTATTATTAAGCGACAGAGTAAAGTGATGGCAAGCTTTTTAGGGGTGTCGATGATGTGTGTATGTCTGTCTGTTTGTCTGTGAACACGATAACTGGCATAAACGCCCGCCCCGATTAGGTTCAAACTTTTCACGGTTGACCTATATGCCACATGTAGCAAGCCCGTTGAAAATGTATCAAATCCAATGACCACGTGGGGTTACACCGCCCTGCCGCTTTTCTAGATCCACGATACACCGTTTATTACTTCTGAAAAACAATTTAATGCGTATACTGGGCCAATCTGAACATATATCCCACTATTTAAGTGCTGTCGCACATCCTTCAAAAATTTTGAATCCAAGGGGGGGAGGGGATTAAAAGCCGAGACAAATTAAAAAGAGAGATTGCCCGTAGTCCGGTACACGGCTGGCATATTGTGTTTTCCGTAGTGGAGATCCTCCGCGGTGCTAGGGAAGAAGAAGAAAAGCGAGGTGTTGTGCCTTTTATGGCAGTTGAAAAGGTGCTGATAGAGATTCAACGCAGAATAGCTGGTGTGTATGGTGAGAATAGTGTCAGTTGGATACAATTTCCGCGTTTTTTGAAGAAGCACTTGTCACATCACATGTCGAATGCAGAGGTGCTGGACGAGGTCTCTGTGATTAGATCGCTTCACTCCCGAGGGAATTCTGGGAGCCAGGCATTCTTGGTCCCGTTCAGCAGTGGGATAAATGCTCTAGGAATGAAGGTGCTTATTATACCTTTGTATGTGTACCAGTCACACTTCATTTGATTGCGCCTAGTAGTATATGCCCTTAAAAAGAATATTACAGCGTCGAAAATCAAGAAGATGAACAGAGGCGGGTACCTACGAGAATTTTTTAATTGCGAAGACTATGTTGACTTAATTGGCTGGCAACGTGTTATCAGCGAACCTTCCTCAACAATGAGAATATCACATATGAAGAATTATAACGAACACCATATCTTTGTTGCCGGATGAATACCTCTTCTCAAATTTCCTTGCCATTTACAGACCGTTGAGGGATGTATAAAATTAGTGACATAGGCCTCTAGGGCAGATTTATGACTGTGATGCTTGGTACTTGGGATCTACCTATAAGGGCTTGTATTAAAATTATGAGACGTATTACTGTAATTTGAAGCATTTGAACAGTTTCTAAACGTTTTAGACCAACACTAATAAATTTATTTTATTTTTTTTTGCGGGAGAGCTAGGGTGGAACACAACGTGCAACGGCTCCTCGTAGTGAGTTCTGGGTTGTTAACAAATAAACAAGCTAAGGCCTGCATTTAATTTTTTTTTACATTTCCAAGAAATTCGTTTTTTTATAATTTTCAATGTATTTCGGCAACCCAAAGACATACTTACTCCTAAAATTTTCAGATTTTTTTCGGTTGACTTGGCAACTCAAAGGACATCGTGTGAACGGCCAGGGTACCATTTTCGGAAATTGTTAATTTTATGCTTACTTTCGCTCCTCCCTAATGTGGAGAACTAAAACTGAGTGATGCGTTTTTTCGTAATTACTTTTCAAACCTGCGTAGATCGACGATCTCAATTTTGGCGTCTGATTTGCGCGAACGTGGCAACAGCGCAAAAGCCTCAGTAATCTGAAGTACAAGTTCAAAAATGCAATAAAAAGTTTTTGCTTTATAACCCCGTTATTTGTGTGAAATATAAAAAAAATACAAAGGATAAATTAAATATGTAAAAATAGATCTTAGTAAGGGGGTATTTCTATCTTTTCCATATTAGTGATTAAGATACAGCACCAAAGTTTTTTCAAATAGAATGTATAATATTTTATTGGTTGATTGATGCAAAAAAATAATTTCCATTTCCACAAATATACCTGAGTTATATTAAAAAAATTCCTTTTGCGCTGTTGCCGCACGTTCGCGCCACTCACCCTAGCCCTATCCTAGATAAAAACTACCATTTTATAAATACATTAATTGCAAAAATGCCCCAAAAACAACAAGACGCAATCACTTCTCTCACAAAATTATAAGTTATGCACGAATAAAGATCGAAAAAATTACTTTCCAAACTCTGTACATGGTGCAAATTGAAAGTAGATTTAATTTTAATTATAAGTAAGATAGTAATCTAATGTGAAATTCACAACCCTTTTGTAAAATTGTGAATATCCAAGCATTTGCGCCCCTATTCTAAAACGTATAATCATTTCTTCGACCCCATGCCATAGTTAAATTTGACGCACAAATTGAAAAAATTATAAATAAATGTATCTCCAAATAAACTTCTAAAAGTTATGCAAATTGGTGAAAATTCACGGGTACCAAGATGATATACAGGGTGACAATTTGAAAAACTTACCACCCCCCATATCTTAGTAAATAAACGAGATATTTAAAAAAATCAAAATCCGTTTCGGTAAGTCGAAGGGGGAATCACAATGACATAGTTGGCGACGCACCCCCTTTAACCCCCTGCGCCCCAGCCACCCCAACTTTTAAATCTTAAATAGTGACCACCCATGTGTGATACGTCGTTGGAAAGCTCTGAAAAAATGCTTTCCAACCATACCAAATAGCATTACATTTAGGGTTAATAATAATTATCGTGCAAATCAAAAAATAAACTAATATGATACATTTGAAATCTGTCATTTTTACAACGCAACCGGCGAACATAGACGAACTAAGACAGATAATAATTCAAGAATGTCGAAATATTGCAAAACCAACATTGGAAAGGTTCGACAAGAGTTTGAGAATAGATTATAACTGGCGATCAAAAATGAGTTGCTGTCGAGTCGGCTTTGGAAGTTCAAGTTAAATACGATTTTCCATGTTTATTTTTTGATTTGCACGATAATTACTAACCTAAATGTAATGCTATTTGGTATGGTTGGAAAGCATTTTTGCAGAGCTTTCCAATGACGTATCACACATGGGGAGTCACTATTTAAGATTTAAAAGTTGGGGTGGCTAGGGCGCAGGGGGTGTGAGGGGGTGCGTCGCCAACTATGTCATTGTGATTCCCCCTCCGAATTACCGAAACGGATTTTGATTTTTTTGAATATCTCGTTTATTTACTAAGATATGGGGGGTGGTAAATTTTCAAATTGTCACCCTGTATAAAGTTTATGCATAACTGCAAAGTTACTTTCAAGAATATAGGTACCTCGCTTTATTGATTACTTACAGCTCAATAGGTATCTGATATAAGGGGCCACCGCTTTGAAAAATACCTATTACCTATAAGTATATAGTTACACCACTGAGTACAAAACAGAATAATAATGAATGGTATGGTTAATTTAATTTTGTTTTATGAAAACTGGTTGTACCTAGGTTTATAGGTATATCTATAAATCTATGCTACTAATTAAACAAATTAAATATCTACAGATAGGAAAAACTCAACAAGTAATAATACCTCTAAGTTTATTTTAATTTTATAATGGTAGACCAGTATGATCTTTGTAGAGATAAACTGGCCACTGTACTATAAATGGATCAAGTGTGCAAAATGGTTTCAGTTTTCATAAAGGACTTCCTTGGATAATAACTGCGCATTAAGGATATCATTAGAACTGCTGAATCATGTAACTTGATAAGGAGCATTGGATATTATGCAATGATACAAGATTAATTCTGTGAAGGCATAGTTAAAAAAGGATTTAAACAATGGTCAATTCAATGCTAGGAATCCACCTGCAGGACTTTCTAGTTCCTTCTGCTATAGCTATAGATAGAGTATCAAAAGAACCATGATGAAAGGGAAACTGTACAATTTTATTGAAAATGAACACATAAAAATCAATACAGGGAGTCATTTCATTTCATCCTAAAATTAGAGTTTTTACCAGATTGTGGACAGTGATTCTGAAAATGTACAAATTAGTATCTTATTAAAATAATTTTGCAATTAACACTCACATATCTCTACTTCTATGGGAAACTAATTCACCTATATAATAAAGTCTCACTTTTGCAAAGTTCGCTACACTACAATAATTTCTACTTGAAGTGATCACAGTCTTAATGCCACTTCTTAAAAATAAATCTACAGTTAATCTGATAAAACTACCACTTCCTCTATATCTACATTCCTATCAATGAATTGCCTTATTCTTCTTACACTATTTCTTAATTTTTATAAAAATAACCTTTTGACACTTACATAGAAATCATAAACACATTTTGGAAGTCTATAACTAGCACGATACAAAATGAACACTGAAGTAAAAAATTTGAGAACAAAGGTCCTTATTTACACAGTGTAGGTACTTGTTACTCGAAACAGGTACGTTACGTATTTACGTCTCAAAAATTGACAAGTGTTCGTAATTTAAGTGTCATCAATTGTAGGTAACCAAAATGCCATGTTAGTACACGCCGACGCTAACATCATGTACTTCGGACTGAACTGCACACACTGAACGGGACCTGGATGGTCGGCATTTAAAACGCAAACTTTGAAACCGGTATCTGCATTCCAAACGTGCACACGACCATCAGTAGAACCGCTAAAAATAAACTGCGAGTCGGGACTAAAAGACGCTTCAATTGGAATGCCTTTATTGTTTAAGTGTCCGGTGAACGTCTGTAGTGGAGTTCCGTGAAATGCATCGACCAGTCGAATTATAGATCCGTTTGTGCTTATTAAGATCGTCTTTCCGTCCCTCGAAAATTTTAAACCGGTCCAATCGCACTCTTTCTCCTGCGTCAGCTTAAAAGTAATGAACGGGCCTTTATCGAACGAACGCAAATCGTACAACTTAATACTTTCGGAGTTGACGCCGGCCGCGAAAATTAAACCTTCCGGATCGTAGGCGGCGACAGGACGGCCGGCTAAATGCATCAAACCCTGGCAGTTCGGCGATCGTAAATCCCACAACCTCAACGTTTTGTCCAGCGAACCCGAAAGAAAGGTGTCTTCCACAGGTGACAAGCAGAGCGATACCACTTTCTTCGTATGACCGGGAAAGTATCGTATGTATTTATTGTCGTGGAGTGATAAGTAGCGGATCGTATCGTCTACTTTTGTTGAGCTGTGTATCGCAGTATTTTTCGCATGTGTGAAATGTATTAAATCGACTCCGTACTTTTTGCTGTTGACGGTACGCACTTGAGTTCCCTTTTCGCAATCGTAAATCACAATCTGATCGTCCTCGCTGCAAGAAATTAGTGTCTCGCCATTCGGTGAAAAGTCTATGGCGTTTATTTTGTCCGTATTTTCACGAAACACTTTCGCAACTCGAAAACTTCGAACCACCTGATCTATCAGTTTCATCTTCATTTTGCCAACTAATTATAATACGGAACTTTATGAGGAAAATGATAAACAAATAAACTTAGGACGTTCCAAACCAAACACACTTCGTTCATCATTTATTGTTTACTACCAACCTACAAAACGTGTATCTTCCAAATCCCCTAGTCGGATTTACCTTGACCTGAAAACATGCGGTTCTTGCGTGATGTAATTAACAAATTAGTCATTTGCGTGGATCTAAGCATTTTTCATAAAAATGGGGCAATAAAAAAAATATGTTTTGTCAAGTCTCATGTCATTTGAATCAGATTGTACAGGAAGCGTCAACGTTTATGCCCGTCTTGCATTGTATATATAGTATGACGTCATTGATTTCATATCGGCGTATAAATGTAAAAATGCCCTAGACAAATCATAAATAATGCGTTTGTTTTGATTAAACGAGAGCGTCCGGCATTCTACGATAACATTTCCGTTTCCCTATGACATGCCCGGAACGTAAAATCCGTTGTTAACAAACGGCATTGAATAACTATCTGTATCTCTAAATTCAATGCAAACGGTTACGAACGCATAGTTAAATATAGGTACTTTAACGTTTTCCAAATAAAACAAGGACCCACGATGTTTCTACTTGGGGCAACCAGGAGTTCCAAAATTTACTTTTTTTGTCACTAATTAAAAATCTGTGTTCCCTACAGTCCTTCTTACATTTCTTTTACCCACATGTTTCGTTTTCTCCTCGCCTCCTTCAAATCGGGTTAATTATAACACTTATAGATACATGTTGCAATGGAAAATTTCAACTTTTGGATTTGAGAAATGAAAAAAAATGAACTTTCTAGGTATGACGGATCTTACTTTTCAAGATTTGATCGAATTGTCACGGCTATTGAAGCTTCTCTCTCTTACAGGGTGTTCGTAGGTAAACGTACAATATTAATTATATAGACAAAGAACACTTAATAGGGCCAAAGACAAGGAAAATCATGAAATCTAACAATAAAAAGAACTGAAAACTAGTTTCATTTTAAATCAAAAGGCAAAAGTTCTCCTCTTCTATATGCTTTTCACACAAGTTCCGATAGTGTATGTGAAACCCTGTCAATGTAATTTTACACTTGACACTCCTCACAATGGAACAGAGCAATGAAACCCACAAACCAAACAGACAAATTGGAACCAAATTTAAGTATTTCTCCACGAAATCGGTTATATCAGCGTTCTGCGATTCAAGGTGTTCTCGGTAATCACTTCCATATTCTTCACCAAGTATGATGAGTTCTAGAACTGTCCTTCTTTATTTACTTAAGACTTTATAGTTTTTACTTAATTTTTGGGGAAACAGAAAAAACAGAACACAACGACGCGACGGTTTCTTTAAACCTCTACTCTCCAAAGTCAATAACATTCAGCCTAGTAGGCTTACCCTGATTTTGCGTCTATAACGCTCTCTCCGAGGTTTTTTCGTATCACCTTCGAACACTCTTCACACTTTCTTTTCTTCCCTTGCTTCACTTTCCCCACTCCCCACTCTCACACACTTGCTTTTCGTCAATATTGTTTCGCGCCTTATTAACGGTTTTTTAGGCCAATTGGTGACATTTTTGCCTCTCAACTCTTCTTGCACGTTCTTTTGTGCCTCCTTTTATAATCTGTACCCAGTATTTCTCACTTTGCTTTAAAGTCATTATTCCATTGCTTGTCATACATCCTGAGTTCACATCGTGCTCAATGCTATTCTTTTTGAGGCTCTTTCACGTGTTCTCTACACCTACTTTACAATCTTTATACGTCTCTTTCGCGCCATTCATGCATTTTTTTTCATCCTCCCACCCCTTTAAGACTTCCTCGTGTCTTCGTCATACCTCTTTTTGATGGCCTATATTTATATCTCCTTCACTTCGTCTTTGAATATCTTCTTCACGTACCCTTCACCTTAGTATATAGTATATAGTCCTTCAATCCTAATATCTCCTTCACGTCTGCTTACTTTTCTTTTTATAGATATCGATATTTCACGCATTTATTTCTCCTTTATCTTTTCAAGGCCCTTTTCACGTCATTTCGTCATGTCATGTCCAAGTAATTGGTCATAGCTCACGAGTCACGACCGATTATCATTTTTTCTACACCACTTTCCAAGTCTGTAACCATTTTTCCCTACATTCTCTCTGATACCTGCCTCAAACCTCCCTCGCGCACGCCCTCTCGTACGTACCCCCGTGTCACATTTCTTATTTCTATCACGTCTTATAACATGACGTATGGTCCGTCTCTTTTGGGGTGGAGATCCTGTCCTTCGTCTGAACGTAGTTCTAAGGCGGCGATAGTCGGGTATTAATGGCTGGCGTGTTCCCGAGGGTGCGAGCGATGGTAGTCGACATGTATTGGCGGTGTCCTGACGTCGGCGGTGTCACGCTGAAGCTTCTGATCTGGCGGAAAGGAATGAAAGTCCCGTACTTAGAGCTCCGCGACGCATCCACTACGGGTGGCGGTTGGGCGGTCTCCATCGTAGGGCGAGGCGACTGGGGGACAGCGTTGGTGATGTTCGTGGAACGAGGGTAAAGTATAGGGGTTTAAACTCCCGGTCCACATCCCGGGGTTGATTGGTCGTCCACGAGAGCCTCTCGAAGGAATTGGTTGGCGGATGCATAGGAGTATCATGAAGTAGCGAGAATCGGGTGGTGTGTATACCATCGAGGTTCACGCTCTGTCACGGGATCAAAGAGGCGTCAAGGTTTTGTCCCGATCTTCGCGGCGCACTAAGATTTGCCAGTAGTCGGCATGTCAATCGAGGGTATTGCGATCACCTGTGCACGGGCGCTGTGCAGTAGATCGTCCACCTGGGTGGATAGCAGTCAGTTACCGTTATGTGGTTATAGTCGATGCACACACGAATTGCCCGTCCGGTTTCTGGACCAATATTACCGGGGCAACCCGTGCGGCATCACACTCTTCGATAACGTTCTGGGCGAGCATCAGGGCTTTCAGAGTTTTCTGTTTGGCTGGTGTTAGCCGGTACTTTCCTTGAGCACTATGGAGTGCTCCCCGAATGGTGTTGAGGTGTGGATCTCACCGAAGACTTCTCGATGTTCCTCGCGGAGGCGTTGAATGCGGTTTCGTTCTTTTGGCGTGAGATGGTGTATCTCGTCTTGGCGTAACTCCGGAACAGCGATCTCGGCTCGGGGTAGAGGTATTGGGTTGCGAGTGCGAGAACAGCTCCGTCGTCCGGATCTCCTCCAGGTTGGCGTAAAGGAATGAGAATTCGGGAGCGGGCGTCGCGGGATCTTGGGGCGAGATCGCGTGGTCTAGGCCAAATATGTGGACTATTCTGGTGACTCTCCAGCGAGAGTCGTGTCGTGGTGGCGTGGGGGCATTCTCGTACGGAGTGGACAATTCTATGGGCAGCTACGACATCGTGGTCGCGAAATGTGGAACTGGCTCACTCGCGAGCGGATACACTTTCCCGTGGTCATTGGTGGCCCTGTATCACTTACGGGGGAAGTTCAGGATGAGGCCGGCATCCTCGATAAGTCCATGCGTGTGATTTTTGTCTTCTGGGCGGACGATAAATGAGGTCCGAATCACTTGTTGTGGTGGGGACGCCGCGAGGTTGACTCGTTCGGTGTGGAACGGGTTACCTCGGGTCTGGAGGAGGGTGTAAAGCGAGGAGCCAACGAGGTTTCGTCGAGCTCCCGAGTCTATGTAGGCACTACCGCGTGTCTGCTCTATTTCGATTTCCGGTGTCTGTGAAGAACATTCGTACCTCTTCCTGGGGATCGGTGGTTGAAGGCGTGCACTTCCGACATTGGCTGCGGACGACTCCCGGTTCCCCGCATCCGCAGCAGGCGATTCCGGAATGTAGTATCGGTGCCGTTGCCGTGGCGGTGAACTGCCTTGTCGTGGCGTGTACAGGCGTTGTTACTTCCGATTGTTTGGTCTGCTGGTTTGCCTCTTTTTTCTCTTCCACTTGCAGCATTCTGCCGGCCGGGGAACGGGCAGAACGTGCAGCGAATTTTCCTTTTCTCAATGGCCGGCTTGGAGCTACGTTCTACCCGTGTGCACTCTTCCATCTTTCGGATTTCTTTTGTGAGGTCTTGGAATGTGGTCACCTTCGTGCGTGGTATCACCTCTCGGATTCTGTGGTGAAGTAGGCCGTTAACCATGCTCACCTGGGAAGGGCTTCTATTGGTGGTTGCGACTTGTCTTTACTCCAGAGGAACCTCTGTCTTCGTCTCGAATGAGAACCTGATACTAGAACAGCTAAACGATATCAGCCCTTCTCTCCCTATAAACCTCATCAAAATCCCTGAAAGTGACTCCAGAAAGTCAGGACTTGGAAACTCAGTCTATAGTTCTGGTTGCGGCCACAAAGAACCATGGATTTTATTTGATTTTTTGGGAAAGCGTATCATCATTTTGGATAAGTGGAGCTAAGCAGTACTTTTAGTACTATGGGTCACTAATAAGCAACTTTCCAAAATGTTTGCATAAAAGCCGAAGTATCGTATTTACAGAAGGAATCGAATGAATATCGCAATTTAAAAATAAATTTTTAAGTAGCTCTTCTACGCCTCTTCATAAGTTTTTCAGTATGTGTTTGAAAAAAGTAGTGTTTTTGAGATTTTTTGAACTTTTAATTTTTAAACGTATTTATGAAGATCCACAAAAATCCTTCAGGTAAATTGGGTATTGAATTAAGAATAATACTTTGTTTTTGAACATCTGAGCATGTTCTTCCAGATATTGGAAATAGTTGTTCCCATCTGGAGTTGCACACGCATTCTTTTATGACGTTGTGGTTCAATAGTTCTCTTTGTGTGTACATAAGTATAACGCAGGAAAATTCGGGAGAAAAACTGGGCATGACAAAACATTTGTTTTCTCGTCGTGAATAATCAAATTGCCTCGCTCTTCGCCGTACAGGGATTATATTTTTTAATTTGGCGACGAGACGAATACCAAATGATGAGTAGCTATCCTTTCACTTTTTCCTAAGGTACTTATGGGTTTCCAAACAATTTGCATGCGCACTGAGTGAGAAGATTCCCACGAAAACTTTGGAGTATCCTAGTCCTCAAATGCCTACTTGACTACTGTTCATAATATCTACTCATAACGAAGCCAAAGGCAAAAAAAATGGGAAGA